GTTTGTTAATGTAGAAGAGGGGATTTCATCAAGACGACCGTTGTTGCGTGGGGTGCCTCAGGGGTCTTTACTGGGCTCACTGCTGTACCTTGTCTATACTGCGCCGATTGCTGATATCATCAAAAAGTATGACTTACTATACCATCTGTACGCTGATGACACGCAACTATATATTTCCTTCAATACCGATTCTTGTGCTGATCTTGATGAGGCAAAGTTGCGTGTTGAGCGCTGTGTTGAAGAAATTGACCTTTGGATGTGCAAATTGTAAATTGTAAATATCTTATTATCCACTCCCCTCAGGGCTTTTCAGGGATAATTTACAACACTGGTTGGGGGACTTTGCCAGACTGCTTAAGGTGCAGTTTACAAGTAGTGAAGGAATGAGTAATGATGCCCCCATACATGAGTGTGAAAGTGAGATAGGCCACTACACCGGGCACTACGTGCCCTACTCTTTGCGAAGAGTGTGTGGGTTCTTTAACGTCCCACAGATTTAATACATGTGCAAGGGCTTGTGAGACGGGGCCTACGGTTTATCGTCCTTATCCGAGAAGACTAGAAAGTCTAGCCGTTTGCAGATATTATTACAAAGGCAGCACTTTCTCCTCAGTTATTTAAAGACCCTGAGTGTTGGTCCGGCCGGGGTTTGAACCCGCGACCTCCCGCTCAGTAGACCGGCGTTCTCCCAACTGAGCTAACCAGGCGGCGGTGCAAAAACTTATTGAAACTTAATCAAGACAAAACTGAACTTGTCGTCATGATTAGCTCCAAATTTCGAAATACACCAAATCTTAAACAATAAGTTCGAGCTGGAGATGCGTTCATTGCTCCTAATTTTTCTGTACGTAACCTAGGAGTCATCATGGATAATTGCTTTTGCATGGAACAACATGTAAAAAAGGTATGTAGTGAGGCAAATTATCATCTCAGGAATATATCAAAGATTCGCAAATATCTCACCCAGCACTCTGCTCAAATTCTCATCCTTGCTTTTATTAGTTCTCAGTTTGACTACTGTAACTCACTTCTATATGGTATTCCAATATACTTAGTTTGTAGATTACAGCGTGTTCAGAATACGGCAGGTCGCATGGTCACGTTAACAAGGAAGTATGATTCGATTATCCCAATAATGTTCAAGCTACAGTGGCTCCTCGTACATTCACGTATTAGTTTTAAGCTCCTGTTATTAGTCTATAAAGCACTCAATGGCAAAGCACCCTCTTACATTTCTAGTCAGTGGAATTTCTATAACGTTCATTTCTAAAGGAGCAAGTGTGGTTTCTGTAACGCGATTTGAATGATAAGTCACAAAGACCAATGTAAGTTTGTTTCGAGTGCGATGTCGTGACTTCTGCTTGGTATATGATATTCCGCTCGTTCCAATTTCCGTCCATAGGGCAGGACCTTTTGTCGCGGCAGTTGCAAGTGTTGATAGTTTAAACTGGTAAGTTTGATGACCTGCTAATGACGGCTTTATTGTGGTTCGAGATAATGGCTTTTACGTTGTTCATGCAGCTATAGCTAAGTTTGAGAGTGTTCCGGTTGAGAATTTTGTGCAGAGGATTTGATTTGGGAAAGTGTTTGTCGATTAAGGTGAGGAAACACTTTCCAACTTTGGTTTTGACATTTTGGCTGTACGGAGGATTGAACCAGGTGATGTTTCTGGGCCTATTCTTGCGGTGTTTGGTGTCTGGGGAAGGTTTTCTGCAGGTGAGATTGTAATTGTAGCCGCTCTTGTTGAGGGCATCTTGGTAAGTACCTTTGGCTTTTTCAAAGGATTCCTTGGTCTTTGTGACACATCATTCAAATCGCGTTACAGAAACCACACTTGCTCCTTTAGAAATGAACGAGTCTTCCGGAAGTCAATCAGTTTACCGGAAACTGTTTCCGCGTGGTCCGCATAGTTCTAAAAATAACTTTTTTGGAATTAAGATATCCCGGCCAACGCCCTGATTGTCCCTCTCTGTCCTATTATGGCTCTTGCTTGGACGTATGAAGACCTGTTTCGTTTAGTAACCAATGCCCTAAAAAAGGCACTTGTCTGTTAAGAGGCAATAGCTTTTAAAACATGAAGAAATAAGTTGTCAGAGTTAACGACTGTCTCACAAATGTTAATAAATGTTTGGTTATCAACCTTGACGTTGCATGAAACATAATTTAATTGCAGATGTTGTAATGAAGCCGAGGTGATTTCTTAAAATCGCTTGAGAAAATTTTGTAGTATGATTATAAACAATTTGCGTTTTGTTTTTAAGGAAGGAATTTAAAAGGGCCAAAGACCAACATCTTCACGTGCAAATTGTGTGCAAGAGTTATTTTTATAATTCTGTTTACTAGTTTACTGTGTGATAACTCGAATTCCCTCACGTACGAACCACGAAAGGGGGCAAAGTCCAACACTTTCACAGGTAGTTTCGAAAACGAAGCACTCGAAAACGAAGACCGAAGCATGAAGCACCCAAATCTCGAAAACGAAGCACCCAGATCTCGAAAACGAAGCACCCAAATCTCGAAAACGAAGCACCCAAATCTCGAAAACGAAGCATCCAAAACTCGAAAGGAAAGCACCCTAAACTGGAAACCTGTCTGTCCTTTAAAAACACGAGACAGTCCCTTGTCAAGTCACCAGCAGCAGGAATCTAGCACGATAACGAAGAGAATGCAGTTCAAAACTATTCAAGTAGAACTACGAGGTGTTGCAAATGCATTTCCTTCGCCCTGACTATTGGCCATTTCGGAGTTGCGTAGGACACTGGGGCGAGTATCAGATTTAAACTATCGATAAATAATTAAAAGGTCAGAAAATGGGCAAACTTAGTGATTTTCGAATTAGGTCCTTCCAGGTAGTAGATGCATGACGAATTTTACAGTTTAACAGTAAAACTGAAAAATATTTTAAAGAGTTTATATGGTTTTTCTTTTGTCGTGGAAAGGGTGTGGCTACAGGCTCCCCTGTCTAAGGTATGGGTCGTACAACCTTGAGGTAGAAATCTGTCATCGGTGGACATTGCTAAGTGCGAAACCCAAGTTTTCAGGTTGGAAAAAACTTTGAAAATCGGCAAAAACTTCAAAAACGCCGTAGTGCTTTTGTGAGGCAGGCAGATTTTGGAAAACTCGAGCTAAACAATATAAGGAAGGACAGCGGTAACAGTCAGCGCTTGTCAGTGGTGAACGTGATCAACTTGAAAAATGATCAATTAGAAATAAACGTGGCCGAATGTTCACCAGACCTTCGCGCTTTCGTAGACGGACGAGAGAACTTCTATCCTTGGCCACTTTACGGCTTTTACAAACAAACAAACAAACATTCAATTGTAGGGGCAGAGAAAGTTGGAATGCCGGCTAGACGAACACTTGAAGTTTACTGGTAAGACCAGTGATCAACGTAAGTTCTCGCGAAGTGCTCTAGCAGAGGCTTACGTAGACAAAAGGGTGGCAGGCCTAGGAAAGAAAGGCGCAACTAAATATCGATACCGCCCTACCTCTGCAGGCGAGAAATCAAATGCTCAGTGGGATGGATTGGTGGACCTTTGAAGGTGCGGACTCATCCACTGCCTCCACCTAGTTTGGCCTGCGTCATACAAGACTTAAAAGTTGTAGTCCTTCAACGTACGGTGGTTTCGAGATTTGAGTGCTTCGTTTTCGAGGTTTGGGTGCTTCGTTTTCGAGTCTTGGGTGCTCCGTTTTCGAGATTTGGGTGCTTCGTTTTCGAGATTTGGGTGCTCCGTTTTCGAGATTTGGGTGCTTCGTTTTCGAGATTTGGGTGCTTCGTGCTTCGGTCTTCGTTTTCGAGTGCTTTGTTATCGAAATTACCCACTTTCATGTGCCAGCTGTGTGACTGTACATCTCATGCAGATTGGCTTTTCACAATGATAAATAGTAACTTGGACGTATGAAGGCCTGTTTCGTTTTGTAACCAATACCTTAAAAAAGGCTCTTGTCTTTTAAGAAGCAATAGCTTTTAAAACATGAAGAAATAAGTTGTCGGAGTTAAAGACTGTTTCACTGAGTAGAATCGCACGTGAAAACCTCGTGAATTATGATGATGCAACCATCTACCTCAATGATAAAAATCCTGGTATTTCCTAACTATTCAGTATTCGATGAGTCACATTTTGGCTTAAGAAACTCCGAGGAAACCTTAGAGTTTTCCTTCTAATCAACGTTTGGTGAGTAGAAATATTTTACTTTAACAATTTGTTTAACTTGCACCAGATGTAACAGGGAAAGACAGAGGAAAGTGAATATATAGGTTGAGGATCGACTCAGCTGAGCGTTTCGCGTTTTCATTTATGTAGCGCAATACCCAATTTCGCACAAAAAACAAATCTACATTTAGGATGAAAAAGGTAGATTCATCACTCTTGGTAAGGTCACACTGAAGTATTATAGTTACACTGAAGCATTCAAAATAGCTCATGCACGTTTAACGTTCCTATGCTTAGTTCCAGGCCTCTTGGTTTTTGGCCGAGCGCAACCCCTCAACAGCAACTGCAACAAATATGGCGGGTAACAGCGATTGGGGGCAAAAAATGTGTACCAGTGTTCATGCTGCTGTTATTCCTCTCCAATTCTGGAAATATTCCTAACACATAGTTGTTCCTTGTCTTTAAATGGTGAGTATTTATTCTCCCGCGAAAATTGCAAATTTTCAAAAACGTGTTTTCTTTCATTTTATACTCTTTATACACAGTTGAGTTATCAAATGGGCTGTCATGTCAGAAATAGCAAATCCTAGCCGATCAGTTAATCCTGTGCCATTTGTTTCCTCGGAAAGCACTGAGCGATCGTCAAAATTGGACAGATGGGGAATCCAGTGACACATACCGTCCTTACCCAAAGAAAATCCACACTAAAATTTGCAGAATTTTTTTTATAAATGGTAAACAACCAGAGTGTCTGTCACATTATTTCCAATCCGTTGAAAAATTTGTGAATGATATACTCGTGTCTGGCTTACTCACTAAGTGTTTGAAACAAAAGAATCTGGGCGCTACAAGAAGATACCCAGAGTTGAGAGACTTTGCCCCCTTTGTAATAGATCCGAATTTGGTGATGAATTCAACTATTTGTTGAAATGTACTCACTCGACTCATCACTTTCTCATATAAGGGGTACCTTCTTGGAGAGCCTATACTCGATAACCAGTAATTTTACGGGTATGTCTTCCAAGGCACTATTTTTATATATCATGTCTATGTGCGATAAAAACATCATAAAGCTTAGTGCCTCTTATATTGAAAATATTCCAAATTGTTATAAATCCGAAATCTAGTTTAACTTTCTTTAGTAGGGTAGAAGCCGTACTTACCAAGTAATTTTCGATCTTAACGTTCAATATATAGTTGATGTTCCTTTCTCTCTTACTTAACTTTTATTTTACTTTGTTTCATTTCTTGTTATATTAATTGTTTTGGTACTGAAATCTTCATGTCGAAGATAAAGTCAATAAAGTTGTTGTTGTTTATATATACCATGGATATACCCACCTTATAACTTCGTCTGCGCTTAAGAAAAAGCGTCACAAAATCCACCTAAGCGGTCTCTTCGGGGATTTTCTGTTTTACGTTATCCTAACAATCTCTTACTTGCGGGCTTAACAATAGAAACGTCACTATTACCCAACGATTCCATACGTCTCTGATCTATGAAGCATATCGAGATTCTTTCTGGTATACTGACGGTATATTTCAACTTTAAGTACTTTTCTATACACGAGCTACTAGGGCCAAATCCCTGCGGGGGCAATAATCTCATCGGATGCGAGAACCCCCTGTAAATGAGGGAGACAACAAGTCAAACTACATACTCTGTACACACTAAATCCGCTTTTATTTAGTTGAGAAATCAAATAATTTAATAAACGACTTATAATACAGAAACTCTAAAGACCATCCTTGACTAATTAAATTAATTCCCAACTTCAAAAACGCAACGATAAGAAAATACAATTTGATGAAACCACGTGGGAGGTTCCCCGTTCTATCTTACAGGTTTAAAAAATTTACCATAAACCCTCGGCGTGTATTTATACAATGTACAAATAATAATAAAATAGTCTATATACAGAAAATCTATTTTACACTGTTATAAAGATAACTGCTCCTCTTATGTTACAAATAGGACACTTTGATAATCTAAATAGGCTTTTGAGAGTTAAAGATGGTGTTTAACATTACACAATGATAACCATAACATCCGGGGAATGCATTCATGTATCCAGAGAGGTCTAACACCAAATTTTCAGCCAACCAGCCAAGCGTTTACTAACAAAGAAAACTGCAGATCTCATTAGCCAAGTGCGATAAACTCAGCGAGAAAAGTTCAATTACTTGTAAGATTCTGTTACAGTCTGTTGTCACTTTTGTTTTCTCACTTTGTTCACCTAAATTGTTAGACTTTTAAGTTGGGTGCTTGCCGTCTAGTTCTTTTTAGTTTACATTACCAGAAATTGAACAATCAACTGCACTTTGGCCAGTTGGCCATTGTTAACCTCAAGCAGCTTAACACAGCCTGTACCCTTGAAAATACCACAAATACTTTTCTAAGAAACTCTTCAACAACGCCGGCACAAGCCCAGCTTTTTATTTTTTCCGTCTAGACAAACAATGCATTCCCAGGAAACTATGACACAAGGTCTGACCTGCAGAACCTTGGAAAACAATCTTAATTGCCAAAGCCAAAACTGGCTACATTAGTAAAATAATTAAGACTCTCCCAACCCCTCCCCCTCCCCCTTCCCTTTAGTTTTTCCCTTCTATTATGTGTCTTCAAACCGAGGGGGACTGGGTATGAGCTGTAAATTATGGGATTATAAACACAAGATCCATACATAGCAAGAAATAACAGAGCACATCAAGCTTTACAAACTGCCCAAGTTTGGCGTTAATAAAAAAAAACACTGAAGTACTGTAGATTATGTAGCCACATAATTATCTCTTTTTAAATCCCATAATATACGGGTTCTTACCCAGTCAGTCTCGGATTGAAACTACCCAACTAGCCTGTTTACAGAGCAATGCTTATACATGTTGATGTAAGGTACGAATAAAGCTATCTGCCATTTCAACAAACAAAACCAAATGTTAATACAGACAGAATAATAAACACCAGAACAGCTTGTCACACAATGCACAGCTGCATTCATACAGTTTCTTGCAACTAACCTACCTGTGTGACTACAGCTGTGCATTGTGTGACAGTCACCTGCAATAACATAACTCAGAAATTAGAGCAACACAAAACTGATATTGGTATCGATGAACGTGTTGCATCCAGTTTCAACAACTTACTGAAAGGTGGAAATACATGTAGTTTCATGAAAATACTTTTCTTTGAGAATAAAGTAGTTCTCCTTCTAAAATGCTTATTCTTATCAAACGTGAAGTGACTTCTCGGTCTGAGAATGAGACCCTACAGTCATAAAAAAGGCATTCCATTCACTGTAAGAAGTTACATTGTACAAGCTCATTCAATACATTTCCTGCATATCCTCGATTATCAACCCAACTTTTCATTTGAAAGAAATTATTGATCACTACAGCTCCTATAAGAAGCAAACAATGCTAATGTCACAATAAAACAGTGAACATGTTCTGGTGAAACAGAACTGTTTGAAGTAACAAAACTTTAAAAAAAAACAGAGTCAAAGAAAGAAACAGTAACTCATTATTTTGGTGGAAGTTAGCAAGAACATTTAAAGTATGAGTAATCTACTATAGTGGGATATACTGTAAATGCAACATTAACTGACTAGAGGAAAGAGGAGCAGTTCAAGCTTAAATGACTACTGATTTCTCCTGTTTTATTGCAAATCCTCAAGCCCTTTCAATTACCAAACAAAATGGTTGAAACAAAAAATTTATAAAAATTAATGATCTAAACTATACTATTCCTACCAAATAATACTCGTATAGCACTACAATGGTTCTGATCTGAAACTGACATAAAAATAATTAATGAATATTTGTCAAAAAAACCCCCAAAAGGGTCAAGTTGTACCTAACCAATTTAAAAGCAATAAATTGCCTTCAGATTACGGTTGGTAACACCAAACCTACACCATCTGTATGTATCTTATTAATAATGCTTGTCAGTGCTATAGCATCAGAACTGGTCAAATAGTCTGTGCCTCTGTGAAAGTATTGTAAAACTTGAAGTTAACCACTGAAGTGGCTGACTAAAATCAACAACAAAAAAACTAAAATAGCATATCCCTCTTACATGTATGTTTTACCAGATTAATATAACAAGTAGGTGCAAAATTTCTACATTAAATTTATGATGAAATCAACTTTCCAATTAAAATTTCTCCACTTTCTACATGTATGTATAGACTCTCTGACTACGAAAAAGATTATTTTCACGCACATGGTTGCTAAAACCTTCTTTAACTCCAATGATCTTTCAACATACTCCTTAAGGCAATTTCACTTTGTCTAATTCCAATATTATTATTCCAGTTACTCAAAAACTCAAATGGAGCTCCTGATGTGGTCAACTTTCATTGTTACTGTAACTATCTTTGCACTCAATAAAGCAATCATTGTCATTATTATCAATATTGCAGATGCAATAAGTACAAAGACCTAAAACTACTCTTTTTTCACCATATTTTTTTGCATGTGCATGACATTACATGTACACACATTAACCCTTTAAGCCCTAAGAGTGATCAGCATCAAATTTCTCCTTGTAATAATTATCAATGCTTTGTACAACAGAGTGATCATGAGAATTACAGACATGATCACACAAAATGAATTAGCTTGATATTTTTATCAACTTCTCCCCAGTACTTCAGTAGAAAATTAGTAGGGACAACAAATAAAAATCAAATTTTGATCCAAGGGATTAAAGGCTTAAAGTAACCACTCAATGTGTACATGACCAAACCCACACAACTATTAAACTTTTGCCACGAACATACCACATCCTCTCAGACCACACAAACTCCATTACTTTCTTCCTTGTTCTACAAAATACCTCTGGAAATTGGCCAAGCTCTTTATTCTATTTTTCTATTATTTTATTTAGTCCAGGATAAAAACCCTTTCAAACAGAATTGATTTCCTTGACAATATTTCTCAATTCCCTTCATCTGCTAAGCCGCCCTAATTCATGGATGATTAGGGCTAGGAGACAAAGGGAATTTAGAATCAACCTGAATTTAATTTTCACCTGTATCATCAATATTGTTTGAACGAGTTAAAATTAACTTATTCATTATTCTGTTAGAGATCACTTTAACATGCTTGCATGCCATAACTACCAAAAAAATCATCAAAAAAGAAAACATTATTAACATTTTATGCATCAAGCCAAAGGATTCCTCAGTTTGTCTGTATCATTACTTTGATACAAGCAAACTGACAATCAGTTCAAGCATAGTTATTACTGTACACTTGCTTAGAAGCACAAACTTAGCTCATCAAGCTCTCCAAGTGATGGATTCTCTCTGGCAGTAGCTTTCAAAACAGAATGTACAAAGTCAGATGTGTGCCCAGCAACAAGTTGGTTTCCTAAGAAAAATAACAACAGGAATTACTTATGGTAGCCTCCTACAGTAAAGCATGTACATGCATGTGCCGACAGCTTCGTAAAAGCATGTGTTATACAGCTTTAAAGTTACAACTACCACATTCATCATTAAAAAAAAACTGCTTTGAGACTTGTGAATGCATTTGAAGGATGTGTGTACTCTAACTAACACACATCTGCACACAAGAAACTGGACAAGATGAAAACAAAAAAAAATTACAAAATTGCTTGCCCTTCAGGCAAGTTGCTGTTGAAGTTTATGAGATGAGAGCTGTAATGCAGGCCCATCAACCCCCTTTTCACTAAATTTACCACATGTATACGCAACACAAAGTTACAACATGCAGAGGCCTGAAGGGTTGCACAAATGTATTAACAAGCTTGTTCCAGACTATCTTGCTGATATGTTTAAATCACGTTCTCAAGTCCATAATAGACAAACTCGATCATCTGGTGCTTTGGATATACCTTTATGTCGCCTGTCAACAGGGCAGCGCTCCTTTGCTTTCAGAGGATAACATTAAGTCCTTAAAATGCCCCAGGAATTTTAGACGTCATCTTGCAAATGTTTTATTAAGTTGATATATTATATTATTGATATATATTTTGTAATTATAATATTATTGTATTTACATTCTCAATTAATTTATATATTTGTATTTTTTTATTCTATTGAGCTGAAAAGCCCACTTAGGGAGCATCAATAAAGTGTATGTATGTATGTATGTATGTATGTATGTTGTTGCTTCACTAGCACTTTAGACAGCCCTTTTCCATGCTTTTTACCCCCCCTGATGATTTTTGAGGGGTCTGACACTGTAGGCTAAGACATGAATTACATCATCATCTACACTGTATAAAGAAGAAACTTAAAACTGTCAAAGGCTTGACTTTCTTGCAATGAATTGTTTTACGGAATAAGGCCCTTGGTGACTCTTAACCTACATGTAAATCAAAAGGTGCCTTTTGCTACACAGGAATATTCAAGGCACAAGTAATTTGTATGGAGAAGCAGACGTCACCTTCAAGTACATGTACACTACACATTCACTGATCAAGAATAAAGTGTTATACTTTTGGTGTCCTCAATTCATTTTTATTGCTTCCATTCATTAATCTTGAGCACCCCTAGGGTCCAAGAGTCTATTTGAACCAATTATTTAGGGGGCAATCTTGAGAAAGTGCAACCGCTACCTGTACAAAAGCACTCAAGAATGAAACCAAACCTACCAAATGTAGCCTTGATGAGGGACTCAACTTGACCACTTAAGCTTGGCTTTGGTGCTGCTACTGGAGAACTGCCTTTTATTATGATCTCCTTTCTCACCTTTTCAATGACTTCTGTCAAGCGTTCTGAAGGAATGACAAGATAAAAAAAATTTGTCAAGGACAATACTCCCTTTGGTTAATACCCATAGTCTACCAACCCTGATTTTTTCTCTTTTCATTCTTTAAGCCCCAATATTCACATACAAATTCTCCAAACTGATCTCCATACATTTCCTTAAAGAAGTTAAGCTCAGAGAATTAAATTTTAATAAAAGATCAAAGAATTTTCTCTTGGGTGATCATTAATTCTCATAACTGTATCTCTTGACAGTGTATGGATATCGATGGGAGAGAATTGATGTTGATCACTATTGGGACTTACAAGGTTAAAAGCTTCAATGGATGCAGTGTTTTACCCTTGGGTAAATGGCTTTTACCCATGGAATTTCATCCGTGGACACATTCATTTTGCAGGGCTTGAACTAAAATTTCATCCGAGTTTTAGGATCCTAGTTGCCTGATCAGGCAACTGAAATTTCTGTGAAGTTGCAGGTTAACATGACTCAGTATTTTTGTATCAAGCCTATCTTTTGAACTATCAAAACTGTTTTTACAGTGTACATTTGTATTGAAGGTTTGTATTTACGTGCGTCGTGTGTGACTGCGTAAATTAAAGAAATTGAAATATGATCTTGAATAGCCACCGCAATTCATTTTCAAAAACTGGAACGTTTTAGTGAGCAGTCAGTACATTGTTCCAATAATATTTATTTCCATTAGCATGGACCACACACCATTATCACAGACCTCATTATTTAAATAGAGAGTGAATAATTGCATTTGTAGCCACACCATCCTACAAGTACATTTTTTTATTGCCACTTCATGAGGCACTTGGAACTTCTTACATAACACATCAATAATGACATCATCATCTTGATGGCAAATACTCTTGTTAGGAAACAGTGCTACATTTATTTCACAACAGAGTTGTACATTTAAATGCCTGAGACAGAGTTTGAAGATGACCAAAACAATGTTGTATTTTGAGCCTGCATGTACAATGTAAAGATAGCATAAAATTCCGAAAATAAGCCCCCCCATGTATAAAACCCTCCAAATATAAGCCCCACAAAATCGTAACGTGAAAAACCCTCAGTTAAATCGCCCCTCCAAATATAAGCCCCCGCGGGGCAAGTACTTGGAATTTGCTTTCAGATACAAAGTCAAACAAAGCAAAAATGGTAAATAAAACATTTCCTTCCCACTAAAAGCTAACCTGATCGGTTTTGAAACGCAAATTTTCCTCCGTACGTAAGCCCCTCCGAATATAGGCCCCTCCAAAAGGACCTTTGAAAAATATAAGCCCCGGGGCTTATTTTCGGAATTGTACGGTATGTCACTAAGCAATAATGCCAAGACTGAGACATCTGCTCCAAATATCCCTAATCTTTTCTTTACAAAGCTGGACAGCTGTCTAATGTTGAAGAATGTCTACAATGAACAGTGGGCTCCTGTAACTCAATAAGAGACAAAAAAAAAAAGAAGAAAGATTCCAACTGATGAGGATGATCAAATGGAGGCAAAAATTAACTCAAGCCACCGATTAAAAAATAAATCAGAAATTATTTGTGTTTGTTTATTCGTCACCAAATTTTTTTCTCACCCAAAAACATTTCCTGAATTGGAAAATTAAACATGCAAGCCCCAAAAAGGAAAAATTCTTTGACCATCCTTTTCAACCCCCAAAAATTTCTTTGAAATCCAGAAATCCAGAGTAACCCCATGAAAGAAGAATCCACATAGAAAAAAACTTACGTTGTTCCATCTCTAATCCCTGTAATTTCACCTTGTTAGCCTCATGCTGAGCTTTCTTCTTCAATCTACAAGCCCTGTAAACATATAAGACCAAGAAGTTAATACAGTACCATCACATGAGTAAACTACATGCAAAGTCAAATCTTGTATGTAATGGAATAATAGACCTTATTCACAAAACCCACCATCTTTACACACACTTAAGCACTGATGGGACTAAAGCAATGCCATATACTGTAATTTCTCAGGGGCAAACAATAAATCACAACCAAGTTTGTTTATTCTAAACAACAGCAAATGAGGAACTTTTCATCTTACAGTTAAGATGATAATGGCAAATTAAGGGTAGAAGTGATCGCTTTACTTCTTTGGATGCAATACCACCAGTAGATGTCCCCACAGCAGACAATAATGACTTAAATCTCACTTGTTGAAACTTTAGCAAGACCACTACAGCCTGTACATGTAATCTGTCGTCTTGTTTTGACAGAATAAACAAACTTGACTGCAATTGCTTACAATGGCAAATTTTATCACTTGTTTACCCCCTGAATTACACTGTACCATGTGACACTCACTGCTTTTAGTCCATCAATTCTAAAGCGTGTGCAAAGATGACGGGTACCGTGAATAAGGTCTGCTTATTCTTATTATACAGTTGCAATGGTATTAAAATATACTAATGCAAAATTTTTGTGACTATACATGTCAATGCTCATTATAATCAATTAATTTACACAACCAGCTTTGAAGTACTGGCCAAATTTGGAAGCTATTGGATGTTTGTTCCACCACTGATGTCATTGGTGGAATAATACAGCAAAATTATCTGTGCATGATGTTACACAAGACAGCGGTGTGGTCCAGCTTAGCTGTTACGAACAGCAGTGCAAGCCTCATGAAAATGGCACAACCTTTCACAGCTACATGTATGCAAAGATGAAATAAATGTAGTTTAATTACTGACCAAAAAAGATAGCAACGAGACACTGTACCCAAAAAATACAACTTGATGGATGCCAACTGCTTTTTTAGGAATATCCACAGAAAAACAACACTCCTTCACATGCTGACACTTCCAAGGAACAGGAAATGTTTTAAAGAAATTTGACACAGCTGAAGACGTTATAAGGTTAAAAATATACATGTACCTGTATCGTATGGCTAATAATGAATTTGGCTTTTGTTTTTGCTTATTTCAGGCTTCATCCTAATTGATCAGCTTTACCATTTTGGAAGTTCTCTTAAGAAGCCACCCTGCAGTTAAAACTAGAAATTTAACACTCTAATACCCTTATTCACAAAAACAACAATTGGCCACATCTGTGTTTTTTATACATGCATGTAAACTCATAATGCTCTGTTTAAAAGTCACAATTAATTTCTGATCTCGGATATTCGTGACTAATAATTGAGGGGTCAGAAGAATGTCCAAACTGTCATCTAAGAACTTTCAAATAACTTTAATGTACTATAAATACCCAGTGAAGCATGAAACAACCTGAATTTAAGGCAGCTTAGTACAGGATGGCACAAGATTTTTTCCCACTATTGAAATTCCATTCCCTGTTAATTTTCCATCTCAAGCGTGGTCCTATATCCCTACAATTAATTTTAATATCCCACTGAAATGTTGTTATTGTTTTTTTTTTCCTGTAACAGCAGGGAATTTTTTCAACATTTTGTCATGAATCAATAACATGCCAAAGTTCAGCAATCGTGAGTGTATGCACAAGTACAAAAATTTATTTTTGACTCCCTAATGAAAACAAACAAAATAAACCTCAGCTGACCAACATGTGCCTGCACTCATCACAGAAATCCAGGACCAATAATTTTGGATTAAAGACTACAGACTGTTTTCAAAATGGCGAGTTTGCCTTATCTAAAACAACGGCTGTTGACACGAAAAATTACACAATAACAAATGAACCTTTTATTTTAACACAGGCGCGGAGGAAGACTGTCATTTAAGCTCACATGTGCAAGAACGAAATTGACAAGGGCAGTAAATTTGCCATTTCCAGTTGCACATGAACAGTAAACTGTTCTAGAATTTTCTAACAAAATATCACCTGATATGTTTGGACTGTCAGGACAATTGATCTAATAATTTAATACCTTGAAGCAAGCTTGTTTTTCTCTTTCCTCGACTTGTTCCTGGCGTTTTGTGGTAACTGGTGGATCGGTTTTAAATCACCAATAACTTTGTTCAGGCGATCCAATTCTCGGCTAATTTCCAACAGTTTTCTTGGATTTGGGGAAAGGTCATCGTGTTCCCCCCTCCGACCCTTCCTATTCCTAGCTAAGCCAGCTCCTTGCGAGTGGTTACCCACATCAAAATCGTCGTCGCTATCCATCTCCTCATCTGCCGATTCCTCTTCCATCGCCGGGCTGTTCGGCTCAGCTTCCATCGTTTCGGCTTCACTGTCTCTATCAACTTTCTTCCGCGATTGTCCTTCCTCGCGCTCCTCATAAAATCGACCTTTCATTTCCGCAGAAACTAACTTTGGCATTTGGTTAACTTCATCGCTACCCAAACCTAATTTTCTGTCCGGCAAAACAATCATTCTCGTCGGTTTTCCTTGGTCGGGCGTCAATTGTTCCACGGTGCTCCGCCAAGCATTTTCTTGGGTCAGAGTCCAGGTTGGTTTACTTGAAGGTTTCCTTTCCGTTTGTCTAACGTTGGCAGGGTTTTCAAATCTGTCGTTATACTCGCAGTTAGAAGCAATAGAAGCGACAGGTTCTTTTTTTATTTCAATACTTCTCGGCCTTTCAACATTTTCTGCAGTAAGCTCCAAAGCGATATAGCCCTGCGGCTTGCGAGATGTTGAGCAATCCCATGAAGAGGATAATTCGCCTTCCGTTCGAGTGGCTATGCGATGAAGTCGCTCCATTTCTGGATTTATAAGCGGCGACAGTGAGCGGTGATCATCATTTAGCTCGGCTAAAGTTGGCCCAGCTACTTTGCATTCCTCATTTATTCTATCACTTCTGAAAAATTCCAACTCAAAATCAAGGTCTCCCCCATACCCGCCAAGAGGTGAACTGGGCAACGCTTGGAAATTGTCCCAACCAAATTTTTCTCCGTTCGTTCCCCCCATAAATATCGCTCTTCCAGCCTCAAAATCATCGTCTTCGAACGGAGAAAACACACCCCGAAAGCTGTCCTCAAATGAACTCTCCACGTCCTTTGGAAGCTAAGAAATAAACATACGAGGAAGCAATTATTATATAACTGAGCAAATACAACCCGTCGTTCACGAGCGAAAATTTTTAGAAAGAGCGTGGATATTTGTTCTATAGAGAATAAGGGGCAATTTTTCCGATTCACATACTTACTGGAGTAAATTCTACTCCTTGCAGCATGTACTTCTATGATTGAATAAAATGTAAACGTTCGCTTTCAAGGATAAAACACAGATATTTTGCCAGTGGTTCGAGGCAAAATTTTCATCTTTGTTATTGTTTTCATTCCGACCACTGGGGTATATGGGATCACGAGACCTACTTTGTCAAATAAGACTCTACCAACCAATCACAACGCTAACCTTGGCCATCGGGCTCCACCCACTGAATCAACTCGAGGCGATTGTCACGGTTACAGAGCAAAACACTCGAAAAATGGCAGGAGCTTTGCTCAAAAAGATGGCTTTTTCGACACACCTTTACAGCTGCTGCCTTTGAAGGATATACTTTTCCTTTTCCTGTGTACGGTTGTTTTGCAAGAAGGGCCGGAAAATGGTGGAAAGATGTGGCAAAACTGGTGTTTCCTGAACCTATCAGGTTTGTGCTTACGTCACGGATAAAAGAGTGTCGCATTCTTAAACACGCCCTGATTGGCCAATCCGTGGCTCTATACATGAAACACTGACGTCATCATCACTCAGCAAAATAGAACGATACTTCGGTCACGTTCACCATGTAAACAAACCCACGTTTTCCCTTTCTTCAAAAAAACACTGGGGATTTTATGCAACAAATAAAAAAAAATGCGACAAACGAAATTTAATACGATCCAAGGAAAATGAGTTCTTCAAACAGTGTAAAGTCTCCTCTACAACATATGTTATCACGAGCTATAAAGATTACGAATATTCGGACATACAGAGATACAGAATGCTTTGTATTTCCTAGAAGGGACGAGAGCTCAAATATCCCTGGTGTTTTTAGCTACCAGAAGTTGGATAAATAATACTTTGATTAGTAATCCTATAAGCTCAGAGGTTAAACCAAGTGATAAATAAAATGAAAGAAACAGAACCTGATAATTTTTTGTCCGGAATATCTTTGGCAAAATTAAACCAGTATTATTAATAGCTGGATGTACTCTAACCTCATATCAATAAATTCCACAATTCATTAACGATATATCCCAAATAACATTGTTATATTTGTACAAGAGGCTAACAAAATTGTAATTTAGGACATTCGCTTAAGAAAAGAAATCATTATTCTAAAACAAAAAATGTTTATCACCAACAAAACAAATTAATGGACTCTCCACTCTCAGTAATAATATTACCCATGTACACCATGATGTAGCCATAGATTCAGCACTTCAACCATCAAAGCATATAAGAGTCAGGCAAAAAATTTGACGATATTAGGATTACAGAAATACTGAATTTTTTACCTCTCACGCTGGCCCATATTATATAAACAGACATATTAATTTCTACACTGTTACTAAGGCTATGTTTACACATATTTTTTCATAGCCACAAGCTAACTGGTATAGAAGGCACACCTGTACACATTGCACAAAAGAGTGGCACTGAAACCTGTCTGATATGTGATCCACTTTCAAGATTGCCGAGGTGCTGCTTCACTCTGCTACAGAAACTGTACGAAAATTTAAATGGTACATGCATGGTATGCCTGCAGTTATCTTACTATTACAGTAAGTTGTATCAACACAAAAAGAAGTGTTCATTCAATAATATTGCATTTGTGCAATTTAAACCATGAGAAAAGCTTGGAGGCTAATTTGTGTAAACTATATGCATAGACAAGTACAAGGAGCATAAAACATTTCCCAGGAAAGACTAAACAGGAATAATTAAGAAAGACATTGCTTGTAAAAATTAATAATGTCCTCTACATCGTCCTCCTGTTGGGGATAAAGCTGAATCTCTACCATGGGTCCCAAAGTCTTCTTATGTATGGGTACGGTTTTTGGCCAAGTCTGAAATTAATAGTGATATAAGTGAAAAGCTCCTACACTTTTGTGACTGTCTTTGACCAAGAGCCCGAAACATCCCACCCACCACAAATATGCACAAGAAAAAAATTCAAGGTAGTGGATCTCTAAAACTGCCTGTGGAAAAAAAAAATCCTATTTGGGCTGCAATACTTATCAAATTTCATTGAAACACAGAATGAAAGTGAGGATTTTTCAGGTCATGCCTTCTCCATCAACTTATTTAACTTTTTCCTGGGTTTATCTCTCCTCTCTTTCCCCAAAGTTGAGAATCTCGTCCATTTGCAGAAGGGTGATACGAGTATGTGAATCAACATTGGGGAGGGCGTAATGTGACACGTGTTTCAACAAATGAGACGAGTTTTGTGGGTTAATTAATGTAGGATTACTACATAATCAGGTCGTAATGTGATTTTATCTTTAACCATATATACACTTACCATAAGCTTATTAAAGGTACAGTCTGTATGGTATAATTTACAGTCTACCTTCAAGCCCAGTGGCTCATGTATCACATAAGGAGAATAATTATAACTTGCTTTCTCTAGCAGGATTCAAGTGACTAAGAATATTTGCATTCGGCAGCATAAGGACGCAACCACTGAAAACTCAGCCTGGGCATGAACATTTAGCAGAAAGAAAAGGAAATACGTCACAGACCTTAGACTTCATGTTACCACAGCCCATCATTTCTTCAGATCACAAGTGCTTCAGAAAGAAAAACATGTTTAGAAATGCTATGGGGTATATTGAGAATGCTTAATTCAGACAATTTACAGTTGAAATGATGACAAAAATCAGCTACAAAAGCATTGAAGATACTGTGCTTGCCTGATACATCAGAAAAAAAAAGGACATGGCTCTGTACAGTCAAACCCATGCCCAGATCAACCAGAATTTCAAAGCTAGCTGTCAGAGTAAGCGACTGAAAAGTTTTCACTCCAGTATTTTGAACAGCTGCTTGAGGATATGAGGTTTCTGTGTCATAAATAGAAAAAAAAATGGCTTGCAGATTATGAGTCTTGAGCACTGCTTACGCAAGCGAGACTAATGACATCTATAACTTTCGCTTTTTTACAAAAAAATATAAAAACTAACCCAAAATTCCATTGAAAATCTTGTTTCACTACCCACCTGCATGTGGTCCTTCCATCTTAGTATCCTACAATCCTAAAAGCTTTCCAAAAAAACTATTCCCACTGAAATAAAGCCCAGTAAATGTCCAGTAAAAAAACCCCAAGAAAACAAACAAACAAACAATGAAAATAAACCAACCATGCAAACAAACAAAAATATTACCAAACTTCGGAAACTAATATTGTGCAACTGCAACAGGAGGCCATAGAGCTCATAAACAGATTTTTGGGCAATTTTAGTTCTTACAGCCCAAAAAACAGATCAAATAGCTTTAGCAGCCATTTTTTTCTCTGAAATTCTCAAGGCAAATTGGCTACCATAAAATTCTGAAAATAAGCCCCAGGGTTTACATTTTTCAAAGGCCCTTTTTGAGGGGCTTATTTCTGGAGGTGCTTATACATGGAGGGGCTTATCTACAGAGGGAAATTTGTGTTTTAAAATCGATTGGGCTAGCCTTATAGTTGGAAGAAAATTTCCCTTTTTGCTTTGTTTTACTTTGTATTTGAAGGCAATTTCCAAGTAGAAGCCCTGGGGAGGTTATATTTGGAGGGGCGATTTAATGGGGGGTTTTTTGTGTTGCGAGTTTGGGGGGCCTTTTTTGGCAGGGGCTCATACATATACATGGAGGGGCTTAGTTTTGGAACTTAACAGTAATTTCACAAAAAATTCAGCTGCAGCAGAATTCAGACTGATCATTATTTTGAGTCTGTAACAATGCAGTGTACATGAATGCACTGAAGACCGTCATTCAGTAAGTATAATGTTGCTTTGTGAATACCGCTTTTATTCAGCTACAGTAAAAACCCGCATATAAGAACCTAGTGATTTAAAAACCTACAGGCTGAAATTTGGCATTTCAATACCCAAAAATATACGAACCTGTTTAGCCTGGCAAAGAAAAATAGGTTCTTAAACAAAAAAATCACTCTAATTTTGATCGTCAAAATCCTCGATTTTAATTGTGTGAGAAACTTTTGACAAAAGGTTATTGTGTATATGTTTTCTTTGATTTACATTTGTTTGGATTTTCACTAGAAGTATGTTTTCCATTAGAGCTACCGTACAATACAGACGATTCAAAATCTTATTGAAAAATATAGAAGTGTATTAAGCTTCCTCTTGGACCTTAATTGTTTGCCATTATGTATCAGTAGTACAATATTTCTAATACTTCTGCCAATGGTTAACCTTTGACAACCTCAGAAAAATAAGAACCTTTTAAGAACCTAATCAACTCGAATTGAGAAAAGCTACCCTAAAATATAAGAACCTGTTCAGCCTGACCTCAAAAATTCTAAGTTCCTATATGTGGGTTTTTACCATATAAGCTGATCTTGGCTATAAACCGAGACCCTAAATTTTGAACGCGTAGAATCAGTATAACCAAGAACGAAAAAGAAAATCGAAAACACCTAACTATAGCCAAGATGCATTCATTACAAGACTTTAAACTACGGTAAAACCAAACATTTTTGAATGTGACCTTCTCCTTGAATGGTTTTCTTAACGGGTTTACTAAACAACATAAACAGTCACATGATCAAAGTTTTAAACAATAATTGTTTCAAATTTTTGTTGTTTGGGTTCAGTAAGTATAATGTTGCTATGGCGAATACCGGTAATTGAATATACATATATGGTTTATTACCACAACCACTTTGCCTTTTCTCTTTTAAGTGCTGCATGGGTTTCCAGGGTAATGCACTGTTCCAAGTTTCTTACCTCATTTCTCCCTAGTCCAAAAACAGCAAAATTTACCTTGTTTAAATTTCAAAAAATCATTATCATTAGGTATTTAAAGCATAATGGAAAGCTATAATACCTCTTTTAAAAGGGAAGAAAATAGAGCCAGAAAAAAATATTTCATTCTATAGCAACTCATAATATTTATTCACAAGGTTTTGAATGATGACTTTGAGTCCTACAGGGTTCATACAAAATGTGGCAACCTTTTTTTAAGGCCTTTTCAAGGACCACATTCAATTTTCAAGGATCGCCTACCAAAACTGTAATTTCACAAATGGTACATAAATACACATTGCCTGTCCAAGCTAACAGGACTTTAAGGTTTGAACACTACTTACTTCATCTCCTTCTCTACATAATTTTTTCAGTTCACTTTTCTTCAATTTTTAGTTATAATTTCTTGCATAACACAAAACCCTTTATGTAAGTTACCCTTACTTCACTGAACTATGATTTACATTCTGTCTTGGACAACCACAAAGCATTTTAAAAAAACACTTTCCCTACATACCTTTTTGCAGAAAAACCAACAAAGCATGGAACTCTGATAAAAAGACATTGTACATGTAGCTCGCACAAGAGCATCAAGACTTAAAAATCAAAAGAAAAAGATGCTGGTCAATTTGCTTTTGACTGATCACATTTGAAGCTTGAACCTCCATTACTTTTCTTCTCAATTTCTCTCTATTAGCTGCTTTTGCACCTGGGCTTTCACTGTTTAAAGTTGCCTTACAAAGAAAAAGAATATCAAAGTCTAGGAAAAGCAATTTTCTTTCAATCCCACTGCATTCAGAGTCAAAGAAACTTCAAGGACTTTTCAATACGGTGCGAACCCTGGTCCTAATGAAATCAAAACATGCCAAAATTGTCCTTCTTAACTAACTCCGGTGGTGCTCAAAGATCTTCAGAACATTTTCGACAAAGTTTGGAAGTCTTTGAAAAATCATCAAAATCTTCCAAAGTCACCAGGATTTTCTCAGAAATCCCACTCATGACATAGTGAAAAAATCTAGCTTTTGACTCAAAAAAAGTTGACAGGTATAATAGTTGTTTCAAATTATGCAATCATGTGAAAGGCTTGAACCCAGGAGCCATTTCATCAGTCCAGAATATCCCTAAATTTAAGGACAGGGCCAACTGGTCACGCGACACTTTTCAACCAATGAGAAGGCGCGCTTGTGTTTATCAACAAACAAATCAAAACATCGCCCCAGTGATCAAAAATTTCAAAACAGCGGACAGAGTCGGACAGAATTAATTTAATATTTCAGAGAAAACATTTCATATGAGAGAATAAGAGCATTATTCATTGCAAGGAATCATTGGGGTGTTCGAACTGATTCTGGACCGATCACAGAGGTCGTGGCTTCACTGGCATGGCTTGCAAGATTTTTGATAGAAGCAAACTGCTCCCGTGTAAAAATAGCCTTAGAGAGAGTGTGAAAATTTGTTGAGATCACACAAAACAGGGTTGGTACTACCTATTAACTTCAACAGGACAAGAATCGAAGAACCAGTCATCATCACAAGAATAAAAAGTAGTTCAAATTTATTAATTTTTCTTGTTTTTTTGTGTTGTTTCATGTTGACTTCACACATCTGGTACTTTCTTTGCTTGCTGTAGTACCTGCAATATTTTAATATTGTCCCAGATAATCAGTGCATGTTCAATGAGTAGCAAAATACATCATTCACACTTGAAATTTGCCTTCTTTCTTTGATTGGATGAACATTTGAAGAATCCAACAACATTAAATCTTTTGCGAAAAAAAGTAATAACACGGCTCTGTGAGAAACTCAGGAGTGCAAATTCGAAAATGTACATGTTTTGGACCTCGGAATTCAAAAATTGTCTACCAAAATTCTAGGTTGTCTACCATCCCCACATTCAACATGATAAAAGTTAATCGATATGACAATCGAGGAAAAATATCTAGAACTTCGTGAAAACTCTGTGAATCGAAAAAATAATAGATACTTGTTTACCTACCTTGAAAACCGACCAAAATTTCGCCTCTACATTGCGTTGTTTAAAAGAAGAAATAAGCCACAAAATGTGCTGAATATTTCACAAGACACTTCTAATATGGCTTCCGATACACTGTCCACTTAAAGAATTGTGTATGCCTCATGAAAAGTCTTAAAAATATGCCTGAGAGCCTCGAAACGATGACTGATTGACTGAATGATTCTGTCCGACTCTGTCTGCTGTTTTGAAAATGTTTGATCACTGGGGCGATGTTTTGATTTGTTTGTTGATAAACTCAAGTGCGCCTTCTCATTGGTTGAAAAGTCTTGCGTGACTAGTTGGCCCTGTCCTTAAATTTAGGGATATTCCAGATTATTCATAAGTAGGTGGAGCATGATTGTCTAGCTGATCGCAGTCCAGAATAGGGCTTTTTGTAGATAGTGACTGATGTTACGACAACCTGTGTGGCCACCTTTAGAGTCAAAGTGAGTTGTATCACAGCAGTAGATGGTATTAAATGCTGGTCATTGATCTTATTGGTTAATTAAGTTGCAATGTTATTGGTCGTTAATGTCATTGGTGCATTTTGATCAAAAAATCACATTGTCGGCTTTCCACTCATTCTCTCATTGTCAGTTTTGCTTGAGTCTGTCAATAACTTGTTTGTCCCGTACTGGCCATAGTTGACTGCAGTTCAGTGGCATTTGTTTTAAGTTAACAAACCAGCTTTGTAAAGTGAGTCGTTGATAGAAGTCTGGAAGTCTGAAGAAGGGGGGCGGGGGGGTTGGGGGAAGGTAGGTGGGGGTTTGGAAACTGGCAAGCCAACATGCAAGCAAGCAGTTGCTAAACAAATCAACTGAACTTCTTTAAAAGGACCACTGTTTGAAGGTTAAAGCTTCCTACATTATAACCTTCTCTAAGAGGAGTATAATCGCAATACCAGATTGGTTCGTGGTCAATCCTTTTCATCTATGGTCCAAACCCTTCTCGATTTTAGCTTTTAGTCTAAGATTTTTATCTCACCTCAATCAGCGGTTTTTAGTCTGATAGTGTGCGATTTCCTTGCTGATTTCAAGAGTACCTTGTTTATGTTCCATTCGTTTTTTCGGCTGGTTTTCATTTTCGCTTGATTCGTCAGCCACAGTGTTCGAAAGGCGAATGACGCATGACGCAAAGATACGCCCACGGAACTCGTGATCAGCGTCGAAAGAAATAGAGCACAGCATTACCAAGTGTGATAGCACAGGACCAGGACAGAGCGCTCAAAAGGTCCGGGTCGATCCGGGGCTCCCAACGACTGAAATGTTTCGAGATATATCAAGTGTTTCAAATGGTTTTTCTCTAAGCTTTACAAGTCTGTTTGGTTAATCCGGGGCTTTCCTAAAAAAGGTTACTCTGTTCAGATGTCTTAAGTGAACTTTGTTTGTCTCGCGGAAAAGTGTTAGGCGGCTTTCTTAGATGCTGCCTCTCTTGTACACGGTTAGCTACCCATAAAGTTCCGGGGACGTTTTGCCTTTTTTTGAAAATTATAACAAAATTTTCAGGAGACTCCTTTTCAAGCAATAACCACAATATCTTGGTAATAAAATATGAAAATCACAACCATAGGTAAAGAGTAGGTAAATTCGAATATCTTAAACGAATGAAACGTTTGCCCAAAATTTTTTTAGCCTTTGTCGAGCTTTAGAAATTTCTAGGCAATATTTGGTCCTTCGAAGAGTTATTTTACAGGTTTAAGTCGTAAGGTGTAGCCTCTGCCGACAACCACCCATTCCCCTCCTGAAATGTGGACAAATAAAATAAAAGCACTAACTAGACTAGATTTGGTTTTTACGTCAGCTCAGTCGCGTCGGCAGACGCTATTTTCAAACGTAAGTGGTAACCTCTAGGCTGGTAGCCTGACTGCTCGCAGGGAAGTTGTTTTTAAAAATTACAAAAAAATGCTTTATTCATTCAACCCTTATTCATTCAAACATCTGTAGTCCTGCAACGGGGTTACCATCACGCAAGACGCCTAAATAAAGGGAAACAAAATTTAAAGTAATGAAGTTAAAAAATTTTCTACAAAAGATAAAATGGATAAAAAATTCCACGGCGTCAGTCATTATGCAATATTAAAATTCATCATTGACTAAAGTACTCAAATAACACTTTTTTGAAACGATCTGCAGACTTAATGTTAAAAATTTCGCTTCGCGACAGCAGAAGATTGTGTTAAAAACTGGCGCTATGCCATTTAAAATTCAAAAGTCACAGGAATGTTATTCATGGCGAGAGAGAATGAGCTTGTCACGTGTAAGGACAGTCTTGCCCCATGTAGGAAAAGGAATCCAAGACAGTCCTGGATTCTGGATTCCGGATTTCAGGTACTGAATTCCAGTTTTTGCCAGTAGAACTTGGATTCTGGATTGCAATCGTTAGTAGGATTCCGGATTCCTTGAGCTGTATTCCAGCTCAAGCTCATTCGCGCTATCGCACTCGGTTCCAAGCCTCATCTGGTAACTCGGATAGCGCGAACTGGCCTGGGTACTAGGCTGCAACAACGGATCATTTTTCAAGGGACATCCCGTTATTTCTCTGTTCGCTCTTCACGTAATATCTTAAAAAGAAAAACTCCACAAAATTTCGCTTTGAATCTAAAGGGGTGTTGCTCTTTTTTTTTTCTTACCTAGAAATTGTTCTGTGTATGTAACTGAACTTTTCATTTATCGTCATTTCTTGTTCGCAACTTCTGAAGCACCAAGAAACTTTCGAAAAATTAAACGTTTGCCAGAAGAACACGTCTTGAACAGTCGTGAATTAGGTGAAACTTGTCCTCTGTAACTGAAAGTCGTTAACTTCGGAGCAGTCGTAGAAACAAATATCTATACAACCATTTTTATCATTGTACCGTTTTAATATTGCGTAGTGGTCAATCATTTTTGTCATACTTTACTTTTCATGCATTTATGTTTCCTTTAGCTTCCCGGTAGCAAGGCAAATTCTTCTTGCCTTTTCCATAGCAGTATTAAAATAATTATAACAGAGGAAAACAGGACGCTGTGGGAGCGTATATTTGGGCGTCGTTGTACTAGGCAACAATGAAATTTAAAATGTGTGAGTAGTGCAGTAACGTTGTATATTTTAGGGGTTGGTTGACACGTGTGAACTAGAACGCGTGGAGTTATATTACATGTGGATTGGCAAGATAATGGCTGCAGTTTGTTAAACTGGTTTCTCGGCGTAGAATTTGATATGAATTAAGGGAGGGCTTATTTAATTATGAAGGGATAGTGTAGTAACAGTCTGTTGAAATGAAGTGGTGGTTGTGAAAGATCTTATCAACAGTCGAAAATACACTTGAACATCTTTTAAATGTTGTTAGGCTTTCTGTTTAGGATTGTTTTTCGGTTATTTTTGATAATATTTGCATGGGGAGAACGTGGATTTGGGGAAGTTCATCTAATATGGAGAAGTGGGTATGAAGATGTTTGGGAGGAGCGCTGAAATTTTGGGTGTGTGGGTTCGGGGAGATTGTTTTATACGCAACGACGCAACAGGCTGAGATCCCAGTTTCGTGATGCCGGGATCCCAGCTGGAAATTTTTGAAGCAATAAGGCTTGCCGGGCAGCTCGGCAAATGAACCAAGCGAGACACAGGACAGCGGGTAACACACTGCCAATGCGCTCTGTATAAAATGGCGGGTCCGGGCTGGCACGTAAAAGGTTTAGAATTTGCCGCTTTTGTAAAACTCGATTATTAAAGCCTGAGAAACACGATTTAATACACGCTCCATAGTTCGGATTACTGTTAGCTTGCGGGCAACAAAATCGGTCAGCTCTCCGGGGCGCTCTGGCGGTGAAAAAAAAGGGAAGGAGAGAGAAAGCTCTCCTTCCCCTCTTCCCTTCCCCACCCCGGTAACCCTGGGTGCCCCGGGGGAGCTTGCTCGTAGGCTAGATAACTGTTTGTTTGGCATGCTAGTCGTTTTTTCTTTCACATCATTCACGACTTGAGGCTGAACAAAAACGCTTTTATCATCGTTCATTACAATTCTTTGGCTAATAGCTACGACCGTTTGACGTGAGTTCGTTTGATGAGAATCTCCACAGCACAGAGCTCTTGATTCTGAGAAATGACTCTCGAGTCGAGCACATCAGATCTCACTCAGTTGCCAGAGCGCAGAATGGCACTGTACTTGCTTGGGTCAGCAAGACAGCCGACGCTACGCAGATACAAAACTTTAGATGAATGCCAGTGAAGTCACACCACCGAGTAGATAGGCTCCATTACCAGCCGCTGTTCGGGAAATGAGCCCGCGCTCCTCCTCCCTTCTCTTCGAGAGAGAAGCGGAAATCGAGCCTACTTGGTAGAAAAACTCACATTAAGTAGATATTGATGTAGCAGCTATTCTCATCCCACAGCCCCGCTCTCCCCGATAAGTGGCACAGAGGAGATGCCCTGCCATCCACACTGATCATAAGCCACTCATTAGTTCAAGCCCGCCTTGGATTCAACATACTCCATCGCTTTGGTTTTAACGTTTTCCACGCTGAATGCGTCACCATATTTACGTTCAAAGTCCAGGTAGCGTTTGAAGAAGAGTTTCATCTTTTTGGAAGACAAGTTAATGTGGATGACTCTCTCGAATATTTGCCTGATAAAAATAAAACAGCGAAAACTTAAAGCAGGAACTACCAACTATAGAGCGTTTTCACTCACGTGGCCAGCATCTATGCAAATTTATTGGAACAAAAGAAAGTTTTTACATGAGAAAAGAGTTCAACTCCAACAGGATTAGTTTGGAACACCAATATGGCCGCCGTGACGTCATGTGAAAACGCTCTATAAGGACACTGTACTTAAGTTCTGGAGACATGTTTGCCATTATGCGTCAGAAATTTGAGCCAAGAGGAGGTCCAGCTATGTGTAGGACGCAAAAAAAAAAAAAAAAAAAAAAAAAGAGGCGGGAAAACATCGCTTTTGTTGTTTTAAGATCTGAGCATTGGCCCCATCGGGGATCGAACCCGGAACATCCCACTCTGCAGATCAGCGCTCTACCTGCTGGGCTAAATTACACATATCTATAAATATCGGTAGAGAGCCTGATAACATGATATGAGCTGGCTCCGTCTGCGGGGCTGGGTCCCTTTGTCGAGTAGCCTGGCTGACTCGGTTGCCATGTAATAACAAAGTTGATTTTGGTTGCGTGCCGAGATCTCGGCCAAGCGATCTCGGCTCTTGTAATTGGACCCCAAGTCTTTACGCAAAAGACTGAACTAGTGACAAATCGAACTACAACATAACAGTGTCGATGAGGACTGGTAAATGCGCAACAGGTGCCGAAAGCAGGTATACTCAGAGTAAACTAAAGGCAAGATCAGGGCGTGATGAACTCGAAGAAAAACACATAACAGCGGAACGTGCTTGAAGTGGAAACTAGTGACCAAACGCTGGAATAATATAACAATAACAACCAAAAACAGAAACACTACAAACGTGTAAGCTGAGTATTAAAAAATCACCAGGCTTAATTATCTAAAGAATTCTACCTCAATTGCTAGAAAACTTCGTTCATAAAAAAAAGCGAATTTCAAGAATCAGGACAAGTGAGCTTGGATCACTAAAAGCACCCTGCCAGCATAGTCTTCCTTTAGTTTGCTTTATTTTAGCGTACTCGAGAAAGGCTCTGCAGGAATCACGGAAGATCCTTCTTGAACATGCACGGCAGGATGCAAGGACAGTTTTGAACCTTGTAGGCCTAATAGCCGTACGCTTGCTACAGCGGGCTCGGTTATGACCATCGGTTTCACAATAAACGGATGCTTACACTCGAAAAGAAAAAAAACAATTTGACGAGAGAGAACAAGATTGACTAGTCCAAAAGTTCGGGCGGCGGCGACCTCAAAGGATTGAGCGATTCAGACAGAACCTGCTTTTATCCTCCTCACTCAAGAAGACAAAGGGATGCTCTGCTCGCAGGGTGCACTAAAAGATGCAAACAGTGAACACTTTAAACCACTTATAAAACTGAATTTGTGAGTTTGTTCCTCACCGAACAGGCTCCGCGTTCCCTTGCTTAATCATCATATCCAGATAAACTGACCAGAGGTCACTTCTTTTGGGATAGTTGGTTAGAATACTTTCCAACATAGTCTGCCCTCGCTGTGGCTCGCCATATCTGAACTCATGCAGGGCAAACTGCACGATAGTTGCAATATCTGCAAAGGAAACAAAAGCAGGAAAGAAAAACAAAAGAAAAGTTAATCACATCTGACCAGTCACATCGTATGCAAATAAACCAATGAATAAGTAAATCTAAACGCAAAGAGAGACAGGTAATGGTGTGCGCAAAAAAAGACCGCGCGCGGCGGAGGGGCGTTTTTATGGAAGGGAGAGCGGGTGGAAATCGTCGGGCGGGGCGCCCTACGCATCATCGGCCATCGACTTATCCCTTTCGAGTGTTTGGCACACAAGCTTTGCCAAGCCCAGAAGCAGAGCGTAATTATACAGGATTGGCGAATGCATTACTGGCCGATGTACTTTTTGACTCTAAAAAAGAAGAAGAAGAAATAATGCCTTTATATAGCTAGGGTAACACTAAATAGCCCAAGGCTAATAAACTTGTAGCCCTCAAAAAAGCTGAGGGCTACAGAAAAAGCTGTAATGAAACTTGGCTGGACTAAGAGAAAAGAGATTCTCTTTTCCTTCTATCGAGAAAAAAAAGTCAAGTAAGAAGAGTACAACAGCAACACCAGCGTTCTGAAAGACGACATGACTAGTACCTGGCAAGCGCGGGACAAAGATAAAAACTTGAGTCTCCGAGAGGACTCGAAGCCATGACATCCCCAACATCGCGAGGGCACTCGGAGAGACTTATGGAGAGCCAGGCAATATACTACAATCTTACACAAAAACCTTGAAAGACTTTGTTTATTTGTGTGTTGACTGCGCTTGAGGCCTCTTAAGATGCCAAACTACCCTACTAAGCTAAATAATTATTCATACAGCGAGAAAATTGTAAGACGTATGAGAAACATTTTTGCTCACTAAGTTGACAAAATGAGCATTAAATATCGCTTTGAAGATTACTTTTAGCGTCTTCCTGTTTTTCTTTGTGTCCTGACTGCATTTCAGACATCCTAGGCACTGTTTAATGCATTTTTCGAGCGACAGTTTTTCACCCAGATGACGGGCTCTCATAGTGAGCTTGGGTTCCCTGTGATAAGACCTAATGAACTACTCACGTTTTCTTTTCGGCAGACTCTTGAGACTCCTTTGAAGCAATTTTCTGCCTGACTCAAGCTTTCCTTGCTTCATGTAGAATGCACCAAAATTAACCCAAACCTTTTTGCTTTGACTGAACCGCTTGCTCATCGTCTGGTACAATTGTTCGGCCAACTACAAACAAACCAAAAGCACAGATATATTTAGCTCGGGTAGCGGACACTTGGAAGTTATGGGTGCGAGAGAGAACGGCGCTCGCTATGGAGACACGCGAGTGGAGAGGGAGCGTGTTTTTGTGTCTTTCTCTCTTTCTCCTTGTGTGCTCCCCTCGCGCGGCCCGATGTGTTAAACTAAAACATTTTGGAACACGAGTCAAATAATTTTTCATACCTCAAATTTATCTGTTCTTGTGTAGATACCAATCAACTGAAAGAAAACTTTCTTAGGCTCACTCTGCTGCAGGGCTCGCTCGAACACCTTTACCAGGGACTCTTGTGCGCCATACAGGTTTTCTAAGTTCATTAGGGCCACCCACACGTTCAGCTTTTCCTGCTCCTCCCTGTTGAATGAACGCAACATGTGAAAATGATGATGGTTAAGTATTTGAGACTAATACGCGCCTTAACTCTAATCAGACAAAAACGCTGAGAAAGATTAAAAGGACCGTCTGGTAAAGAAAATGAAAGATAGATCATACTCGCTCTATTCTTTTCATCATAAGTTTCACAAAATTTGACATGCTCGCAGCTGGCATGATTGGGATTTGGGAGAAGGGAATCGAAAGCTCTCGGTGCGAGAATGGAGGAAAATAATTGACACTATCGAGGCAGATAGTTTTAATAATGGCTTTCTGCGAGTTAAAAGATTTTGACACAAAGACAATTGCGACACCTTACAATAAACTCATAACAACTAAGCTATATCAGTTCTAAATAAGAAAAAAATAGCCAAACATCAATTAATCAATTAATTAATTTGATCATGTCAGTCAACAATTAAGAACGATAAAATGTCAAACATTACCTAAATGATATTGTCTTGAGCGCTCTCTCGGCTACAGCCCTTGCCTTGTCAAAGTCCGTTGTATGAAGGTGATATGCCATGTACTGTAGCCACACCACCGAGTTGTTAGGCGATGACACCACAAGGCGATCAAAATCATCAGCGGTCTCAGGCAGTCGATTCTGATCTAATAACGACTGTTCAGTCTGGAGAAGAGAGAAACAGCTAAGTCTTTGATACATACACGACACAACACCTCGGCGCGCGGCACATGAAAGTAGTTCAGGTAGTTAAATCTAGTCTATTCATTAGGTTAGTTTTCTTCAGTCATAAATTTAACCAAGAAACTAATAACTAAACTTTGTTGCTATTCAATCAGTATCGAAAGTCGCCTCGTTCCCAGGCCCTTTTGTACTCGTCCCCAATCTCTCTCTATCCGGGGCCACGTTGGAAACGAGGTTGTATCGATAGTACGTCTCCTGGGTCGTTCAAGCAATATTGGCCTAACTTTCGTTTTAAGGGACTGTGCCACTACTTTCTAGTTCATTTTGTTAATAGGGAGCTTTAGCATCGACAGCGACGGCAGCGAAAACGTCCCTTTTCAAATGAATTTACGTTTCTTTCAAATTTTGACGCGTTCATTCCAATTCGCTTAAAATGACAAAAGTAGGTGAATTTCCCTGGAGTTGACTTCTTCCAGGGACTGCAATCCAGCTAAGAAAGAGAAAGAAAAATTCGTCGTCGCTTGTTTACGTACTTCATAAAACGTGAAATTAGACATTTTCACGCCGCAGTCGTGCAGTGACGGCAAAGAAATGTACAAAAAAACGTGATGCTTGTTTTGCTTAATAAATCCATTACTTTTTTTGCCGTCGCCGTCGTCGTTGCTAAAGCTCCCCTATAATACCGATAGTATGCCCTTATTCGCTATGACAATTATGAAATTACTGGTGAATGACAAAATCACAGCTTCGTGCCACACAAATGTCTCTCAAGCAGTACTTCAAACGTTACAAATAACAAAAATGTACTTTATAAAACTGTTCGGCTAACAAGTTTTCAAAAACCACAATTGCAATGCCTTTCAATCTTCTTCAATTTTGTCCGTCCGTGCTTCCTTTGGTATTTGCTGTGTCTTTTAAGGGACAGGTTCACGGTTCAGTGCATGCTCGTTAAAATTCTATTTTTTTTGTTCAAAAATGCTATTTTTCTGCCGGGATATGCTGTATCGTCTATGCAAGCAATATGATCATGTCGTAATGTTGTCAAAGAACTAATCTGCGCACTCCCCCGGCAGTCACTTGATCAACTTAGGTGCAAATAGCTGTAAAGTTATCAACCATGGAATAAAACCCTCGGGTCAACAATAAATTCAACGTTGGTAGTGTTGGCATAATCCACTAATTTTTCTGCGATTTTAGTACTCCTCCATCCCACTTCAGGTTACCCTGAAATACACTTCTACTTTGAAATACGCTCTGAGATCGCTGAGATACATGTGAGTGGGATTATTCTGAACCGATAGAATTAACAATAAATTAGAAAAAAGTAATTTAATTAATAAGCATGCGCTGAACCGTGAACCTGTCCCTTTAATACCTTCTTTTAACTTATTCAGGGGTTATTATCATGTTTCACTTAGTTGCATGGGAAGCAGCTCCCACTGTCTGAGCTTTTATAAATTTCCTGACACAGCTCCTTTTAGTTGTTATCGCTAGATGCCAGTCGGCCTTACCTTGTATAAGAAGTCTTCTTCAGCTTTCTTAGCAGCTCTCTTTTGTCTTTTGCTTTTCTTACGAGCAACCTGTTCAGATGAGTGAAGAAGAGGGTTAATTATTTGGCAAAAATGCGGTAGTGATGAACAAAGATCTTTGATAGTGAAAAAGACAAAACAAACGGAGAACGAAACAAACCTGTTCACTGGTCTCCGTTTCACTGTCGCTGCTCTCGTCATCACTTTCATGCATTCTCTTGTTATTTTGTTGCCCTTCTTCAGCGCCCTCGCCGCTCCAGTCAAATCCGCTTGAAAGCTGGGAACAACGAAGTAGGAACAAACTACAAATGATCTAGGAGTAGCCTTCCATGATAGACAAAAAATTATACGGCAGGTGTAATATGGGAAGGGGGACTTCCAGAGTACAGCAGGAGAAAGGCTAAGAAAAGGAGGCTCCAATCTAAGGAATCGTGCATTACCACGTTTTATCTATACTTTAACAAACAAAATTCCGAGACAACTCAAGCTACATTTAATGAGAGAAGTGGTTTTTAAAGAATATGCTGCCAACTGAAATTTGTGTAGAGGACAGAAAAAAAAATGGACATAGGAATACCTATCAAAGGTCACTTAAAGGTGATGTTACACGCAACGGTTTTAGCGCAACACAGTGTTGCAAGGTTGGAACAACGTTGCAACCATTGGAAACATTGTCACAACAATGTTTTAACGCTGTGTTGCGCTAAAAATTGTCATTGCGAATCGTCCGGTGTAACATCACCTTTAAAATACTACATCAAATCTAATATAAGGCTAAAAAGAAGCAAAATTAATTACAATGCAAGTGTACTTGACAACACGGCTAAAAGAAAAACGGCTGACGCAAAGTGCATCGCCTTACCTGTAACCTTGCTAGGCCATTTATTTTGTGTACGCCCTCCTTATCGGCCTTGAATATGAAAGCAAAGGAAAACACATATTATACCATCCTTAACCATAACAGAATGAAAAAATGTGCACCATTCGTAGTAAGTCAAAGGTTGTTTTCTGACCTCTTCGTCAGAACTGCTTTCCGCTTCCTCGTCTTGTTCATCATTATCAGTTACAGCGCTATCTTCATCATCTGAGTCTAAAATTAAAAACAGCAATAAAAGACAAGCTGTCTCAACGCAGTTAGCAAGAGGTGTCAAGATAATAGCACAAATCGAAATTTCTCTATCAGAAAAAAACATTTGCTCAGCATTGCAGCCCGGTTCAACCTGGAAGAGACTGGGATTGTGAACGGACTGGAAAGGGTGCTAACTACGAGATTAACAGTTTAGAATTCATACATGGCCAGCTTTTCAGTTACCTTGATAGCACTGGTCAATGGAGATGAGTTGCCACTCAACAGAAAGGGAAAAGGACAGAAATCCCACACTATTTCCTGATCTCGAGACAATTTTTACTGATCTACAGCTGCGCCTTCTCCTCAGGCAAAAAGTCCCGTGACGGCTGTACACAAGCTATCTCTGGCTTATTTTACAACTACCAATATTCTCCTCCTCCTTCTATTACGCGTTCCATGCGTTCTGGAGGTTATTTTTTTCAAGTGTGAGGGGTATTAGCATTGATCAACATGAGGGTCACTCATTCCAAATGAAGATACCTATTCAAGAAACCCCACGGCGCCACTTGAAATAAAATTCCTTGACATTTCACTGCCTTTACCGAGAACTAACATCATACCCGAATTTTCCCTTACGGTGGCAACCCAAGTCTTTCTCTGCGGAATCAAGTTAACAGGATATGGGGTAACCAAAAAAATAAAATGAGCTATCCATTTTTACGTACCAGTCTTGAGTTTCTTTAAAATGTCCTCTGCCTCATCCTCTGAATCTTCCTTTGCCTCATTATGTTTCTTCCTCTTTTCCCCTTTCCCTTTCCGTTCCTTTCGATTTTTCTCTTTTTCTTCCATTCGCTTTGGTTTTGGCGCAGGGTCGGTACCTCCGACGTCTGTTCCTTTGAGCGACAATTCCACGTGACCTTTGGTTGGGTTCACACTAGCTCGAATAGAAGACGAGAGGAACATAGACGGTTAACGAAAAGCTGTTTAAGGATAACTGCATTCTCATTTTTAACCACCTCGAAACGCAAATAAAATAAGAAGCTGTAGTGGTAGCCTGTTCCAGAAAAGTCGGATCAATTTAGGTTTTTGGGAAACTGTCCACCTACCCCTCCCTTAAGCCAACATTAACACTCACCGCTCACTTAGGGCAAAATGTTGGCTTAGGGGAGGGGTAGGTGGGCAGTTTCCCAGAAACCTAAATTTATCTGAAAAGTCTTCCCTGCGAAACGACCCCAGCGGGGAGGAAGGAGGAGAGACGGCAGTTAAGTTCATAGGCTACCTATCGTGGGCTTCATTCATGCAATAGTATCATATTAAATAACTGATTAAGTTCTAGGGCCTGTTCTTGAAAGTCTCACTAATTAACGAGCCTGGAAAAGCTGTTGTTGTTTAAATTCGAGATTGAGGTTTTAATAGCTTTGAAGATAACTGGATAAAACTATCAGTTAACCAAACTATATGATTGGACTGTTTTGCTACTGAGCTAGGAACCGCGCTCATATCTATTCCTTAGATTTTGATTTAAAAATTCAATTTTCGGCCCGAAGAGTCACCGGGACTTCCGGGAAGGGCCCCTGGAAAGCCGTAGTTGTTTGTATTCAACATTGAGCTTTCAATAATTTTGGAGATACCATGATAAAGCTATCAGTTAACAAAAGAAAAATAAGCCGATGTAAAAATACTTCAGGAGCTATAAAGTTTACCTCACAACTTTGCCCGTTACAAGTTTTCCGGGATGGAAGAGAGGTTTCCATTTCTTCACGTAGTACTGCGAGAGATTCTTGATCTGTACACGAGCAACGATATGATGGGAAAGGCTAGAAATGATACCAAAAATGAGTATAAAAGGTCATTGCAGCTCTGTTGTCTTTTCGCGGACGTGGCTAGAGTCATCCGCTTTGTGTTATGCCCTTTATAAATTTCAGCTGCACTGAATGTATTGAGAATGCAGTACCTACCCCTTCAGCATTTCATTTGTATTCAAGCTCACTTACTTATCTGAAGTTTACGTCACCCACATAGAACAACTCAAAACTATCAAAGTGTTACACGCGAAGCGACATCCGCTGGTATTTCTTTCGCAGCAGTATATACTGGCCTCAAATGCGCTCTTCCTATACCTGTTCAAGCTGCTTCTGAGAGACTGGCTCGATGAGGTGATGGTGGGAAGGCGTGGAAGAGGGAAGGCGTAAATTGATAAGTCGTGGGAAAGTCGCGTTACCTCAATTCTGCTTGACTAGGCTGAGGCAGAATTATTAATCATCTCCCGAATTGACAACGCCCAACGTTGCCGAAAATAAAAAGGGAACGTTAGTGAAAAAATAGCAGCATTATTCAATACAACATGGTCCTTATTTCTTCCCTCTGAACGCTAATCACGGAGAAGGAACCCGTTAAAAAACTTGCCATCGTTAACGAGTGTTTTCAGTTAAAACTGCGGTTTCTGACAACGCCGACATTTATGTGGAAATTAGCCTTATCAAGACTCGATATTTTTTAATTGATATACTATAATTTGCAAAGGTTTTCCATCTCTCAAATACAATTTACGCGCAAGTGTCGAGTAAAGGAAAAAAGGGCAATATATATGTGGGGGAGAAAATGCGAAGCAAAGCCAAAACGTTGATAATAAAATCAAAGTCAAAATGATCTTTGGTTGAAGTGGGTGGGCAGGGCTGATTTGAAGGTTGCAGCAGTTTCCGGTGCGATTAAATCAATAGAAAAAGCGTTCTAGTCTCTGATAGTTCCACAGAAGAAACTATAATACAGTATATTTTTGGAGCTTGAAAAAAAGTGTCATGTGAACCAACCTGACAAAAACCCCGACATCAGAACAGGATTTTACATAGCCACGGATAATATCTCCTTCCTTCAAGTCGTCCAAGCCCTTGATCTCTCGATCCATCTTCTCGCCACCAGCAACTGAGAGGAAGCCACCATAAAAATAGTGTAAATTTTACAATATAGTTTGAATCACGCGTAATGCTATAACAAGAAGCTGTTGCATGATTAATCTTAATCCGTTCACTTATAAAAGAATCATAAATGATTCCGTGAAGAAAATAGTCTAACTGAACGATTCACTTCAAAAGATGCTAACAGACATTGGTATTAGAGCGTGCGACTGCCATCTCCCGATTACAGACATTACAGCAGTTTGTATACTTATTCAAAGTAGACATTTATTATTTGTAAGATGTGAGAACTAAAATTAACTCACTACTTTAGAAACGATGAGGCGACTGGTGCCGATCTATGTCTCGCGATTGTTCCTGGGATCGTTAATGGGAACGCGCCGGTCTGTCAGCTGTTTGCCATTTTTTCCCCTTTGCCTAGTAACAGTCCCAGAACTCTTTGCGAAAGTTAACTCGATCCAGTTTCCCTCTTGTTTTTAAAGTGGGCAATAAAATCTTGTACAATCTGTTTCTATTAATCGAACGCTTCGCCACTCTAATATCTGACGTCAAACCAGCGAAGACTTCCGAGCATGTCGAAGCAAGTCACAAGATTTCTCTTGAAAACTCGGCTTCTTCTATTCGCAATATTTATTTATTTATTTATTTATTTATTTATTTATTTAACAGTTTTTACTCTTTTTCACTAGTCTTGCTTGTGAGCTATTTGTATATATATAGCATAGTGTAACCACTGCTCGCCTCGACTAGCTAATCTGCTTACTGCGGGCAGTGGATATTGCTGGCTGTAAAATTTGCGATAATTAATAAACAGTTAAAAAGTTGAACCAGTTAAAGACTACTGAAGACTTGCAAAGTTTATCCGTGAGGAACCTTGCAAACACTATTAATCACGAATTGCACTCAAAGTGTTGCGAGGTCTTAAAAATATAACGTTGACTATGATACACAGTAAAAATAACGGCAACAGCAGCAGCAACGACAAAACAGATGTGTGCTGTAGGTATAACGGTAGAATATTGCGCTAAAAGTTAAAAAAAAAAAACATGATTTTCCACTGAAAAGACGTTCCTTAAGATTGTTGGGAAAAGACAGGGTCATGTCTAATATGATAACGCTAGAATGAACAGTCAAACATACCTTCCTCGTTCATTGTTGATAGGCCTTCAGTCCTACCGAAGATAAAAACACACAAAAAATGAAGATTATTTCACAGCATTATAACATGCGAGGGTAAAAATTCTGATAAAAGTTTAAAGGTTATCTGTATCGAAAAAAGAAACATCCGCTAAACAAGGGAATGATAACCTACTGGAACTTGAAAACTACAATAAGTAAAAAAATTACGTCCACCTTGGTAAAAAAAAACAACAACAAAAATCGCTTGGTTATGCGGTCTTCAACAGAAGGGAAGACCAACTAAGGTGAATAAATGATTTAACAAACACTTACTTCTACAGTGGCACGTACAAATTTAAAAGGCAGCGGTTCTTTAAGTGCTACCACGATCAAATTTGGGAATTTGTTTTTTTCAGAACGCTTTCTCACCTGGAAGGTCTCAGTGACAAATCCAGTTGACCTTTTTCGTTGCTTGATAAAACGAAACAGCTGCAAGTGAAGAAAAAATTTTCGCTAGTTCGACAATATTTGGAGTTAGTATAACCAGTGAACTTACTCTTAGGGCCTGTTTACAAGAAGTGGGGGACCCCGGTCTAGTGGGGCTCGTTTCTTTTGTTTTCACGCTCTGGGGGACACAAAACAAAAGAAACTTACCCCACGAGACCGGGGTCCCCCACTCCATGTAAACAGGGTCTTAATTAAAGGTAGGATAAAACGGGAAGCAAAAACGTGCAACTCGTCTTGTAACACTGCTGCGACACGAGTTGAATAGCGATGTTATGCGTTTTACCACCCACCTTCACACCTGTCCTCCAACAAATCGTGTTGTTGCAGGTTGAGAAAAGATGTTTTTGAGTAGTCCCACTTTTTGCTCTGTTGTGTGTTTTACCGGCCCAAGACAAACTTGTTTTGCAGCAAGTGACGTAACTCTCGTCAATGGCGTGACTCCCGCGTAATCAAAAGTCAGTTTTCACGCAAACCTGATTTGTTCCAGGAGAGTTAAAACGCGCAACAATGCTTTTGCAGCAATGTTCCAAAACAAGTTGCACGGTTTTGTTACCCGTTTTTTCCGTGCCTTTAAGATCCAACGATGGCCACGACAGCGCAAATTTCGCTTAAAAAATGAATTCTTGTTCTTTTAATCTTCATTGCGATTCGACAAAATCACTTACTATGCCAGTTGTAGGCCAAATAATCTGGAGTTAAATTATGAAGAACCATATCCAAGTTCAGAAAAAGAAAGAAAATTTTGTCGTGGCTTGATTACGTCCTCTATAAACGTGAAATTGGGCATTTTCAAGTCGTGGTCGTGTAGTGACAGCATAGAAATGTACAAAAAAACATGAAGCACGTGCATAGTTGTTTTGCTTATTTCACCATTGCCTTTTTTTGACGTTCTTGTTGCCGTTGCTGTCACCGTCGGATCTTAAGGTCCCTATTGTGAAACGGAAGACTTCTACTAGCCGGCGAATGTTATGTGCTGCCAATTAGTACCTCTGGAAAGAAATCCTCAAAAGTTTCTTATTTAAATGCTGTTCACCCACAGATGGAAAAACAAATAGAGCGAGCTTATCTCAAGATAAAACTGCTCAGCTGCTTCAAAAAAGAATTTCAAAGCGCTCAGAGTTTTTATAAACGCGCTCTTAAGTTAGAATCGCCTTCACCAACATCATGAACAATAACAAAGGGAAGTGCAGCTCAGTGGTACTTCACAGCCCCATAAGGGTTGGGACTACTAACTATTAATCAGTAACGGAGTCCACTTACCGTAAAATTTGATTAACTTCAAAGCCTTCTAAAGGATTGTCCACGTAGCTGTCCCGGAGATCAGTCAGAGCGACCATACCGCTCTTTTGCAAGGGCAGCCGGACATAGAGGGCTTGATCGGGAAGAACCTTTGAAATTTGACCAACAATCACTTTGCCAGGATTGAAGGCTGAATCGGCTTTGACTGGAAAAGAGAAATTCGAGAATAAGGCCCACGTGTGTACGCCAATGAGCGTTTAACAAGCAAAAACCAAAGGGCTCACGAGCCACTGAACTTGAGAAACGAATTACAGGGGGCACACAGTTTCGAGTTTGTTAACGCCGCAATCATCTTTTGTGTAGTTTATATTGCAAACGGTTATTATAGTTGACTGTAAGTCGCATGAGTTTACCACGTTACTTGTCCCATATATGCGTGCGCAATTGGTCAGCGGATGAGAGGAGCCTTACAAATTTATGGTAGGCACCATATCCTCTCCCTTAGGGTAGTCTGCTAATGTTTCCTGAGCAGCACTTCCTTATCAAATGTAAGCCCTGACCATTCCACCAGTTTCATGTGACAGGAATCGCAAGAAAGTGATCTCCCTACATCACTAAAATTGTTTGCTATGGACGACAGCAATAACAGTGGCTCACTGAAATTTAAACAAGGTTACCGGCGATTGAAAGATCCAGGAAGTTTCGCTCCTTGTCTACATTCAATACCATGCATCTGTAGCCATCACCGGGCTTAAAACGTGTCTTCAGTGACTTCAGTACCTGAAAACAAGATACGATGCAATAAACAGAATGGTACTGAAAAAAAAAAGAACAACAACAACAAACTTGATGGTGTCTAATGAAGCAGTCGAAAAATAAGGAGTTACCGGTAATGACACGAAAAACTAGCTTGTTCTAGGCGTCCAGATAATACAGAGCTTTAGATTTGAGGACGAGAACGAGTACGAGTACGAGATTTAACTTAAAGCTTTTGCGCGTGTTCTCAAAAAGAAGACACCCCGGAAAGCTTCATTTTACTTTTCTTTTTCACCAAAAAAGTTCGTACGGTTATTTATAGTGAAGGAGGTTAAGCCCTCTCTCGATGGCAAAATGATAAAACTTCTCACATTTGATAACCTGTTCACGCCACTAGGACATTCTCGCTGAAACCCGTTGTAAAATGACGACGGCTATCACGTTTTCCCGCCAAAATGACGCTGTCGCACGCATAAGCAATACATGTACTCAGTATTGAGAAAATCTCGTACTCGTTGTCGTCCTCGTCCACGAATCTAAAGCTCTCTGTTAGAGTGTGGCGCAAAGTCAGAAAGCGGGAAAAAAAATTAGGAGGAAGAGGGGAAGAGAGGAGGTTCCTTCCCTTGTACTCCCTACCCCACCCCTTCGCTGTTTTTCTGCTCACATCTCTTTGCGCCGTCCCCACAATCTGAACGCCTGGAACAGGCTAACGAAAAACAAACAAAACAAAACAAAAAAGAAAGGGAGAATCGACGAACCATTTTCTACACCTCTTATGTATGCTAATCACAATAGACCCTTCCACAGCTTCAATTTTTAACTGGGATTCTGGGACCAGTTAGCAAAAACTCGTGAACACAGCTGGAAAGAACACCTTGAAACCGGAGAAGCTGCCAAGTTTGAAAGTGATTTGTTTAAAACTAACGAGGATATAGCTCCAGTAAGTCACCGAATTTTACAGGCTTTTGTACAGGGGGGGGGGAAGGGGGGAAGGAGATCGTGCCCCCCACCATACAAACGTCTGTAAAATTTCGCGTCCTTGTGGAGCAACGCCTTCGCTCGCTCAGGATGAATGACCTTTAAACGAGGTATGTTTCCTAATTTTAGGGCAAAAAAGTTGGCGGGTCTGTCATATTTTCATCTTGGTTAAAAGCAAGGCTTTTAGATAGAATACATCTGATGGTCTCAACTCTACCTCCACATCTGAAGAAGCATGTAATAGTGTAACTCTTCCATTAACTGACGGACTCGCCATCATCCATACGCAGTGATCAGTGGCCTACAAAGAGCAAAGAAATATCCAAGTTAATGTGATACCTAATACTGAGGCTATGTACAAAGACATTGCTTGAACTATCACGAGCGAACAAATGGTTTTTAACTGTGTTATCGACGGTACCATTCCTGGTAATATTCACAATTATGTTCTTACAGGGTTTTTAATGAAACTCACCATCTTCACGAAGCAATTTAGTTCTTCTCCAACTTTATACTGATCCAGTTTCTTGTCCAACTCACAGTCCTCGGTGGATTCCGTGTCCTCTTTTCCAGCGCTGCCTGGCGACAACTCACTTGACAAATTACCAAGAAAAAAACCCTCACTGTTAATACGTCGCATGGTTATCTTAGGCTAAGTTCACACTGCACAAAAGCTATCCGGTATGGTGTGAACTCCTATCCTATATAAGATTCTCCAATTTAGAGTCGGCGCGGCCTGGCTTCTCTTCGTTACAGAAATCGCGCCGAAATCAACGTCTTTATGTGTGAACAGAATCCCAATACGGTACGATTTTTCGTGCCGGAGCAAAAGCCATACGGTATGGTATGAACACAGCCTTACTCAACACATCAAGAAACATTTTCAAATAGTTATCAGTTGTAAACGATTCCTGTTCTCGCCTTTCAAATCCCAGTAAGGTCAAATATGGTGGTGGTGGTGGTGGTGGTGGTGGAGGGAACAAAAAATGAGGAGGGCCGAAATAATTGAATTGTGAAGAAATGAGAAGGGGGTAAAGGTGAGTCAAACATTGTGTTTAGAAATGGAAATAGCTAGTTTGCCTTCGAACTCAAAAATATGCACGATTTGCACACCAAGAATCAGTGAAACGGAACTAGAATAATTCGTTGTCCGTAACAGACGATGAAAACGGCAGGAAATAGAACTTGCATAATTACGTTCTGGCACAGTGATTTTGAGTTACAGGCTAAGTCAGCCAATGAACACTTTTCTTATGTTTTAGTCAACCAAATTCAAAAAGCAATGTATTTATCGATTTTGAAATAACTAGTAAATCTATCAAACGGGTTATATGACCTAAAACTATATAGCACATGATCATGTAATCTCATTTATTTTTTGGAAGAAGGAGAATTCTTACACCAGAAAGGTCAGAAAAAGTTCCCTCCACCAGCCTACAAGACCAAGACTGTACACTACAATTATTAATGAGACAAAGGCAAAAAGCCATGACGCCATAGGTGTTAATGCATTCCTTCGAAAAAAGGAGTCTAACCGGTCCCTGCTTTACTACTGTTTAAGAATATAAACTTACTACAGATAGGAATAAACGTAACCACAAACATGGTTTACTGCAAACTGAACAGTAACCTCTTTGGGAACAGTAAACCTTTTGGGCAAATGCCCTTGAACTATCTAGGAAGAATAAATCTTTAAGTCCTCTAGATTCCGTTTGGTGACCTCGCCAAAAACCTATTGTGGAATTGCACACATTTTAGGCATTGTACTAATGAACAGTTACGACATATAGATATTTCTAGCAACAACAGTTAGCTGTCTGTCCCCTTTAATTTCACGTACGTTCAAATTGTTTGTTTTTGTAGGCTACTGCATGTTTTTGGTAATCACGTTGTAAAATATGGACTTTGCATGAAAAGAAAGGATTGAAATTCGGGTGAATTTACGTAATGAATGATAACAGCATTACCTTGGTTTCATTGTAAGCTCTGCCACAGCCTTGGTAAAATTTTGATGTGATATAGGTAGGAATCTAGTACAGAAACAGACAATAAATCAAAGCTGTAGTGCATAGCAAAGGGTAGTTTGAGCAACGCTGTAAGTCTAATGTAAGCCTTTAATTACAGAAGATTTATTGTCGCCCGGGACTTCTCTTTCAGCTCCAACGATCGCGACATAACACCATATAGGTTACCCCATTTTCAAATAAAGCATTAACGAACTGTGAGCTATCACAGACACATCTTATATACGAACTTACTTGTGTGTCTTTGTGTCCCTGAATCCCATTATTTTAACTTGAACCTTGTCTCCATTATGAAAAGCTTTGAAAGGAGACTCGCCCTACAAAATAAGAGATGACTCAACAAACGCAGAAGCATATGTCAAAAGCGAGTTGACAGTACGCGGGAAAATGACGTGGAAACAAGTGTTTTTGCCATCTTTCCCAGAGCACATACACAAAAAAGGCTGGTCGTAGATTCAACTATTGATTCCGTTGCGAGGACAAATTTCACTACTGTGCACATTTTCACCCCACACAGAATTCGGGGTTTAAACAAAAAAATGCAACCATTTTTCACGGACTTTGTTAAGGATCACATTAGATTTTCAAGGACCACCTACTAGGAATATAATTTCACAGCTGGTAGAAAACTGCACATTCCCAGTCTCTTCTAATGAGACTTTAAGGCTTGAACTGTTTGCTTCACCAACTTCTCTACATTTTTCAGTTCACTTGTCTTAAATTGATACTTAATTATTGCATAAAACATAGAGCACTTTATGCAAATAACCTTTAAATTCTCTCAGTTATGACTTATATACTGTTTTAGACAACCAAAAAACATCAAAAACACTTTCCAGGCCACTACATTCAATGTTGAAGAAAATTCAAGGACCTTTCAAGGACTTGCACAGAAATTTAAGGACTTTCCAAGGACTTCCCCTAAACTTCAAGGACTTGTGAAGACTGTGCAAGCCCTGGAAATGTTGTCCCTGAAACGTATCGCTGGAACATATCTCTAGAACATATCTCTGGGACATATCCTTGCAACATATCCCAGGGACATACCTTTACAACATAACCCTGGGACATATCCTTGGGACACATTCCTTCAAATAACTCTGGGACATATCACTGCAATAAATCCTGGGACCAACATATTCCCGGAATATACCGGTATTCAGGCAACATATCTCTGAGACATATCCCCAGAAAACACACTGGGACATATCCTTGGAACACATCCCTTCAAATAATTCTGGGACATATCACCGCGACAAATCCCTGGGACCAACATATTCCCGGAATATACCGGTATCCCTGGGACATATCCCTTGAACTTTACTTCCCGTGTTCTCCAACCTCCATTTTATATTCTCACCTCCGTGACTTCATCACAAACATGTGTGACATGCACTCTTCCGTGAAATTTTCCACCGCATAAGTTCACGTTCATCTGAAAGTCTTTGACTGATTTAACCCTACAAAGCAAAAATTCTCTCTCGTGAGACTTTTTTTAAATACAAAGTTTTAATTACTCCTTAGTTACTTACTGTACAGTGGTTATGGCCCCAGGTATAATATTTTCCTTTTCAACGTGTTTTTCTCGAAGCGTTACGAGCGGTAGAAGATTATCTTTCATACTTCCTTGTCGTTGTACAAAAGCAGAATACGTCTGTCCTACTGCAAATCGTTTGGACGCATCGCTGATGTCATTTAAATGCTAGGAAAGAAAAAAATAACACTTAAAAGAGCGAAATAAAATTTTCTTCTTACGAGAAATGTATGTTATGGTTGCATTTTATGTAAAATTGAATGGAAGTACTTGTCGAGAAATGACGAACAGACAAAACACCCTAATGACTGACTGATGAATCAACAGGATATTGACTTACTGACCGATTCATTGGGCAGGTTATGAACTGGGAGAATGATAGATTAACTGACAGTCAGATTTACTGACTGACTGATTGACCAACCGACCGGCTGTCAGACTGACTGACAGATTGACAGGTTGATGAGTCGACTGAATAATTGATTTATTGACTGCCTAATGAACGGACAGACTGACTGACATATGCATTGAGTGCCTAATGAATTGACAAACTGACTGAACCACAGACTCAGTGACTGAAGTAGTTATATTACTGACTACCCTGCGAGCAGAGGCTACATTTTCGCGGTATGAGTTGGCGTGCGAAAAGTAGCTACTTTTCGCACGCTAGCTCATACCGCGAAAATGTAGCCTCTGCTCGCAGGGTAATTACTGACTGGCCGACTAACCAATGAATAACTGCCTGAAAGACTAACTGACCAAACACTGGAGCGACTGACTGGTTAATTCATTGACTCACGGGTGAAGCGATAAACCGTTCAATTCATTGACTTGCAGGCTGATGACCAAACAGACTGACTACAAACTGAATTGCCGAACTCACTGACTGACTGATTTCTTTATCGACAGACTGGCTGTTGTCTCATTTATCATTAATAACTAATTGCTAACTTTTAATTCCTGCTTTGCTTAATCTTTTCTAATCTTCCGTGCTAGTTTACAGTATTTAGTTCAATTCGTTTAATTACTTTTTTTATGTTATCCAATTTATTTACGTATTTATTTATTGTTCTTTTCTCTGTTCTCTTTCTTTCAATAGAAATTTCGAACCTAATAAGACTATGAGACTTAATTAACAATACGTTTTGAGATAGTAATGACTTCGAAAATGACTGACCAATGCTACTCACAGATCAGTCAGACTTGTAATTATTTTTAATCATTAATGATTTGAGTAAAGTGCGTTTTCTTCGACTGACAGGTAAAATTTACGGACTTCTTCGACAAATAGACCCAACTCCTAGGTCTACAATAACCCATACCAGTTTAGTAGGTGAATAAGCCAGCCGGTAGCCATGCTGAGGAAGTATCACCACAATGAAGTTATCTTTGATGAGTTGGACACAAGCTTCAACTTCCTGTCCACTTTTTAGCTGCAGGATAGAAAACTTTAAATGAGACTAAATGAAATTAAGGCTAACGTAAGAAAACGCCAATCAACAGTCTTTCACGCGAGATTAATAATTTCAGGCAAAACTGAGGCCCGCTGGGCCGAGAAAAGATTATTTTCAAGGCCGGGTCCCCCTCTTATCTTAGGAAATGGAAAAGCTGGATGAGCCACTTACTTAAGGTTCGGTAAAACGGGCCGCACAAACGCGCAACTCGTTTTTTGCAAAACGCGGTTGAATAGCGATGTTGCGCGTTTTACCACCCACCAAACAAATGTCTTGTTGTAGAAAGTAGAGACTAGTTCTACTTTTTGCAACAAAATCTGTACATGTTGTGCGCTTTACCGGCCCAAAGCAAACTTGTTTTGCAACCAGTGACGTAACTCCCGTGTGCGGCGTGACTTCCGCGTAATTTTATCCAATTAGAAGTCAGTATTCACGCAACTTGCAGCAAACTGATTTGTTGCAAGACAGGTTTGATTGATGAGTGGTAAAACGCTCAACATCGCTTTTCAACTCGTTTTGCAGCAATGTTGCAAGACAAGTTGCACGTTTTTGTTGCCCGTTTTACCGTAGCTTTAAAGGGGCTGTATCACGAGGATACTGCTGTTTAAGTCAATTCTCTGTTTAAGTCATTACTTAGTGTCTTTTCCCATAAGCAAAATATATCAAACAAATTTAATGCACTAATCATAATAATGATTTCGCGGTGGTTTTTGCAGGTAAAGCATTAAAACTTGCAAAAGTTAGCCCAACTTTTCTAAGTTTCAATCCATGTTCATCCTTGCCATCCGTCGCAACAGACGACAGAAATTTTTTTCAATACTTAAATATAGCCCTAAATAACAAACCTAGCCCATAATTTTTGGGTAAAAAAAATAGATGCGAAGGCAAGTTTTAGCCTTTCAAAGAAGTAGCAAAATAATATGACATGGCCCCTTTTAATAAAGATCTGAAACCGACAACATAAATGGTAAGTACACATTGCATTTGAATATTTTCCACTAAGACGGTTTTCCCTTGTGCCCAGTTTTAGGTTTGGGAACCTCTGGAGATAAAACGTTAACTGAACGTTACCTTCTTTTGTTTAACTTTCTGAGAATTCACAGTTTTTCGTTGTGCTACCAGCTGTTGGTTCAACGAGATGAAGACCACCTTCTTGTCAAAATCCCAGTCCAATACACAACCAAATACAACTTCGCCAGGGTCACAACTTACTCCTTCAATAAAAACAAATAAAGACAGTTAATATTGGACTACCTTATTATTGGAAATTAGCGATGCACAAATTTACACGAATGTTCCAAAAGTAAGGTTTACATACATCAAATTAACGGTAAATCTCCGAAAGCAACGTGCACCTTATTTTACGCGAATTTGCTGCAATACAAACTTCTCAACGTATATATCTAAAGGAAAAAAATAGCATTTTCAGTCATCCTCGGGGAAACGGATCAACACGAAGACCAGTCAAAAGACATTTTGCACCCAATTCTTAAAGAAGAACTATCAGATAGTGACTCCGAGGCGTTGATAGAGGAACTATGAGAAAACGAGGTTTTGTTATTGAAATAAAGGTGCTGTAACACAACGATGTAAAATAGTGAGATTTAAATTAACATTGACGTAGATTAAGACGCATTAAATTAACGCGATTTTTAATGAAGTGCATCGTTAATTTCCTGTAATAAGGTATTCTGGGTTGTCAGATGAATGACGTCACCAAAATTCAGACTAAGGAATTATTGATTCTTCTGAGTGCTTAATTTCATGTGGCATTACAGCACACTTGAACACTTTACAAATTCTCGGTTGGAAAGGATTCTTCGTTTTGCGATAGAGGAGCTAGAATTTCTAAGCCTTTTTCATGCCAACACAGCGTCTTCATACAAAGCTCTATAATGGCTGGTATTCACTAGCGACGGAGTCGGAGTCGAAGTCGTAAACAGGGGCGTACAACTTTACGATCTAGTGAAAATAGCGTTCTGATTCCGCTTACTCCGTCGTTTACGATCAAGTGAAAACTAGGTTGTCGGAGTCGCAAGCAGAAGCGGAAGAACTAAACCAATCACAAAGCGTGGGAACGTGCATTGTGATTGGTTTATCCTTCCACTTCTGCTTCCGACTCCGACAATCTGGTTTCCGCTAGATCATACGCGGAAGGTAAGCGACTGAGTCGGAAGAAATGGAAACCTTCTGATTCTTCGAACTCCGATTCCGTCGCGCTTATGACTCCGCTTACGACTCCGATTTTTGACTTTCATTAGGTCATAAGCGCTCTTACCACTCCGCTTACGACTCCGATTCCGTCGCTTGTGAAAACCAGCCGTAAGTGTTCATAAAATTCTTTCGATTATTTCGTATATCAAATATCGCACAGACCAGATTCTTCGGTAAGTTTTTTTGCCTATTTATCTCCTTTCATTTCTCACTTTCTGTGTTGAATGATTTCGATTTTTATTTCGATAGCCAGGTGACAATGAAAACAGAGAATAACGGATTCCAGCCGGGGTTTATATAAACCGACCTTTAGCTAGCTGATGTGGAACAAATCCCTGGACTCTATCAGCTAGCTGCAACACGATGCCTTGAAACTTCACATGAACAACCTGATAAAAACAATTGACCAAAGCGGAAACTACCATAATATTCATAAAATTTCAAAAAGATAGAGAGTGAGAAACCAGAGCATGGCTAGCCTGTTCCAAGCGTTCAGATAGTGGAGAGCGTTGCGGAGTAAGCTCCTTTTTACTTCGCACCGCTCCCCACTATCTGAACGCCTGGAACAGGCTAGAGCATGGCCAGACTACTGTCCTTAGGCAGTTAAATGTGGGTGGCGTAGTGATCGTTAGCGAGTGATACAAGGGTCTACTAGTAGATAATAAAAAAGTAAATCATATTGATGTCAATTTTTGTAAAATCACCTTTGCTTCAACACAGGTTCCTGGGGTCAACGAGGTCAGAACTTTCATCTCCTCTATGAAAACAATATGGAAAATAATAATAACATGTAATAAGGGCAATTCAATTTTTAAAAGCTTGAAATGAGGGCGTAAGTAATCAATTCCTTATTTTGTAAATGATATTTTCCGCTATTCTTCACCTCAGAGGCAACAAAAAATTCACTTAAGCCTACAGTAGGCCAAACGTCGAAATTTTCATGAGACGAACCAAACTCTAATTTGGGTCGACCTAAATAAAGTTAAGATCGTCTATTGGGTCAGGCGTCCAACTTAAGACGCTTCGAACCAATAAACTGGATCAGACCAAACAGGAATTTTAATAAATTTTTTTCCCTAACGAGGCTAAAGATAAACTATCATACAAATTTTTCATTCATTAGTTTTAATTAGTTCGTCGCATGTGAAGATCGACGTTTGTCCCGGAAACGATCCTCAGACGGAAAGAACGTGTTGGACGATCCCGGCAAACGCATTCACATGAACGTAACTGAGCAAGACGTCGAACTTTTCATGAACTTCACTCACTAAGTTTGGTCCTCTCATGAAAAGTTCAAGTTCGACGTTTGGACTTGGCCTTAGTCTGTCAAGCTGAGAAATACCTGAACTGGCTGCCAGCTGCAGTGCAATCTTCTGTCTTTCCGATAGAAAATTTTCCAACAGTTCTACTCCACTTACAACATCATAGCCTCCAGAGTATCGTTCTGGGAAGCATTCAGACGGCTTGAGGCTGACGAGAAATCTTTGTCTCTCCGCATCAATTTCGGTCACCTAACATACAAAGATTGGAGAAAATACGGTGTGTTGGTTTTAAGCAAGGCCATGATCACACGAATCAGGATATTTTTGAAACCAGATTTTTTTTTACCCGAATCGGCCTTCCGTCCAGACGAAATCAGTGAAACCGCTCATCGATACAGCATCTTTTTGAAACCACTCTCCAGAGTGTGTTTTCGTTTTGTATTGTTTTGTTTTTGTTTTTTTTGGGAACCGACGGATTTGCGAATTCGTGTAGACAATTGAAACCAGATTATTTCGAATTCAATTGAGTAAACAGTTTCAGCCTGGTGGAATTCCTATGAACTGGACCTAAGTAAAATTCGCTGCGCCTGTGAATCGACATGCTTTCGACAATGCAGACGCAGAGCTTACCTCAATTTCAAATGTTTCATTTTCCATTTCTTTTCAAACTGTATTACCTCGTCTCCAGAACATTTTTTACAATAACTTGCAATAACTTCTCGCGCTGATAGATTGGTCGAGATCTTTGGTCGAAAAGAGTACATACTTTGGAAATGACGAGATGGTGACGCAATTTTTTTTCTCTTTCTTACTTGGACGATTTTCCGAGAATCTTCGACGGAAATGAACGTCCGAAATTGTCAATGTTATTGTAAAAAGACAACTGGACAGCAATTTCCATGGTCTGTACTCTTACCGACCAAAGAAATGACGTAAAAATGTTCAAAACTTTGCCGTGAAACCACTCGCCTGCGGCTATATAGTGGTTCTACTTGAGTTTTGAACATATTGACGTCATTCCATGGTTGACAAGAGTTCAGCCCATGGAAAAATTATTGTTGTGGATTTTTCAAGTAGATTTTGATATGTTCAGCATTATATGGCTGGGAAACCCAATCAAAGCTGTCATTAATTTGTAGAATACGTTTTAAAAGGATGAAAAAAAAATTTTTTTTTGAGTGGTAGTTGCTGTTCAACCATCCTTTCTACCGTCCATATGTCGCACGTTTTTGATAGGAACTCTTATAGGCAACCCGCGTTTTTCGACGGGAAATCTCATGCTTCACTACGTTTTTGAAATTAAACAAACAAGCTAACTAAAGAAAACAAGCAAGCAAGCTTACGAGCTTTTATAGATATCGGTATTGCCGGTTTTAAGCTTACATTTGACCAAAGTCAACAATCATGGCGAGCAAAAGAAAGGAACGACAGAGACCGAGGTTAATGATTTTGGAGTGAATGAAAGCTCTGCATTTTGGCGTGGTTTAAATGGGCTTTGTCACGAGAATATTGCTGTTTTAGCTCAATTCTATGCTGGACTCATTACTTAGTGCCTTTACTCAGACACAAAATGCTCCCTGAACAAGATATCAAACAAATTTCATCAGTGAGCACTAACCATAATTTTTGGGGGGTGATATTTGCAGGCACAGCAACAAAAACTTAAAAAAGGTGCCCAACTTTTCTTAAGTTCAATCCACGTCCATCCGTGCCATCCGTTGCAATGGACGGTAGGAAACAGTTTCAACGCCTAAATACAATCAAAGTCTCGCCTTGCAGACACCCCGCTATAACGGGCAACCCGATAATACGGAAAACAGCTAAATCCCAGGCAAAAATAAATTACAGATGTTTGACTGAAATAGCCACCCGCTATTACAGACTCTCGCTAATGAGGACAATATCTCGAGGTCCCTACAGTGTCCGCTATAAAGAGAGTTGATTGTATTCGGGGGACAAATATATTCTTGAATAACAAAACTGGAGAGTTATTTTTGGAATTCAATTGATTTAAGCTTTTTAAAAAGATAGCAATTAGCGTGACATAGCCCTTTTGAGTACCTTTAACTCATACATTAATGGTTACAATTAGCGTGACATAGTACCTTTAAGAACCTTTAACTCATACATTTTGATTATAATTAGCGTGATATAGCCCCTTTAAGAATCTTTAACTCATACATTAATTATTATAATGAGCGTGACATAGCCCCTTCAAGAATCTTTAACTCATACATTAATGATTATAATTAGCGTGACACAGCCCCTTCAAGACCCTTTAACTCATACATTAATGATTGTAATTTCAAACCTTTGCCATAACTGTCTGTCCAATTTTAAAATGTGAAGCAGGCTCAGACACAAACTGATCGGCTAGAAACTGGAAGGAAATAACAGGAATTCAGAATTAAATCAGTAAGTGTAAAATTGAAATAAATTTGCTTTTCAGGAGAATAAGTATGGATTTCTTTCCCTTTCCTTCTTCTTTCTTTCCTTTGTCACCGACATTTTGCACATGGAGAGGGATGAACCGCTAACATCTCCGCGTCAATAGCAGGAGCTTAGTCGATCAGTCGGTAACCGTCCGTGTGCCAAACGATGGCGTACATTCATGATACTTACAGAGTTTGGAGCGAGGCCAAAAATTCCAGTGGAAAATTCAATGAATACTCCATAAGTCATCAGCTTCTTGACAACGCCTGGTAAAATCATTCCCACCTAGAGACAAATTATATTGAAGGCAAAAGCGAGCATTATCATTAAACTTGTATAATGCGGTAACGATAACTTCGCTTACTTTGTCACAATGAAGTTTTAAGGTGCTAATCCTACTGTTCAATTATTTGAGTACAAATCCACTAGCATACTTCCTTCAGTTCTGTACAAAAGGTTTGATGACAGTACTTCAATTCAAGCCTTTATTACACAACTGGAATTCACGAAAAAACGTCGTCGGTTTTCCACAAATACACAACTAAATCTGCACTTCTTAAAATTAAAAAAAAATCCATTCAGTATTCTGAGGCCACTTAAGCACCAGAAAACACACAAAGGTCCACAAACAAAAGATTTTTTGAGGAAATTGCCACTGTTTTCATTCAAAACGCCGGCTCGCTACTCATTATCCTTTTATCTGCTTATTGCTAGCTATGGTGAGTATGTTAGCCATTCAGATTGTAAAATTCTCGATAGCATGCTAGTTACGGTAGTCTCTTTTAATCACAAATAACTGTAGGATATTGGTTAATGTACTAACCTTTAGGTCACCAAAGCTTCTTAAAAGGCTTCTTTCTGTTGCTGCTTTTACAAGAGAGGGTTTTAGTGATACCAGCTGTGATAATGATGTGTTAAAGAATTGTCGAGCCTGCTATCTTATTCACTTTAAGGTCGCGGAGGACACCTTGAACTCACTGTTATGTATTTATTTAAAGCATTTGCACGAAGCACAACGACTAACACCGACCGGTTTACGAGACATTCATAACTGGACAAAAGATGAGCGTATAATTTAAAGTGTTCAAGTACACGTCTCAAAAATCCTTGTAAACATTGCAGCTTATAATCAAAATTAAAGCGTGGAATGTAATTGAAATAATTACCACAATTAGGTATGCCTTGCTTGGCACTCGCGTAGTAGTCGGGACGCCCTCGGAAGTCTCAAAACTTGAAAATTTTGTGTCCAAGAATTCAGCGCAGATACAAAACTTCGCGAGTTGGCTCTGCAGAGGGGTATACTTGGTAGACAGTAGTGTGCAATGTATTGAGCGGAATTCTTAAAGAGCGCTTTTATGAAAAGATATAAGGTGTTAATTTCAGGGACGACAGTTTTAGCTAATTTAAACGATTATATCTTGCTGACAAACTTTAAATTGTAAAATCTGCTCAATACACGACACACTACAGGTTTTAACCAATCATTTATTGATGAAATCACAGCGGTGCCTTCTATTCTTTCCGCAAACTTGGACACAAAATCACGATTTTCCAATTTGGTACAACTGTGGCTTAAAACATCGCTTTAAAGCGCGAGCAATTTTGCACAAATGTACAAGGATACCATAGATTTGTCCTTGGACCTGCCATAATAAACGACATTCTTCAGCTTAGTAGAGGGAGCGTAAACAGAAAGAAGAGCTTTGCAGTTAATCAGATGATCCGACAAATGGGAAACAGGGAGAAATGCAGGAGCTCCACTAGGCTGAAGTAAAATGTCCAGCCCGTCCGCACTATTGTTTACCACATCACCTTCAAGCAGCTGTTGGATGAAAAGTAGGATGGTTATTAAAAACTCTCGGTCTCGCAGCTAGAATTGCTGGATAATTAACAGTATTGGATGAGCTTTTTGTGATGTCCAGAATAACCAAGGTCGAGGTAAAAGTTAACAATTTTAGCTACCTTTAACAAAGCTGCAAATAAATGTTCTTTCATCGAAGGACATATGTCCAGTCAAGTGACCATTTTCCTCGGACAAAACAAAAAAAGCGGACGGATTCAATCAAAGACACATTGGGCCACTTTGACGAAAATTGTGCACGGTGGGTGCGGAATTTACAGATAGGCTGATAACTACCAGTGCTCTTTCGGTGGTACAGAGATTCACATTTTCTCAAGGCAAATTTCATTAATCTGCAAAGTAATCAGTCGGCGAGCAGCCTCTTGTTTTTCTTTTGAGTTTATATCATTAAGTTGCATAATTTTACATCCTCGCTTGCCGCGCGTGGGACTGAGGAAAGAAGGAAGTCCGCTCGTGCTCAAAGTGATAGTCTTTGATATTAAATATTTTTGATCAGACATCATGCTCTACCACAGTTACGTTTTCCACGGACACGGACCAAAAAAATGTCAGACATTGTCCGATGACCGACTGACATTTACAGCTCCGTTAAAAAATGACCCCAAAGTTAGGCGTGCGCGACTGACTTCCAGAAATGTCTTGGAAGCGCGGTCTTGGCAAACAGATAACCTGCAACTTCTAAATGTCGGTAATTTGGTTAGAGTAAAACCTTTGGCTTTATAAGACAGACTGCATGAGTTCATGTAATGCTCGTTTGGAAAATCCCAGTTTTAGTTACGGGATAGTTATTGTTACAATCAGGAAATGACTGACAAAGCTGTGTAAAATTCAACTCACCAGTCCTGCAACTTTGTCGGTTTCCAAAGGAACTGCAGTAGACTTGAAACTTGACTACAACAAGATTTTAATAATAACAAAATTAACTTGAGTTAAACTACAGGACATTGGGTCGTGAAGTCTTCTCATCAGGTAAACTACAATGTATTACGAGCATCTCCTTGTTTCCTAACTGACAACCGAAAACATTGAACATAAATATTGGGCACAAGGAGGATGACAGGAACAAAGTACAAAATACTTGCAGCACAATATTTATTATACACAATTACGACGTAGGCATGAAAGCGAGGCCTAAGGGTCACATTGCAATTCAATTGTATAAAGTGGCAGAGGCGCACCCTACGACTACAACAAAAAAAATAGTTCTCACAACTGCTGCGCTGCTGTTCTAATGCAATAATCGTTCCGATAATAGCAGTCTTGACGTTTCATGTATTTCTGAAGGATCCTTGCCAAAGGTTAGTTACTCTACTGTCCACTTTCCAACGCGCGTTCATTCACTATAACTGCTCCAGGAATATCTTTTGGGGTTAATTTTTAACCTCTAACTCAAAAATCGTCCTAGTTTTCGGCACCCTGTTTACTTTTTTTTTAAGTTCGAGGGAAATCTGGTGGCCCTTAGGCCTCGCTTTTGTGCTTACGTGGTAACGGTATATTAGGGAGTTAAAGAAGCGATGTTTTGGAGTGACGCTCGTCAACCGGAAGTGAGCCTTTTTCGTTTATAATACGCCTCAACGCTACCAAATTTGTATCGCTAAGTGTCCTTACTCTTAAAGGGACGATTTACCCAAAAACGTATTCAAAACCACGGCTCAAGAGTGCAATAAGTCCAATTCCAGTTGAAGCGAATCGCTCAAAAACATGGCTGCTTAACCTCCCTACTGACTTTTCTAACACTCTTATTCCAGTAAATGAACTAACCTAAGGGAAAGGGTAAGCCAATTGGTTAGCAACTTTACAAATAAACTTGTGCAAGAGAGGGGAATAAAGTAAAACCTGTAAGACGTGACTAATGCAACTGACGTTTAAATGCAAGAAAAATTAAGCTTATGTTATGTTGTACCTTGAATGAGAGCCTTAATTTGGCCTGATCAGGCTGACAGCTCAGTACATAGCATATCATCACTTGACCGATATAAAACGCACTTCGTGGATCAGTATCAGGGGATATCCTGTGTGCAAAAAAATACAAACTCAGCAAACTTACCAAAGAACACGAGACCCCCATAGTCGGAAGAAGCACACTAAGGTTTGCAAAATTCACAACGTTGGTGTTAATCGGGCCAATATTGAACAAGATACAGCTATTTAAGAACTTGAAAATTTACTGAGAGATTTATGGATTGCCGGACACACTCTCCGGACATCTATATATTTCTTAGTAAATTGCTAAATTGCTGTATCTTGTTCAATATAGGCCCAATAAACACAAAACTTGAGGATTTTCTAAATCTCGATTTCGTCTTTCTGACTCTGTGGGTCTCGTGTTGTTTACCCCATCATAAACGGACTCTTATCCACGCTCGGTTTGAAATAAGGTAATTGATTCGATTCCGATTCCGATTTCATTCACAAATTGGACAGTCCATACATCGACTCTTCTTTAAACCTCGCAGGTGGACGTTGTGGAGAGATTCACCGTAGTCTTGGTGTGGCATCACATTTTACGACAACCATGAACCACAGGTGAAAGTCAAGATTCAATCCTTTTTATAGCCATTCCTACACATTTAACTATGACAGCCTACTAGAAAAACTAACATCTTTATTTTGACCTTTCGAACACTGATACAATCTTCACCACGCGTTCCTATATACGATTTTCACATTTGACAATTATTCCACGAGTGCGCGTTGGATATGAGTTGGCTATAATCATCACATATCCAACAAGCGCGAAAGGAATAATTGTTGTATTAAAAACGCCCACAAAACATCGAGAATTCTTCCCGACCATATTTGTAAAAATAACCGATTTTCAGCTTATTTTTTACTTTGAGCAGACGCGTACAGTTACCATAATTGGAGAGCATGGTATAATGGCTCACATACCATGATGGCTAAGCCAATCAGAGCTCTAGAATTGCATTATCCAATGATTCAGCTTTTAAAAATATTCATTATTTCATCGTCACCCTTTCAAGCGTTTATAACGAACCAACTCTATGACCTGCTACCAGTTGGCTTCTTAGCTCAACTGGTTAGAGTGCTTGGACAGTATCGTAGCAATCAAGGGTTGTTATCCTATACAAGCCCGAATTTTTCAGGCTTCCTTTTCACAACTGCAAAATTTGCATCTATAACCTCGATGATCTTCCTTCCTTTAATTCTTCACCCCGCCGTTCCTATATATGATTTTTCAATAATTCATTATTTCATACTCATACAATCTGCTCACTAATTTTCGATCTGTCAGTAATACAAGTATGGATGGGTGTACTGATAACTCAACAGTCCAGTTTCGAGTTCGCTATACCCGCTGAATAAAAGAAGTGAAGACGAATTTTTCACTGGCTTAGCCTCCACTTGAAGTAGATATATTCACAAATTCCAACGAGAAGAAGACCTGTTTATTCCTCTGTCTACTGTGTATTTTCCAATTTCAAACACTTACTTGCCGAAATTTGTGAATATTTTACTTTGTGTCGAGGTCAACCCTGCATAAATGTGTCGTTAATGTTTGTATTCAGCGCAACTTTTTAATTCAAAACTGGACTACTGCCGTAGCATGTACCACTTAAAAAATATAAAAAGGGAATTGCGTCCCGCAATTGTTTCTGGGATGGTTACTGGGGACGCTCGGTGAATAATTGGCTATTTTTAATGTCGTTCTCCCTAGTAACAGTCCCAGAAGTCTTTGCGTAAGTTGACTCGACCCAGTTCCCCTTTTGTCTCAAAAGAAGAGAATTGTACATAAAGTACATAACACTTGCCCCAGTTCAGTTCGAGGTACCAGACCCTTCACGTTGTTGTAAAATGTTACAAGGCAACCAAAGTCTTTGATGGCAGTAACAAAGCCATGAGTGCTGACACCAGGCTTGGCATCACTGTAGTCTGTGATGAGAGGAAGATCGGATTCTACCATTGTCTTTTTGTGAGTCAACAGCAGTCGTCGGCGATCAGGTTCAACTGAAAGGACCTTAAAGTCCACAAAAACAAAGCTGAAACATCACTCCTAAAAAATGTACCGGCCAATCGAGCAGAATGACTTGCAGTCACGGTCTTGGACCAAAAAACCAATAACCGCCCCCAGGTTAGCTCAATGGGATTCAATGGGATAAGCGCCGGTCTGCTGAGCGGGAGGCCGTAGGTTCAAACCAGGGCCGGACCAACACTCAGGATCTTTAAATAACTGAGGAGAAAGTGCTGCCTTTGTAATAAAATCTACAAACGGATAGACTTTCTAGTCTTCTCGGATAAGGATGATAAACCGTAGGCCCCGTCTCACAAGCCCTTGCATAAGTAATAAATCTGTGGGAAGTTAAAGAACTCACACACTCTTCGTTAAGAGTAGGGCACATAGTGCCCGGTCTAGTGGTCTATCACACTTTCACACTCATGTATGGGGGCATCATTACTCATTCCTTCATTACTTGTAAACTGCACCTTACGCAGTCTGGCAAAGTCCCCCAACCAGTGTTGTAAATTATCCCTGGAAAGCCCTGAGGGGAGTGGATCATAAGATATTCAGTAAAAGAAGACCTTTTCATGACAGGCATGTCCTGTTACGTCTTTACACTTACAAACAAACATAACTAGCTTCAGCAACGACGACGGTGACGGCAGCAAACACGTCACTATGAACACGAATTCTAACCTTTACATTGTTGACGCGTTTATTCCAACTCGCTTCAAATGTTGGAGTTTAATTCAAAGCTCAAAAAGAGGGGAAAAATGTCTTCGTGTGTTTACTTTCTCCATAAAACGCCGCATAAGGAATTTCACGTCATATTCGTGTAGTTACGGCAAAGAAATGAACAAAAAAGCGTGCAGCACGAGCGAAATTGTTGTTTGCTTACTAGACCTACTTCTTTTAATTATGACGTTCTCGTTGCCGTCGCGGTCGTCCTTGCTACAGCTTCCTATTGGTAGTACGTCCTCGCGATTGCCGGGCCGCGAAAAACGGAAAAGTGGCCACTTATTCCAGTACAGTCTCGCCATGACAGGTTCTCCTCTTAACAAGTGACTGCAGTTCTCCTTAAAAATATTGAACATTGCAGTGCCATCTTCGGTCTTGTACAAGCTCGGTGTACTGTGGAAAGTCTTGGAGATGACGGCTTCACAGCAGAGAACTGTACAAAAGAATAATCTCAGTTTACAGTAACCAGCGGCCTCTTTTGCAGTTACTCGAGTCATTCCAAGATATGTAACCAGTTATCAAGATATGTATTCTTTACTTTGACTTTATTCCACTACATCCAAACCTGATAAGACCTCACTTGAAACTCACTCACCCTGCATTTGACAACTTTTCCCTCCTTTAATTTCTTTTCTGGATGTTTAAGGTTGATGTCTGCTAAATGAAGAGTAGAACACAAGCCTCTGATGTGATCTGACACAGAAACCAGCATTCCAAACTTTGCCAGAGTGATTATCTTGCCCTAACAACGACATAAACATACATGTAGCATCACAGTGTCAAACTAACATGTACTAGCCACTGGACCCTTATTTCGATTATCCCATTAACAAAATATGAAGCTGTTGTTATTTTTTCTGGTCTGTTCGTTCCTGGTGCTCACCCCATGTAATACAGCTTTTCAGGTCAGAGATGCACAGAAATCAAACACTTTTTATCTAAAAAGATGAGCGCGTGGGACTGTTATATGATTTTGCTTTCTTTCCCTTCAAAAAAGCTTCATTTCTGCTGGAAAAGTTTCGTTTCTTTTTTTAAAGATTTTGAAAATACAGTGGGTAGTGAGACAAGATGCCATTCATTCTATTCACTAGCCACTTTCTTTTCTGTTCTTCTGTACTCTGGTCAATTGCTTAAAATCATTTAGACTTAAATAGATCTTGAGTCAATTTCTTCATTTTTCACAAATGAGCACTAATACTGATGTTGACAAGAGCGTTACAAGGATTGCACTACCACGCGGGTAGTTTCTTATGATTCACAAGTATTATACATAAGTTAATTACCGGATGGAAACTCAAATTGCAAACAGAATAAAAAGAGCGGCCAGACAGGTTGTGGCCTGAGAAAACTAGCCTTAAAGGCTGGCCGGATTCTTGTGGTCGGTGTACTTTCATCCCTAGCGGCGACACCGCGAGGAATTTTCGCGAGCAGCGAAAAAAACGGCCGCCAAAAAACTACACCACTCGCCCACTAATCCCGCCAGCTAGGGAGGGTAGAGAAAACAGTCGACATTTTTCGGCACCACCATTGGTTTCTTCCTGAAATGACGTCTGAGAAGCGAGAACAGAAATTCCATACTGATGACGCGTCACTACCCAGATCTGGGTAATGCTTCTGACTGGCTGAAGTAAATTTCCCACGCTGCTCGACCAATCAGAAGCACTACCCAGATTTGGGTAGTGATGCGTCGTCAGTATGGAATTTCGGCGCTCGTTTCGAGGAAGCCAGTGGTTGCTTCGCGAAATGTGGGCTATTTTCTCAAGTTAGGTTGGTTGTACCTTGATTTGAGATCCCGGCTTGACATCGTGGTAGCGTAAGAATGGTTGTTCTATGACTAACCTTTGAAAATAAACATTGAAACAACCAATCATTCAATTTTACGGCGTTTAAACAGAATGAAATGATAAATGAATGAAATTGTTTATAAAAGCGCGCGTATTCAACAAGTGTGTCAACCACATTTGTTCGTGATTGTAGCATGATCTCGCCAGTTGTTTAAAGAAATTTCTTGTAAATGATAAAATCGCAGCTTCGTGTCAAACAAACATACCTCCAAGCATTACAGCAAATGTTAAATTCAATAAAAATAAACAAACTTGAAATTTATTCTGCTAAAAAGTTTTCAAATGCCACGATTGTAATCCCTTCTCATCTTCTTTACGTTTGTACATCGGTACCTTAAAGTATTCCTGTTTTATTTGTACCTTCTTTTAATTTTACTTTTTGAACGGTTATTTTTAAGTTTTACTCAATTTGGTGGCTGTTCCCCCTGCTTCTTTTAATACACACACTATTATTTTACGTTACACGCTACATTCGGTTGTTTGCATGAAGTATAAACAGTTACAACAATAATGTTCACGTGTTGTCTGTAACTGTTTATAGCCAACGTGAGTGAGAGTCGTTTGTTTGTTTGTTCTTTCGTTCGTTGTTTTATTACTTTTCATGATCTTACTTTTCCATAGTCAGGGTAATAAGTCCATCTAAGGAGTTGAAGCCAAGAATGCGGCACCTACAAAAAAAAATAAATAACATTAACCTTGAAGCTGGTCACTCTATATTCTGGTCAATAATCTGGGTAAAAAGACGCTAAATTGCCCAAAACGTTGGTTTCAAATCGAGCACTGCGTTGTCATTACAACCTTCGAGTTTAAAATATTTCTCCATTGTCTTTCAGGCATTTATTCGTTAATAGAGAGCTTTCGATTACATGGCGAGGACAACTACGAGGACGATATTCAATTTTAAGTTTTCTCGCCTATTCCCTAACAATACACATCCAGAAAGCATCATTGTACTTTTTTAACCACAGAAGTTACTTCGCTTATTTCCGTTGAAGGAGGTAAAGCCCTCTCCCGATCGCTAAATGAAAAAATTCGTAATTGTGATAGCTTGTTTTCGCCACTACGACATTCTCGCTAAAACTCTTAGTAGAATGACGATGGCTATCACATTTTCCCACCAAAATGACGTTGGTTCGCACCCGCGCACTACTTAGTATTAGGAAAATCTCGTTCTCGTAGTCTCCTCGTTTTAGAATCTAAAGCTCTCTAATGTCATTTACAACTAAATAAAACTTGCACCTGTCTGTTTTTTGGGGGGGGGGGGGGGGTGGAGTGGGAATCTTTTTTACAACCATGTTACCTTTAACATCATAATTGACCTCGCTCCCAACGTGTGGCTTGATAGCTCAGTTGGTAGAGCAACGCACCGGTAACGCGGAGGTGACGGGTTCGAATCCCGTTGAAGGCCTGATTTTTTTTTTCAGGCTTCTTCTTTCCAATTGCTTAAATTGGAAAATTTACTGCGATGATCATTCTTCACTTTCATCTACAACCGCAGTTCAAAAATGAATTATTTCATATATACTTCACATCATGTTACCTTAGTGAATCATAACTTGACGTGTATAGGACCTACAGTACAGAGCAAAAGGGAAAACGACAAACAATTCTGTTGCTATTGTTCTACAATACCTGTGAGTGGTTCCAGCTTTGTATTTCTTTCCTAATTTCTCTACACGTTCATCAGACACTCTAGATATCTATCAGCAAACATAATTTAACAAAAACAAGCACCATAAATTCGACTATTAATAACACCTTACCTAACTTTCATTTCAGTCAATGCTTACAGCTGTACACTGTTAAAGTTCCTATATAGGTGGGGGGGGGGAGAATAGTCTGAAATGTCAGCCGTCTCCACCCCCTAAACCGTGGGGGGGCGCGATTCTCTCCCGCGCCCCCTACGGGTTAGGGGGTGGCGACGACTTGCAAGATTACAGACTCAGTCTGTTGGTGGCGTTGCCAATCAAACAATCGGTAAGAACTGAATTCTTTGATCGGAACAAGGACTAAACTGAATGATCTCTGTTTTGCTAGGACTGCACACTTTCTTATTGTTGGTGTTGTATGCTGTTACTTCTCGAAAATACACTGAAGGGTGTTCAGGGCAGGGCATTGATCAAGAAGATCAACAGTAATGTAGTGTATATGGATCATCTGCTTAGAACATACAGTCTAAGTTATGGGCAGCTTTATGTCTTGAATAGGCGCCATAGAAAGAGTAAAGTAAAGAGGTTCTAGGATAGAACCTTGCAAAACTCCATTCTCAAACCGCTAGATGTTGTGTTAGTGCGTGTACCCTTGGTAGTAATTTCACATAATAAACACACACTTTTTTTTATTAATTAAAAAAAAAATGAAAAAAAGGAGAAGGACGAAAAATAAAGGCTAGGACAACAGAGAACTTGTTCTCTAGCTTCTACCCAGGATAATTCTGAATATAATTGAACCTCTCCGCAACGGCCACCCTTATGGAGAAAAGAAAGTGGCCGTTGTAAAGAGGTTCAAACAAGAGTCAATGTATGGACTGTCCGCCACAAAAAGTGGCCGTTAGTGGAAGTACTTACATGAGCAAACCCCAGACTGTTGTCGGATAATCTCATCAATAGACCCATTCCTTGGTCTACTCTCATCACAACAGCATCTTCTATGTCTCCAATGGACCAATTACCAAAGCTGGTAGCTTTGTTAAGCACCACATTCTCTTGCAGGCTAAGTCCGACTGTCTTGGTATTGGCATTTATATACAAAAGACGGCACTTCACCTATAAACAGAAAGCACCAGACATATGCATTAAGTGGTACACAGTACAAGTGGACGTATCTAATCATGTATGTTGGTCTAGGAACTTGTTCGAAAGCAGGGTCTTTGAAGTTTAAAACCTACGTGGACCTGTTTATCCATTTTTGTAGAGCTAATATTGAACGAATTTTTTTTTTATTCAGATTGGCTGAGCAACAAAAAAAATTAAAACATTATTGTTCCTTTCAATCTGTTTCATTATATGAGATGAAGAAAAACTTACCTTATTCACAAAAGTACATGTAATAATATTTTTATACAAATCATGCACTGTTTAATTACATGTATAGGCCATAATGTTAATTTTGTTAATCCACAGCATTCTGAGGTACAATGTATACTGCAACCAATATTGTAACACATTTCCAAAGTTTCAAGCTACACTGTAGTTGAGCTCTTTTCTGGTCACTACTACAGTGTATCTGGTCAAAGAAGAACCAACCTATCCAAAACGTTGCTTACAAGTCGAGCATTACCATTCCTTCTGTTTGTGAGGCTGAATTACAGTTTTCAAAGGAATGGACAGAAAGTAAAGTTTTGGGTTGGTCACTTGGTGACACTACCCCCAAACTTATAGCTTTTCCTTTCTCTTTTTCCATTTTCTTCAACTATTCTTCTTTGATGGGAAAAGTTTCTATGCATCAGAACCCTTAGGGTTGTGAAATTATGCTGAAGAATTCACAGGAGTGCAGTGGAGAGCCTTTTACTGCCATTTTTGTCATCAACTTTACATGTGTTTTGTCGTCATCGTTGTTGTTGTTGTTTTTCGTTTGCCTGTTCGACTGAATTATGTCCACTCAAGTATAGTTTGAAAGATCTCATTCCCATGAACAAAGAAGATGGCAAATTTGCAAATGACATCGGTGGTTATAAACAAGTTGTTCAGGCGGGAATGGGTAAATAGGGTGAAAAATACATACTGTAAATATACAATCATAATTTACTTCAATAAACAACTGCCTGATAACTGGTCACTTGAATGACTGCTTGATTGATTGATTGATTGATTGATTGATTGATTGATTGATTGATTGATTGATTGATTGATTGATTGATTGACTGATTGATTGGTTGGTTGGGTGGTTGATTGATAGATTGGCTGATTTACTGACAACACTGTAAAGCTACCAGAGGACAAAGTGCAATTATAAACCTAACGGTAATTTTTTATATTTATATATATAATCAAAAAGAAAAACCCCTACAAGACTGACAGCCATTCTCCTGTATTAAAACAATATTGATTTTTTATGATTTTCCATTCTCGTAATTAATATACAATGTACATGTATTCAACATTAACCTTTGTCTTTCCTGGATAGGCCTCTTCCAAATTTTGTCCATTTCCTCCACAATTTGGTAAGTGAAGAATATCTACAGAGCCTTCAAAACCCCCAAGAAAATTCTGTAGCAAACCGCCATGAGTTGCCTAGAAATCAACAAAACAAGCATTATACAGTGGCTAATAAAAAGTAAGCCATTTCCGGAAGATTAAAGACCTTAAGATACACTGTTTCCACGTACGGTTACAGGTAAATTAGCCGTACAAGTGGCCGTAGATACGGGTAGATTGCCTCTTACCCGAAACGGGAAACGGGTAGGCTAACGAGTAGAATGGTTACGCCATTATAATGGTTTGTACGAGAGATTTACCAACCCTACCCCTCACAGTTTTGTGAAGTTTAGTAGCACTACCAAAGCAGGGCTAGGACTACCAAGTAAGGTAATGAACACATGCAAGTAAGCTGGAACTGGACGAGACGGAAAAAGAGAGCGAGTTTTCCTTGTGGGGTTTTCATCGAGTATTGTGAGATTTAGTGCGAGTTCTTTAGGAGAAAATAAACCAGGAAATCGTGTTATTGTGAGTTCTATGGGTTGTTTCATTGATCAGCTCATTTTTGGTGCCGAGACCAGGATACCCTGAAGAAATACACAACGCAAACAAAGGTCGTCATGAATGCGCACATGGAAGAAATCATCAATTTATTCCTAGTCAAGGGATCCAATTATTTTAGGGTGCAAGAATTCTACGAGAAACTGAGTAGAAACTATAACGCGCTTCAAACCCTCAAAGAAGGCCAAAAGTTGCAAGGGTTTGTTATGACTACGCTTAACAAGTTACCTCAGATAAAGCCTGATCTGGTGAGAGTGGCTAAAGTTGGGAGGAATGGTCCGTGGAAGACCCGATTGATGCACTGCAGAAGTGGCTTAGGAGAAATCACTTCGAAAGCAGCAAATGTGAAAAGCATCTGTTCTCACAGAAGCAAGGAGACAAGCTGAAGCCCTGTTGCCTTTTCTGACTAAAACAAGAGCACTGGAGTGAAGGCTGTACGCTAGTATCAACTTTAGCGGACAGGAAGAAGTTCTTCGTGATCACAATTTGTGTTTTAATTGTGGACGTTCACCACAGAGCAGACCAGTGCCCTAGGCGGTATCGCGCGAAGTGCAAATACAAGCATCACAGACGTACGTGCGATAGACCGGAGAGGGAAAGCAGTAATCCAGATGGAGTGTCACTTACAATCTACACCAACTACGCAGGGGAGTAAGTGCTACCTGCAATTATTCCCGTCAGTATTGAAGGACAAGTGCTTTCGGCCTACCTAGGATCTGGACGCAACTTCATTTCACGTGAAGCAATCAAGTTATTAAAGTTAAAGCCGACACGTCACGAGACTTGCGCAATCGTGACAGTCAGTGGAACCAAAGTCCAGACAATGCCAATCTTTGACACCCACTTTGAGTCCCCGGACTTCTCTCACTACAGTGAGAGTCAGCTGAAGTTGAAGTATTCACATATACAGGACAAGAGGTTCTACATGACGTCCGCAGGAGAACATTAGATACACCTCACTCTCGGAGACTTAATTTATAGTAGAATATAAAGGACGGAGAGAGTATTCAAAGGGCACCCGAAAGAGCCGCTCGCAGAGGAGACAACTTTCAGTTGGGTAATCCATGGGGGAAACGAATATGGTGGTGGGAGCAGCTGCATGCATATGAGAGAGGTTAATGAATATGAGAAACTGTACAGTTTGGATGTACTGGGAATCGAGGACCGGGGAGGGAATGATCAACTGGATGCTCTGCGTGACTTTAAGGAGAGTTTTGTGCGAAAGCAAGATGGAAGGCATGAGGTTGGTTCTCCTTGGATACCGGGAGCGACATTAACGAACACAAATGAAGCACTCAGCAGAAAGCGGCTCGCCAACATGGAGAGGAAGCTGTCGAGAAATGAGAACCTGAAAGGAGAGTATGGTAGCATCATTGAAGAGCAACTCAGAGCAGGGGTAATCGAGGGAGCACCTCAGAGTTCGTCTGGAAAACGTGTGTTCAACATGCTACATAAGCCAGTTGTAAAGCAGAGTGCAGTCCGGTTACAACGAAAGTTCGCATGGTGTTTGACGCTAGTGCTAAGCCCCAGCCTTTGACTATCAGCATCAATGATTGCATGTTTACTGGTCCCCCGTTGCAGCCGTTTCTCTGGGACTTAATGATTAGAGTGCGTATGTCCACAAATCTGTTCCTTGGAGACATAGATAGGTGTGAAAGAGGAGGATAGAAATGCGTTCAGATTCTTGTTCCACATTAAAAGAACAGAGAAACATTTAAGATTTACACGAGTACCTTTCGAAGCTGAAGGAAGCCCTTTCCTACCTGGAGCCACTCTGCAGCGTCACTGTAAACAACAAGGGCCAGAATTTGAAGACACAGTGAGAGCACTTAGGGAGAACACTTACGTTGAAAATGTCATGCAAACGGGAGGAAACGACGAGGAAAACACGCGGTACAAAGAACAGAGTACTCTGCCATATTTGAGTCTGCCAGGTTCCCGGTGCACAACTGGGAATCAAGTGTCAACTTTCCTTAAAGTGAATGCATGCCAATCCCAAGCAAAATCCTTGGACACGCGTGGAATAAGGATGATGACACACTGGAGCTCCTTGCAAAGCCTTTTCCACAAGAACATCCACTGACCAAGCGCACTATACTCAGTTACCTAGAAACTGTCCATGACCCATTCGGGATAATCTCACCCACTATGGCTGAGGAAAAGCATATTTATCGAAAAGCCTGCGATAAGCAGAAAGGCTGGAATGCACAAGTTTCCCCCATATTGAAGAACCAATGGTTAAGGTGGACAAAACAACTTAAAGATGTAAGAGTGCCCAGAAGCATTGCTTCATTCGTTGGAGAGATAGGAGCAGTCCACTTACATCCTTTCGCAGATGTCAGCATTCTAGCATGCTATGCAGCAGCTGTTGCGGTGGTAGAGCATGAGGCAGGCATGACCAAAGGGCTTCTGACCTCAAAGAAGATAGCAGAAACCGCTGGTGCAATCAACAGCGCTTGGAAATACTGCTCATCAGAGTTGAATCTAACAGACCTCGGAAGTAGAGAGGCAACCATTGTTAAGATGGAAAGAGCAAACTGGTTTTCCGGTCCGGATTGGCTCTTGGACAAAAGGCGGTGGCCAAAGCAGCCAAGGCTAAATAGCACCAAAGCAACAGATGAAGAGAGTAAGGTCACCCAAGAGGAGGTTCTTCTCACACAAGAGCGTAAGTTCGATGGGTGGGATGCCTTGTTAGAAAGAAGCACCTCCTGGTGTACAAGGAGAGTAACAGCATGGGTTTATGCACAAACTGCAAAGTAAGAAGCAAGTTGAAGAAGAAGTCAGGTCCATTAGTTACGGAAGAGATCACAACTGCAAGTGACTACTGGGTAAAGCAAGTTCAGAAAGCAGAGGAAACATGTCTACAGTCCCCAAGTTAGTCAGTAATGACCATACAGGTGTTGTCAATTGTGAAGGCAGAATGAAATAATACAGACCGATTTACCTTCCTGATGGTCCACTTGCGGAGAAGGTTATCCTTCACATCCATAATCAGGTCATGCATCCTGGTGTTGCGAACACGATGGCGAGCGTGAGAGAAAACTGGTAGATACCAAAGTTGAGAGTGAAAGTCGAGAAGGTCATTAAGAATTGCAACATCTGCAAAGTATAGTCCACCAAACCTTATGGAGTGCCATCAACTGGTGCTTTGCCAGAACATAGAACTGAGGGGAGCAGACCGTTTGAACTAACCGCGCGGTGGACTTTACAGGACCCTTCCTGTACCAGGTCGGTAGGAAAGAAGAAGGAAAGTGCTACCCCATTATTTTCACCTGCACCAGCTCCAGAGTAGTCCATTTGGAAGTTTCACGCATCCAAACGGCAGATGAATTCAAGAGTAAGCTGAATGCCTTTATCTCACGATTGGGCAAGACCTTGCATCACCATATCGGATAATGCCAAAGCGTTTAAGGCTACAGCAGATTGGATCAAGACCGTGATGAAAAGTGAGAAGTTGCAGAATTACTTAGCACGTGAGAACATCCGCTCGCAGTTTAATCTTGCAAAGTCACCATGGCGGGGAGGAGTCTATGAGAGATTGATTGAGGAGATAAAGAACACCTTGCACAAGACCTTGGGGAGATCATCTCTTTCCTATCAAGCATTTGAATCAGTCAGCATGGACATTGAAAGAAATTTGAATAATCGCCCCTTGATAATGTTGAAGCAGAGGGAGAGGAAGAGGCGGGGCTTACACTGAAGATGATTCTGTGGGGACGAGAATAATGTGTATACTGTAGAAGGCACCAAAGGCTCAGATGCAGAGAAGCTAACAAGGATGGCCAAACGATTGGAAAATGCTTAGGCAAAAGCATGGAAACGCCGGGAAAGCGAGTATGTCCACAGCCTGATGGAAAGTCACAGGCTTAACAAGGAAATGGGAACCATACCTCAAGTGGGAGAAACTGTACTCACCATTGGAGACGAAAAGAACCGCGGAGAATGAAAAAAGGGTAAAGTAGAGTGTATTATCAAGGCAAAGATGACGTCGTTAGAGGGGTAACGCTGTTACACAAAAGGCACACTATTGATCCACCGCTTCAGTTAGTTTGTCCTTTGGAAATCAGAGCGGTGGAGAATGTTGACCAATCTCAAAAGGGGGGAGAGATCGAGCTTATGTAGAATAACAAAGACCAAGACGAACTGCAGCTCAGAGGGCTGCTAAGAGAATCGCAGAACAATTGCCAGAAGAAGAGAACTGATAAACTGAACTGAGTTCAAGTATAAACTGGACTGTCATATGGTAAATCAGATTAGTTTCAAGTTACGGTTGATTGTAACAATTGCTAGCTACAATGTTTAGGTGAGTTGTGTACGAGAGATTTACCGACCCTTCCCCTCACAGTTTTGAGACGTTTAGTAACACTACCAAAGTAGGGCTAGGACTACCAAATAAGGTAATGAACAAGTGCAACTAAGCTACAACAAAAGTAAAAAAGAGAAAAAGAGAGCGAGTTTTCCTTGTAGGGTTTTCATCGGGTATTGTGAGTTCTTTCGGAGAGAATGAACTAGGAAACAGTATTATTGTGAGTTCTATGGGCCGTTTAATTGATCAGCCCAGGTTGCCTTTTATAAAACTGCGAGGTAAAGATGTTCGCTTATCCATACCTGTAGGCTGAAAAAGTGCATCTTCAGGTCACTATTAACTTTAAATCAACCTTACACTTTTCATGTGTCTTTGAATAAAAATAGTACCTGTTCAATGGATGGCCATTATAGGTTTTTTCTATGATTGTACATTTAACTTCAAAATTGAACCCGCAATTGTTCTTATACAACAAAGGTCTCAGAAACAACCTCTTTGTTGACCTTTAACAACACACCTGGTGTTAGCATTGTTTTACAGACATTTAACGTAACTGCAATAGCACGTGGGATACTGGAGCATGCGCATCTCACAACACCGTTGGCCAGCAAGATACGACTAGCACTCCTTGTTGTTAACTCTGAAAACTTGTATTTAACTGCATAAATTCTGGATTATTTGAAAGAGTTTCTGCAAGATTAATACTTCCAGATACCATCACTCCAGAACTCTTCTTTGCAATACTTGCCTTTGCACGGCTGTGAAAGCAATGTAGAGAGGATAAAACCATCTGTTTCAGAAAATTCTATTTTGAATGTCTAACTGCCTTTTATTTTTGTGAACTCCAGGTTGTGTGGCGTTAACAAATTTGTTTTCACAAAGATGACTGTGTACTGTGCACTATATAAACTCAGTTCAGTCATGAACTGCAAAAGGTAAAGCCATTTTCATAAATATCATTTTTTCAGTATTTTATCGATACCTCAGAAACAAAGATTACTTGCCGTGGATTTTCAGCACAGTAGATTACACTGTATATGATGCATGATGGATGCTTAGCATGATTATACAGAGTGTAAATGTTCTATTTTACCTGAGTTACAGAGGCCTTCACCAACATGCCAGGAAGGAGGGTTGAAAATTTCAATTTCATACCTTCCTTAACCTACAAACAAGTTAATGTCAATAACACTGTAAAAGTACATAAATTTTAAGGCATGAAGCGTAGTTTAAAAAACAATAGGGACAATACTAAAACCAACACAATGTGAGTCACTTGTCCACACAACACAGTAATAACCAAAATGTTTGGGTCATGTAGCAGCTACTCGGGGAGAAGTCACCAATGGTGTGTTTCCCTGACCCCAAACAATACTAAAGCAATTGAAAGAATGACATGTCATTGTTTCTTGTGACCAATTAGCAGAGACCTTACAAGCAGCTCCTACAGGTTCTCCTACACTACTCAAATGTTTTACATTATAGCTACTAAAAAGCAGAAAAATCCTTTACTGCACATTAAGTACATGAAAAACACTTGTAACATACCAAAGCACCTTGAATCTCATCTCTGTCTGCAGTTACAGTTATAATTCTCTTGTCCTCAGCTGCAGACTTGACTAACAAACACAGTGGATGACCTTCATTGAGTTCTGAAAAGAAATCAAAATTAATTATTGATACATTCAGTAACATCCACATTGTATTAAACTGCTGTAGTAACAATTTTAAAGTACACTGAAGGTTAAAATGTTACTTGCCCACCAAGATAAAACTACCAGACAGGACTTTTGTCTAGCCACAACTTGTGTTAATTTCATGCCTTTACATACAATAGTCATTTGTTGTGAAAAAATAATATGATAGTTTCCATTTTAGTTGAAATATTCCGGTACGGAATGAAAGTGCACTTTACCAGCATCAATGCATCAAATTAAACATCAGATCTTTTTACAATTGTATAAATCATTGGGTTTTGTAATGTACTGTACCTTCAATAACATCTTTCTTTGGTAAGAAAGCTTTTGTGTCTTCAATGCCAAACGATATCAGATAGCCATGGTCTTCTACACTTGAAACGTATCCTGGAAGAACCTAAACATACATGTACACTGTACATTAAAACAGTTCTTGTGAACAGTAACTTAATACTAATTTGTCTTAACAAATTTTCACTCTTTTGTTTCATGGCATTTCCTTCATGGCATTTTATGGCAGTCTTTGAGAAAATCATGAAATAATTCTGAAGTTTGATGGTAGAAAGCTCTAAATGTCAGGTAAAAATACTGAAATCATCATCATCATTAATTTTAATCAATATTATTTTTAATGAAAATCATGATGATGATGATGATGACAACTTTATTTTAAACATACCATTCCTTGTTTCAGAGATGACTTGCTCAGGCTACTGTTGACTTCTTTTGGCTCCAGAGATAACTTGATTTTTTTCTGTCCTGGTTTAGATCCTTCCAGCTCCAATACAGAGCACTGAACCAGACATCCAGTAGTGAAAAATTTACCAAGTTCTGGTAAATTTGTCTAAAAAGATAATCAACACATGTGTGGCATAGATAGTGCTTAACCTGATTAATAATGGTAATTGAACTGAGTGGAGTACAATTTGGTCTGAGATCATATGCGTAATTTCAAAATCAGACGCAGCATGAGTTCAATTTGAAATCACAATCACCAGTTTCTTTTCTTTGTACTGATTCAAACTTGCACATAAATAACATGCGTGTGCACTTTCTATGAAGTATTCTATTATAAGTTATTATAAAGGACACATTAAGGTATGTCTGTATGCTGTAGTTAATTTTTTATTTCAGGTAATTTGTATCTTTCTTTTGTTTCAACTTTAAATTAGCATACATTACCATACCCAGAAACAAAAGAAAAACTAAAATTACCTCAGATAAAAAAATAACTACCACATATAATTCATGTCATGGTTCAAAATTAAATTCAGGTTGAGATTTTTTAACCTACAGTGTACATTGAAGGTTGATTTTCAATTTACTTTGTCTTCTAGCCCTAACTATTCATAATTAAGGGCTATGAGACGATGGCTGTTGAGAATCAACCTACAGTAAAAAATTTTAACTTAAATCTTTATATTTTGACCTGTAATATTATACAAAGTAAAGCTTCAGTGTAATATTGTAAATGACAAATTTATATTTTTATGGTGGATAACTTTTATTTTGGTTGAGTTAAGGGGTTTAGAAAAATTGAAAGAACTACTGTAAATACTGTACATGTAAATGACGGAAACTCAGGTCATATCGAACTTTTCAACAAAACTGTCACTGCAATTGCATAAAGCAGTTGGCAGTAGTTACTGACAGCAGAGGCTGTCATATGTTATAAAACCCACCACGTTGCAGTTGTGTCTTACCTCACTGTCTTTAGTTTCACCAGCTTCAAGCCCTTCCTTTAATTTTTCAGTGATCTTTTCATTTATGTGCGTAATGTGCACAAATCCACTTAGCCCATTAGGCAGGCTTATAACCATGTCATACTCATTCACTTCCTTGATTGCTCCCAACACCTTCATACCCACATAGAGTTTCTGGTGAATATTAAAACAGATAAAGCTATGAAATATAAAATTAATATAAATTGCTTAAAAGTGTGGTCATGATGTTGGTAAACCATACTACTTAAAAAGTCAATGATCTTTGATAAAAACTATCTACAGTGTAGCTGTGGACAGTTTGTTTATTTAGTGCAAAGCCAGTAGCTGTTGTGGGCTTTCAGGTTCCATTATAAACACCAGCAACCCAAAGAAGTACGTGTGAGCTTATACCCAATGGGCTACACGTACTGTGTCATTTTTTTTTATTTTTCCGTTAAGTCAAATCTCAAATGCCACATTTTTTCTATTGCAATCTTTACAAAAAAAAAAACAGGCAAATCAAGAAAATCATTGCACCGTGTTCTGTATGCCCAAATGCCCAATGCCCAATTTCTAATTCATTATTACCAAAGCAAACTTTATTAAATTAGGTATAGGTATGCGCTCAAGCGCATTGTAAGAGCTAGGGTACTTTGCTTTTAATTAAGCTAAAAATTAAATTGGGGTGTTAGGGGGTGTTTACATGAGAAAACTCGCACCGGCACGAGTTACATACAGGGATGACTTTTTGATTTTGTATGGCATTTACATAATGCATGGGTCATTTCATATCTCGTTATTTGAAGGCACACTTCATGTTGATAAAATACACTTGTGAATCAAAATCGTAGACATTACGCATGCGTGACCCATTCCAGTCTACCAGCAGACCGATTTCACACCTAAACGGGTGGTCGTTTTGCGTTTACATGATACCGTTGCAAGATTTCTTACCGCAGTGAAATTCTCGCCCCGGTACAACAACCCGGTTGAACTCACGCCGGGGTGACTCACGCTGGCATGACATTTTGTGGTGGTATCATGTAAACAAATATAGAGCCATGAGGGGAAACCGGAGTGATCTCGCCCCAGTGTGAAAGTCACCCCGGTGTCATGTAAACACCCCCTTACAGGGTTTAACATGCAGTTCCGAGGTGTGCAGGTGTGACTCGCTAAAAGTACTGTAACTCAAACCTTAGTGTGTACATGTAGTATTGTCATTCTTCTCAGGAATTTCTTCAGGAATTCAAAGTATTACATGTACTTTTAAAGTGAAAGGCATTCCAAATATTACCTTAAAAGTAAGGGATTCCACGTGTTTTAGCTTAAATTTCCCTGAAATCTCAGCTTTACTTTCCAATTCCTTTGTTGTGGTCTTTTTTTTCCTTGTCTTTTTCTCCCTTCTAGTTCTTGATTCCACTTCTGGTGATGCCTTCTAAACGGAATAGAAGAAGAAATTAGCCAGCCGCAATCACTTCATCTTATGATCAGTGGCATATGCAAATCTAATTGCTATAATTCCTATAATTATGTATTCTACATAAACCTCCACCAAGGCTGTGCTCTAAGAGCCCAGTGGCCCCTGGCACCCAACTTTTGCTCCTGGGCAACTGGAAAATTTCAGATTTTTCATACAAATCATATGCTGCACACCCTTCAATTTTCCTTAGAGCAGAGCCTTGCTCCACAAACAGCCACCCCTCCACAATGGCCACTTTTTTTGTCCCAGCGAACAGTCCATACAAGTAGATCGACTTTTTTTAAACCTCTCTATGATGGCCACCTCTCCACAACAGCAACAACCACTGAACCGTGTCCCCAACTGCCAAAAATTAACCTCTCCACAATGGCAAGTTTTTTCAGCAACTGATAAAAAAGCAAGGAATGGTCATAAAATTTGATCTGTATTGCACGTTGACGATTAATCACGGCATCATATTTTGATTGAGCTCCCTTTATACTGCCTCAGTAAGGCTGCATAAATTGTCTACAATAATTGTTCATTTTGTCAGTTGTTTACTTTTTGATTCAAAACAATTTTTATTCAAGTTATTTTGTGCATTTTATCTCTCTGTTTATTATTTATGATTGGATAATCATTTTTGGATACAGTAAGCATGAACTTAGCACAATGAACATGTTGTACCCCCAAGAATTATTTGTGACTATGACACCCCTACCTTCCCATAATGGCCACCTCTGCACAATAGTAATTAGGCTGATTTAGCGACAGAACGAGAATGTCAGTTGACGACTGTGCTTACAAATCAAACAACTGGGTTGACCAATAGCAGAGCAGCAACTTGGGTACCGGAAGTCACATTTAATCCTTTCCGCGCGCTTTCCTGTCGTCAAATGACGTTCCTGTTCTACTGCTAAATCAGCCTATTATTGTGGAGAGGTGGCCGTTATGGGGAGGTAGGGGTGTCATAATGACGAATTCTTTCTTGGGGGTACAACATGTTCATTGTGCTAACTTCATGCTTACTGTATCCAAAAATGTTTATAATTCTTAATGTTTAGTTAGGATGGCCACTTTTTTCTGTCCCCAAAGTGGTGGTTGTAGAGGGATTTGACTGTATTGTTTAGTTCTTTTCCTTTGACAATTATATTACGGTATTATGTACAAAACAACAGTATTAATATGGCACTGTTTTAGCCATGAAAGTTGATGAATCAATGGGGTAGCATTGTACCATATTTTGTTATGGCTGTGATCACCAACACCATGCACGTAGCCTTGACTAGCCTCGTTCTTAAGTACAAAGTTGAAAAGAATTCATTATCTCAAGCAAAGCTAGTCAGGTTTATTTTAATTGCAACAAAAGAATATTAATCCAGCAGCCATTTTTGCATTGGGTCCATAAAATTGTATTTCCAAATGAGTAGTAAATAACAAAAAATAATATCACCTTAACCCCAAAAAGAACATCCTCCTCTGCTTCATGCTTAATTTTCCTCACTTCAAGGGGGGTCAGAGCAGATGCACCACCTCTGGGAAAATCCTCTTCCTGGACTGTTCTGCTCGATAGAGATGTACTGTTTAAAGGCCAAAGGACATTATTACTTATACACTGTTAACTCTTACTTAGAAAGGATCTTAAATAAGGCAAAATACTTGTAAAGGCTGTGCTCCAGCAATGCCTGGTGGCCCCTGGTGCCTAACTTTTGCTGCCGTTAAACAATAAGCGCTTACCAAATATTCTTTAAATCAGTTATTCCATTGGTTAACGACATTCACTCAATAAGAGACAATCAGGAAGACGGTTTCTGACTGGCACATATGAATGTTGTTACGCATTTTGACATTTCAAAAACTGTGGGAATTTAATTTTCCTCGAGGGCTAGCTCCAGGCCTTTTGGATGGATTTTCGATTGGAAGGAATGAGAAGAAACGTGAATCTTTCAACCTTTTTGTTGTAAAAATTGAAAGCAGAGCAATGCGATTTTCTAGGGGAAAATTTCTCCGGTGCTGGAGATGTTCAAAATATGGATTCTGCCCTTGTCCTTCTATTATTAGGAACAGTAAACAGCAAACTCAAAATCCTTCAAAATCGCTCAAAAAACTGCAAAAGGATGACAATATACCACCGGTAAGGCAATTCAACACTTAGGTAACATTGATCTATATATATGCTTAGGGATATATCACTGTGGAAGAGGCAACTGGTAAATCCAGTACATTTATTGTGTGGACTCCTGTGGTCTAGCTTTTAAGAGCCAAAACTGCCCAAAAACACCCTATATACTGTCAAACATAATGCAGTCTTCTATTCCAAATGCAAAACATCAGCTTCCAAGTTTCAGGAATGTTTAGGAAAGTAAACTTTCAAGTGACACATCAGTCTCAACTTTTACCTTTCACTTTCTCTCCTCTGACCACCCTCAAAAGCACTAAAAATTGAAAACTATGGGCTTTAGCCACACTGTAATACAATGTACGTAGGCTACCACCGTGCAGGCCGGTACAATAATCTTCCTTTACAGTTGACTAGGAGACATAAAATTCCTTTGCAAGACATCAATTTTTCAACGAAAAAACTGGACGATTTCACTGAACAACAGATTCCTGTGTCAGGGCTCGAACATAGTCCCGTCCCGTAGTTCGGGACAAGTAGATTTTCTTGCTGGGCAATTAACATTTAAAAGCTCACTTGCCCAATAAGCAAGGCTACAGACGAGTCATCCTCTAACTTAAACATTAACTAGGAGGAGCAAGAATTCAGGCCCCGGGAGAGCAAAATGTGAGACCTGCTTGCCCAAAGGACAAGCTGGAATTCAAGTTTTATTTTTCGAGCCCTGTTGTGTAGCGTATCGGAGCTCGCATCGGCAGCAGATACCCTGACCACGTGTGTGACCAAAACAGCTACCGTATCTCATAACAATGCATGCAGGGATCATAGAGATTGTGACTCGCCATAAAGAAAGTTATTGTACTAATTTATTTTAAACGTATTTATTCATGCTTTCTTGATTAACTTACCTTGCCATTTCAGACTTCGATCCACTCTGACTGTTTGTCCTTTTGCGGTCTCTCGTTGCCGCCATCTTGCTTTTACGGACTATAGTCACCAGTCTACTCTCCGACAAAAAAGCCCGATGAGCTAAGAAAAAACTGGGGGGAGTCAACAACGATTAACCAATGAACGCTACAGAAAATGACGTAGTGTTCCTGAAAAAGCTCTTTGGACTTGTACAATGCAGTAATTTGCTAAAAATACGCAGTTAAAACCGCTGAGTGGAGATTTTCGAAAGTAAATAAATGCCCAGAGAGATTGACTTTTGTGGCAGAAACCTCTGGTTTACATCGAAGAATCGTTCACAGCATGGTTTGGAAGGAAACCTGCAAATTTGGAATTCATACCGGTCGAACGCTAAGAAAACCTTGGGAGACAGTTTCTTCAGGCGATCGTGGGTTTCTGACAAAAACCGTCGCCAACACAAACATTAATTTCACTGATAAAGACATCAATAGATATCTGAAGAAGTTCCACGTCCAGGACGGCCTAGATGATGAAGAAGTGGCGAAACAAAGCCGTAATCATCGACGCTGGGGTTTTGGACGAGGGTTTTCCGACGACTCGGTGTTGTATGCCATTGGCAAGCGAAAGAGGTGGCTCCTGCCGGGGATTTTAACAAAGGAAATCTCCGAGGATTATGACAGTGAAAATGATTACAAGGCAGTGCTTGTGGAAAGGCTGTCAGTAAATAGTTCTTTGTACGGTCCTTCTCCTCTACTGAGACGTGGCGATTGCAAAGCTGTGGTGGACGGTGAAGAGTTTCGGAAACCGAAACGACGAAAGTTCGCGCACGTCGGCGATTTACGGAAAGAAACTAATAAAACCGAAATCGTTTACGAAGTGAATCATACCGAACCGTCGTTAATCTGGCCAAGCTTCATACAGCACAATGGCAAATGGAGAGAAAGTCGACCTGGAAAGGCACAGTGTAAAACAAAAGGAAAAAAGAACAAGAGGCGCACGTGGGGAGGGTACAAGAAATTTGAGCTGAAGAGACAAGAATGTGACTATCAAGAAAGGAAAATGTTTGATTGCAATGTTGATAAAGACATGAGAGAAGAAAAGTGGTCAGAGAGCCATGAGCAGAGTTCAAAAGTTCATGAACATAACCTAAACTTTGACATTGAAAGTTACATCACTAAGTCACCAACAGTTACAAGTAATTGCCGCAAGAATGTCAAGAAGCACATGAGGATTACTTCCAATAAAAATGAAAAGATTTCAAAAGTGAACCCAGCTTCGTCACATGCAGTCATTCTGCATGGGAAAGGATCAGTAATATATGTTGACCCACCAACCCCACAGCATGGTTACCATGACAACAGTAATATAGCAGATTTTGACTCTGACAGTACTGGCTTGACAGCTCCCTTAACGGTTGAAAGAATTGTTCCTAGTAAGGCAGTTTCCATAAGTGTGGACATTGACAGTGAAACACTTGAACCTCTGAAAATGCATGAACAGTTTGGAGATACATACCAGGAGGGTTCCTCTTTACCTCGGCGATTCAGCATTTGCCCCACAAATCAACCCTCCAAGTTTGTCGTCACCTGCCAGCCTCACAATGCTGATGACATAGGGTTTGCCACTGAAAAAGTCACTGTGACAGTTGTAAGTGATGAACTGCCTTCCAAACAATCACAGGATTGCGAAGAGTTTTTGCGCAGTTGTTTTGGCATTTCTTTGCAAGCGAGTGTAACTGGAGAGAAATCAAGAAGCTATGAGATCAACACTGCTGATCACAACCCAGGTTCTAAAACTAGAGTAGCTTTGATGTCATTTGATTTACTGTGTGACATCAACAAATGGTCGTACAAAGTTTCTTCACCCAGCTTAGCAGTTGCTAATAATCTCCTCAGTAACCATGGCAACCTTCAAACCAGTGACGCTATGACCAGTGAAGACAACAACGCTATCATTCCTGATGCTGTTCTGTGTGAAATCTGTTGCTCTGAGTTTTATCATGACCCTTCTGATGGTAAGTTTTTTTTTCTTCTTTTGGTCATCTCTTTAATATTATAACTGCAAGCATCAGGATTATATAGAGGCAGAAGGTGACGGGTAGAAGATAAGATAAACCTTCAGTTGTTAGATACTGGTATTTTGGCATCGCTTTTTACAATACACTGAACATATATTTTTGAAAGTTCTTTTCTTCTAATAGATACCATTGCTGTTGTAAACAAAACCACCTAGGGAACTTACAGTTCTCCAGATTAACTAAACTGACTTTTAAGATACTTGTAGATCTCAGAGATTAGGGGCATTTCAATAACTTTTTTTTTCTAAAGGAGTTCTTTATGAGAAACAGTTCAACAGAATTTCTCAGGTTAAACTTCATTTGGGTAACTTTTTTTTTTCCAAGATGCGTACGTAATAATAATATTAATACTGATAATAATTTATGGTTGTAGTGTTTCTCAAGTACACTGTATGGACCTTTCCCAGATTCCACACTAGCAGGCACTCACAACTTTAGTGGCAGGAGTATTAGATGCAAAAACAGTCCATTCAACTCAGGCTCTTTGTTAGCGTCACATTTCTTATGGCAATGTCTTCTTTTTAATCCTATCTTATGCTTCCTTTTTTGCCCTTAGAAACTGTACCTTCCAGCTTTTCTTGTACTGCCTTGAAGTCCTGTGAACACTGGTTTTGTAATGAGTGTTGGAAGTCCTATCTGTCTGCTGAAATAAACCAAGGAAAAACAAACTTCAAATGTCCAAGCTCTGACTGTGACACTTCAGTTGATGACATCACCATAATGGCACTCCTACCAGAAAGATTTCTGCGGTTTTCAACAATGAGGCAAGAGAAATATGTGGAGACCAGTACCTCTTGGAAGTGGTGCCCAGGAGACAAGTGTAGGTTGGCTGTCATGGCAACACAAGTCACCAAAAACCAAGATGGAATTGTTCTAATGCCAGTAAGCTGCCATTGTGGTCAAAGCTGGTGTTTTGGATGTCAGTCGGAGCCTCACTGGCCAGCTTCATGCGCGGAGGCAGCACTTTTCCACTCTAAGACAGAAACCTATGCAAAGTTGGTCAGAAATAATACTGGTGGAATTACTTCAGTTAGTGTTAAAAAATGCCCTCACTGTAGCTACCCCATTGAAAAGAACCATGGATGCCCTCATATGTCTTGTATCATGTGCACAGGGGAGTTCTGTTGGACATGCCTTGGGCACTGGGACAAACACGGATGGGGTGGTGACTGCAGCAAGCAACTGAAGGAAGAAGAAGAGGTGGAGCTGATAGACGATGTGGGGTCGACGAGGTTTAATTATCACTCTCGAGTTGCCATAGCTCATCGAATCAAAAGAGCTGCTCCTGTGTTGTACACAAAGTATCGTATGGTTAAGAAACTACAAGAATCACTGGACAGAGAACACCTCGAAAGCACACTCAAGTCTGTCACATCAGCTACCAGTTTGTTTTTGAGCTTGTACAGTGCTCATGATGTACCAAAGTACCTGAAAGCTTCAGCAGACTTGAAGTTTCAAGTTCACCTGGTCATTGAGGGTGTGTCAATCTTAATGGCAGTTTCAAAAACAAAAAGTTATCATGGTAGCTTAAGACGGCGCATCTCAACACTGTTGTTCATTGTGGATAGACTAGAAGTCATGGCAAATGGCAGGCACTTTTGCACAGACATTGATAAGATACGGTTTCAGCGACTGTTTGACGCTGGAAAACACTGCATTGACTGTATTAGAAAATTGTGCATCAAAATATATCGTAACTAAAGTAAATTTCTCCATGTGGTCAATAATGACCATAAAACAATAAGCATTAATCTGCTAGCCAGAGGAACTATATTTTGTTATTAATATTGCAGTAATGGTTCTACTGCATTGCAGTTATCGTTAAAAAAGTTTATATACTTGGACTGAAATAAACATACTATATGTTTGTGACTATATCTCATTGTTATATACTAAACTGGATTGCTTGAAGTTTTCCCCAAAAGAGAGCTACCTCATTGGTTACTTCAAGATCACATGACATCTATCAAAAACTGTTTGCCGCCAAAAGTCTTTGAGCGAGCAACATCGTAACATTTATGACGTCTGAAGACAAGAGTGAACTGTTACCCCCGACCTTCGACCCCTCTTTGTGAGCTATTTAGGGAAGGTACGTTTTTTGTTGGCGGGGGTGGGCCGGGGCTTCGGAGGGGAGGGTCCTTAGTAAATTTTTTACATATTGGGGACGGTCAAACCTGTTTTATTGTCAACCGGGGGAGGGTCACAGTTTTTTTGGCAAGGAAAAAATTACTCCATGTCACTCTATTTTGTATATACAAGCAAAGCTACCAGTCAAGATTAATCTAAATTATTTACAGGTGTCGAAAAGTTTATATATCAAAAAACTGTCTTCTCCCAACTAGCATAATTGTCTTTCTCGACCCGTGTCCGCTTTCGCCCATATTTTGATGTTTCCGCGTGGGGTTCTGTGATTTACTGCTTTCAAAGCCTCGTGAACTTCCCACTGACGCTTTCTTTCAGTCACGAAACAGTGGCAAAAGCGTTCTTTGTAGGGACAAGTGGTCCAAAAGGACAGGTAGAATTTTGGCAGAATACTATTGGAGAATTCAGTATATTCGCCCTTTGGGTATGGGAACCACCCTAGGTCTTCATCTTTCCACTTCTCTGGACTTGGGCTTTCACTTGTTCCCGCAGCCGATGTGCTACCAACAGAGTCAGAGGAGTAACGGGCATCCTTTTTAGAATGTCGAGTCGGCAACAGGCAGCCACAATAACCACAAGTTGCTCCATCTGACCTCATGAAATCCTCGCCTTCACTACAAGCACATTTCCCTCTTTCACCGTGCAATCACACGCCACGCAGTAAACTACTTTGGGCGCGGAGGATCGCGGTTTATGAGTAACACTTCAGGGCCGTAGCCAGGAAGAAACTACAACCGAGGCGAACACACGGTCCGTTGTACAAAATCAGCCGTATGAAATCTTCTCATATTATCAGTCTGATAAAAAAAATAAAAATCGACAGTATTGGGTAAAATTTTACCGAGGCGAGTGCCTCGGTTCGCCTCATACTGGCTACGGCGGTGCACTTCCAGTTTGTTATTTTCACTTCCGGTTATTTTCGTCTTGTATAGGTAGGGGGAAGGGTCAGATGTTTTCGTTTGGGTATTTCTGAAGGGTCTTACATTAATCCATTCCAGAAAGTGGGAGGGCCACAGGGGCGGATCTAGGGGGAGGGTGCAGGGGGTGCGCACCCCCCCCCCCTGACTGGTACAACTGGTATTCTGCAAAAAAAAACTATGTGGTTTACTGGTGTTGAAGTAGAGCAAGAGACGAGTGTACCCCCTCCTAAAAAAAATCCTGGATCCGCCCCTGGGCCATGACGTTTTTTGCATTGCTTGCAATGAAATGAAACATTTGACCGAAAAATTATCATCAACATGGCGTTTGAGCTCTTTTAAGTAGGCAGTGGAGGAAGGTTTGTAAGATTTTGTGCATGGGACAGACAAGAGTGAAGAGAAAAAACTAAGCTTCTTGAAACTAAAGTCTGCAATAGCTCCCACTTTTTGCTGGGGCCATCACCAGGTTTTAGCTCCAGTAGATGGGTTGATTTAAGGTATTGTACTGTGTGACATCAACAAATGGTCGTACAAAGTTTCTTCACCCAGCTTAGCAGTTGCTAATAATCTCCTCAGTAACCATGGCAACATTCAAACCAGTGACGCTATGACCAGTGAAGACAACAACGCTATCATTCCTGATGCTGTTCTGTGTGAAATCTGTTGCTCTGAGTTTTATCATGACCCTTCTGATGGTAAGTTTTTTTTTCTTCTTTTGGTCATCTCTTTAATGTTATAACTGCAAGCATCAGGATTATATAGAGGCAGAAGGTGACGGGTAGAAGATAAGATAAACCTTCAGTTGTTAGATACTGGTATTTTGGCATCGCTTTTTACAATACACTGAACATATATTTTGGAAAGTTCTTTTCTTCTAATAGATACCATTGCTGTTGTAAACAAAACCACCTAGGGAACTTACAGTTCTCCAGATTAACTAAACTGACTTTTAAGATACTTGTAGATCTCAGAGATTAGGGGCATTTCAATAACTTTTTTTTTCTAAAGGAGTTCTTTATGAGAAACAGTTCAACCATGGGAACCACCCTAGGTCTTCATCTGTCCACTTCTCTGGACTTGGGCTTTCACTTGTTCCCGCAGCCGATGTGCTACCAACAGAGTCAGAGGAGTAACGGGCATCCTTTTTAGAATGTCGAGTCGGCAACAGGCAGCCACAATAACCACAAGTTGCTCCATCTGACCTCATGAAATCCTCGCCTTCACTACAAGCACATTTCCCTCTTTCACCGTGCAATCACACGCCACGCAGTAAAATACTTTGGGCGCAGAGGATCGCGGTTTATGAGTAACACTTCAGGGCCGTAGCCAGGAAGAAACTACAACCGAGGCGAACACACGGTCCGTTGTACAAAATCAGCCGTATGAAATCTTCTCATATTATCAGTCTGATAAAAAAAATAAAAATCGACAGTATTGGGTAAAATTTTACCGAGGCGAGTGCCTCGGTTCGCCTCATACTGGCTACGGCGGTGCACTTCCAGTTTGTTATTTTCACTTCCGGTTATTTTCGTCTTGTATAGGTAGGGGGAAGGGTCAGATGTTTTCGTTTGGGTATTTCTGAAGGGTCTTACATTAATCCATTCCAGAAAGTGGGAGGGCCACAGGGGCGGATCTAGGGGGAGGGTGCAGGGGGTGCGCACCCCCCCTGACTGGTACAACTGGTATTCTGCAAAAAAAAAACTATGTGGTTTACTGGTGTTGAAGTAGAGCAAGAGACGAGTGTACCCCCTCCTAAAAAAAATCCTGGATCCGCCCCTGGGCCATGACGTTTTTTGCATTGCTTGCAATGAAATGAAACATTTGACCGAAAAATTATCATCAACATGGCGTTTGAGCTCTTTTAAGTAGGCAGTGGAGGAAGGTTTGTAAGATTTTGTGCATGGGACAGACAAGAGTGAAGAGAAAAAACTAAGCTTCTTGAAACTAAAGTCTGCAATAGCTCCCACTTTTTGCTGGGGCCATCACCAGGTTTTAGCTCCAGTAGATGGGTTGATTTAAGGTATTTTAGAATGTCTCGTATATTAAGAGAGGCTTTCATATTTTCAGATATCCAAATATAATGTCTCGCTGATAATAGACAGAAATTATTTGATTATAATTCAAATGCTGTAGAAATATTTATTCTGTAACTTCGTGGGATAATTTTGGATAAAGTAATTCGCTGGATTAAGGAGTTCCAGAAGGTAGTTACTTTGGAGCAAGACCAAAAGAGATGCCTCAGTTTTTGTAGTTCTTCGATACAAAAGGATCAGATTGGATCATTTGTTTACTCCAATTTTCATTGTTCGATATTCGTCTGTGTAGAAGTTTGAATTGAAATTGAAATAGGCCTCGTGCCATTTAATGCAACTGTCGCCTTCGCCTTATCGCATTCCTCTATGCATTTCTGCTAAGTCTGTGTAGAGAGTATACCGTAAAAGTCCGAAAATAAGCCCCTCCATGTATAACCCCGCCAAATATAAGCCCCCCAAACAGGTAAAGCGAAAAACCCTCCGTCAAATCGCCCCTCCAAATATAAGACCCCCGGGGGATTGTACGTGGAAAATTGCCCTCCAAATACAAAGTAAAACAAAGCAAAAACGGTAAACTTACTTCCAACTATAAGGTTAGCCCAATCGATTTTGAAATGCAAATTTCCCTCCGTAGATAAGCCCCTCCTAATGTAAGCCCCTCAGAAAGGGCCTTTAAAAAATATAAGCTCCGGGGCTTATTTTCGGAATTTTACGGGTTTTTTTCCTGAAATAAGTTTAGCGTACACAATTTGACTTGCTTTTTGTCCGTTCAAAAATAATCGAGTTGCTTTTCATTTTATAATTTTTTATCTGTTGTTAATTTCAATTTTTTAACTTGAAGGGTGCCTGAACTCCTCCAGGACTCGCTGGCTCTGTCATCTCTACTCATTCAGCTAATTAAATCAAGTCACCTGTCCTGCCAGACCGCTCGCGCGAACTTATGTTTAAAGATGAGGACACTACCTGATTAGCATAGTCAATAGTGTGCATGAAAACATACACAACTCTCGAATGAGAAGGCGCTGTGTAGAAAAAAATCATGGAGGCTAACCTTAAGGTCGTCTTGTTTTGAAAGGTGGTTTACAGTGGAAAACATGAGCTCGAAACTGCGTCTGTGTTGCTTCAGTTTCTCCTGAAGTTTCCTTTTTAAGCGAACCTTATAAAAGTGCAACGCTTAGCTCGGAAACAACAATACGAATCCCCCAGGTGAGCGCAGTTGAATGCTAAGGACTACTACAAATTATAGTGGCTTGGCGATCTATCTTTTTGCGGGTTTTTGAGTGAGACTTGGTATCTTTTTCTTTAATCATTCTTTAAGCAACAAAGGTTTATGTATAAAGGAACCAGTGGGTAAATGTTCTTACTGATTCACGCTAAAAAGACATTGTTAACATAGTATAAATTCATGGGTAATTCCTATATTTGACTACAAGGAAATACGTCATTAACTGTGTAATAGTTTAAAGCTACAATTTTTTCTTAACACAGAAAATTTGTTTTCACGCGTGCGTTTCTTTGCACGTAATTGAGGAAAGAAAAAAAGAAATCGACATTGTAGGTTGCTATCGTTGCTTTCGAGGTTTTTAATGAAAGCGTCATTTGGTACTAATTTTCAACTATTTTGTGATCTTATTTCAGCTTCCCTGGAACAAATTTCCATAACATAAAACCTTACTAGGATATTTTTGGAGTTTAACAGACCAAACCTCAAGCCTCCCTTAGAACAGCCAGGGGCAAGATTCGATGACTTGACAGTCGCCATTATCTCACTGCAGTAACGGACGATGCATCGACAAGCGAGTGTAGAAGATGCATACGATTACTTATTTAAAATCGTTTTGATCGGAGACTCTGGTGTCGGGAAATCCAACCTGTTATCAAGGTACACCAAAAATGAATTTCACCTCGGATCTAAGGCAACGATTGGAGTAGAGCTGGCCCAGAAGAATATTGAAGTAGACGGCAAAAATATTCGCGCACAAATCTGGGATACTGCAGGCAAGTCTATTAATTACTGCTCTTTCTTTGTAAATGTACAAAAATTAAAAATATAGTTAGATTGCTTTTAATTGTCCCACAGACAGATCTGCTGTTCTAGAAACATAGATGGCACTTTTCTAAAATTGAAAGGGGTCTCACCCCGTTATATCCTTAAGGCTATACACTTTCTAGATCTGATTGTCAACTCAAGAATATTTGGTTTAATTTATTAAACTCTTCCGACATATGAAAAGCGAATAATAGAGATGTAACAAGTACAAAATTAATGTGATTTTATTGCACTTAAATCGAACTCCCACACAACGTTTCTTAATAAAAATTAGTATGATGTCTTCAATAAATTGTAAACTAGGTCTCGATACTAAACAGAAACTTCTCGATTATAATCGCTCCCTAGCCACCCGCTTAAACATTATTAGCTTTGAAAATGCGTAAACATGTTTCTTGTATTGGTTGATAATATAGATGCACCTTTCTTAACTTAACTTTCAGGTGTATCTAATATTTCAGTAATAAAACTTCAGATAATTACCCGTACCTGATAGAACAAATAGAATTATTGGTTCATATGTACAATGCATAATTAAGTTTAGAGAATTATGCGAGTTCGGCATTGAGGTGTATAAAAGTCAAGGTCTTCAGAAACCCGTTCTTTTGCTAATCTTTTGAAAATCGCAATATTATATAGATAAAAGTAGCGTACGTAGGCTGACATTATTAATGGCGGTATGTATGTGTACCAAAACTATGATTTTTGACTCGAAATGTTTTGTTTTCAAAAGGAACGCTTTTCAAAATTTACATAACTATGACAACTATTTCAACTGTAGTCAAAAGACCTGAACAAAACAACTTACTGTAGAGTAAAACTTGTCAAACGTCATATTTGCTCGGCCCCTTATGGGTCTTCGACTCAGTGAGGTCTTTTTTTTGGTGTGGAAGATTAAAATGTAACGATAAATGGTGTGCATGCACAATCTGTATTAATTTCACTATTCTCCTTGGAATAGACTTAAAGTAGAACAATTAAATTTGACATTCAATTTACTTTTACGCCGGTCGCCAATCATGGAGTAGGTATGGAATCGTCTGAATACGTCACCAGGCTCGAAAGCTCCTGATGGTACCGAAGACCGTCAGAGATTATCTGGAAATCAGGCTTTCGAGAATTTTTGTTTAGGAGAGAACAAAACCATAAAAGCATACGTTTTCATGCGTTTACGTAATCAATAAACTAACTCGTAGAACGTTTAGGGTCTAAGCACAAAAATACTTACGGTACAAAATGTACAGGGCAAACTTCGGCCTACGATACTTACAGCTTCAATTTGAATTGATGACAATCCATCTGGACATATTTCCTAAAGAACTAAAAGGAAATGTTGGCCAGAGCTGTAAAATGTCCTACCAGAAAAATGATAAATAAATATTGCATTTCTTCAGAAGAAGAGGACGAAGAAAAGATGAGTCTACCCTGATACTCTACTTTCTTTAATAATCATGTGAAAACGACTGCTTTATCAGCTTTACGGACTATGCTCAATTACCAAATAGATACTTGACATACTTGTCCTTGATAACTTTTTCTGAAAATCTTGTTTTGGACTCTCTCTCTCTTTAGGCCAAGAACGATACCGAGCTATCACAAGCGCTTACTACCGCGGAGCCCTGGGAGCCATTTTGGTATACGATATTGCTAAGGTGACGTCATTTCAGAACCTCGACAAGTGGATTGCTGAACTTAAACAGCATACTGATGCTAACTTGTGTATCATTATAGTCGGCAATAAATCGGACCTCAAGCATCTTAGAATAGTAGAAACAAAGAGAGGCCAGAAATTTGCTACCGATCACGGCGTGTTATTCATGGAGACCTCTGCGCTGGATTCCACGAACGTGAGGGAGGCATTTGAGGACCTCGTCATGGAAATTTACGAAGGAGTTAAGGAACGAGAAAAAGCAAAACCACGAAAAAATACGCTGCCACCCCCGCCCGAACAATTAAAGGATGCAATTCAAAGTGGAATAAATGGGTCTGTCAATCTAACGAGTGGAGAGGGCGAGAAGGGAAAACATCGGAAAAATATACTACCCTGTTGCTCTACTTAACATGTTAATAAGAGCAATCTTCAGTGGTGTCCACGTTTCAGTGAAGTATTGGCCGAGGCGGAAAATGCCATAATATTCTCTAAATTTCTGTTCGGGTAGTGGTTCATGTGAAGGCGACTTTTGCAATGTCTTTTGTTCTTTGCATGATTTGCTTGTACAATGCATCAGCTTCTCATAAATTTGCATACACTGCACTGACGTGCAGATCATGATAAGAACAAAAACTAACTCAAAAGTCAGATTTACACGAAGCACCACCAAATCGGCAATGATATTTTCCACTTTGGCCTGGTATGCGTGTCTTTATTCGGCGGCGGAAAAGAACTTAAAACAGTCTTTAATACCAGTGAATCTGGTGAATTAAATCTCGTGTCGCAAAGGTTGCACATGGACCATTTTTAACCAACTCATATATTAAAATATATCTGACTCAAGATTGTCGCACTTCTTGCATATGCTTTATTAATGATGACGGTGTCACTAGACAGTTTTTTTGTTGTTGTTTTAGTATATTGCCAGACAAATTCTTTTAGTTATAACACACCCTAAAAAAGGAAGAGAACGTCTGGCAATGGTGAGTTTCCGGCCTTGCTGTTACTCGACGAGAAAGGAAGAAAGTAAGGATATAAAGATTTCGACAGTTTTTGGAGTTGACGTTAAGTGAACGAGGATTTTCATATTAAGGTGATTCGAGTGATAAGCCTTTCCTCCGCTAAGATTTTCTGCCACCGAAATATCGGAAAAGATAACCTTCTTGGACAAAAGTCTCCTTTAAAGGAACTGAGATGACACGAAAACTGAACGTATCTACAATGGAACCCAATGTTGAAAGCCATTTCTTCAAATTGAAGGAAAACTTTTGTTTTGGTTTATATTGACAGATGGAAATTTCGCACGTACACTTTATTCAAGTGACTGATAAATATTGCCCATCAGGTGCAAGTAATATAATTGTGCCTGTATATCTTAGTTACCCCCCCACGTTAAGAAGATAAAGTTGTGTTTCTCTGGAAGAGAAGAAATTAAAAATAAAATGGCTGCGTACATTATATTTCAGCTAAAGAATTGACCATTTTATCTTTGATTGGACTAAGAATTTTGGAAACTTGCATAAGCAGCAAAGACCTCAACAAACTGAAAAAAGACATCACACGTCAATTCATTTGCCAAACGGGGTGGGGGTGGGGAATGAAGGTGGGTAGATTGATTTTTAGAGGGTACTGACTTCAAAACAGCTTAGCGCCAATGAAAACTTGTATTTTATCGTTAAAAAGTATCTCGAAGTCAGAAAATAAACGTTTTTAAAACTAAGACTTGGGGCCACTTAGCATTGGTGAGATTTTTGCGAAGGGTTCAACTAAAGCACGCGTAATGTAATTCAAATGTGGTTTGGAGCGCGCGCTTAAACTTAAAATGTAATTCCTAAGCAAAGACGCGTATTTTGGGCAACAATGTTGGAACAATGATGATCATGTCGCCTAACTTACAGTCTTCCTAGCATGATCATAATGCTTAAAATCACTGGCACAACAGAGAAATATTTTTATCTTTTTTCATCCCTTAGTTGTGTAACATCCCTTGTAAAGTATATTTTAAACTTCTCAGGAAGTTTTAGAGGGACTCTCGTTTCAACTCACTGCGAATTCATGCCACGGGGGAATTAAAATCGTGCCAAGCGAACTCCTCGTGGTTTTCTTAGAACATGCTTTTGGTGCCTATTGAGAGAGGTTGCTCGCAAGCTACATGCTTTTGCTATCAAAACTAGGCCCTCTAAAAATTGCATGCAGAGGAAACTGAAATTGAATAAAAGATGAGAAACCGTTGTCGTGGTTGTCCGTGAATTGATTTTAATACTGAGCAATTTAAAAACCCGTGAAGAGAAGTTTATTTCCTCTTTCAAACTAAGACAGCTTATCGGAATGACAAAATGCGTTGTCATCAGTCAACTATACTCACTCTGACATCACTTTATTTCGCAACGAAAGGAACGCCTGTTTTGGTAAATTTTTTCTTTAGTCTTCTTGCCGAGGTTTCGAGCCTCCTTTTACTTTCGTCGAAGGAAAGACAAAGGGGGTTTGTTGAACGCTGAAGATAAAATACGCAAGTACTTATCTAGTGGTTTATAAAAAAAAAATTCAGTCGTCCTTTCCAGTTTTGTTTCTGTCTTAAATTCCCATCTTTCGTACTTCTCTTTACAGTTTCGCCCCAGCAAAGATTCGGGAGCTTGTAAAAGCAATGCTCGCTGTGTTTTTATCAAAAGAGATAAGTTTTATTTATTAAATGGTTTATTAAGCAATTTCGTGCTGACGTTTTCGAAAGAACTTGCACGTAGCATTTGAACTGATTCGCTGTGAAATTGAAAGCTGACACAGCACTCACGTCAATTCGTTCAGATTGCTTCCGTCCAAAAACGTCAAACAATATTAAACCTTTCAAAGTATACCATATCATTATTTAGTTTCCCCACACCTGCCTTGTCATGTTCGAAATAACAGTCTAATTTGCCACAAATACTTCCGTGCGCTCGGTGCGGAGAAAGAAGTAAGCTTAAGAGCAAGATTAAGACCAGCAGCACAAGACCCGTAGAAATCAGGTGAGTGGCTTTCGTCCTCTTTTTTTTTTTTTTCAACTTAAAATATGTGTTAAATTAGAGTTACTGGATTTTCGTGACAAGGAGTTTGTCGTCCGCGTGTATAAGTGAATACCGATGAATAATGGGGGTAGTTTGAATTCAGTTCGAATCTTTTCATCTTAAATTTTATAAATGTTAAACTATCATACCTTGATGGAACTAGACTTCTTTCTTTTAAATTCTTTGCTGTCTTTCTCCAGGGTTCTAAAACTGTTAAATATACAAAAGAAGCAAAGTAAATTGAATTGACATTGAATTTTTGACTGGTAAGTCAAGATTATTTTACTGATTGAACTGTTTGATTGATAGGTACAGGTAGTGTTCCTCAGTTAGTCTCTTAGCTTCATCCCCTGATAATCCAATATCTAGTGGAAATAGAATTTTTATCACTACTTTGCATTTTCATTAGCTTAAGAGGAAAAGAAAACAAATTCAGTCAAACCCCGTTCATAATACGGACGCTGAGCGGGCCATAGACCCTTCCGTATTAAAGGACTGTCCGTATTAAGTACTGTTTAAAAAATGAGCAGGATTAAACACTCGAGACGAAGCCGAGTTTTTACACCTGATAGTACACTCCAGCGAGGTTTTTGCGCAACTCATTAATTCTTGCACTAATATTTAGTTTTGGGTTTATTTTGACCTAAAAATTGGACGTAAAGTTTAGCCGTGTCTTTATCAGATATACAGACACTTATTAAGCATTGTTTTTTCTTTACGAATTATTAGTGAGGTTTTGAAGCGGGTGGAATTTATAGGAGAAAATGTCAGGGTTCGCTTTCCCCAAGGACAAAGAGGGCTGTCCGTAATAACGAGGTATCCGTATTAACTCGGTGTTCGTAAAGCGGGGTTCGACTTTATTTATATTTAAGTATTTCAACACAAAATTCAAAATTCAGTCGGTTCGTCGACATCACTCATTCCCCTCACCATAAAACTGACCCAATCTTGCGAAATTTTACTTTAGAGGGAGATGAACTGACTTGTTGAAATAAATAATGATTCAAGAGCAACTGTAGGTCATCAATCTCCTTTTATGATGATCGATTAACATTTTACGTCCTTCAAATCACAGTCACTGTCTTCAGGCTTTCTCACAATCGGACAGGTAAACACTGTCAGTCAAACGAATATTTCTCTTTTTTCTATCCATTCTTAACAAAGTTGCGTCTAGATACGTCAGTATTTCGATTATAGATGGTGTGTGGTATTTGGCTCTTACGCTGTAAGCTAATTTTGAGTTTTTTAGTTCCGCAAGAAAATTTCAGTTTTCCGAGTTTTCTCTTCAAAAATCTACTTCATGGTTTGCATTTTGAAACCGATTGTGGGACGGTGTAGCTTGAGAATACAGAAAATGCCTCTAAAAACAAAGTGAGCATACTGCAGACGGGAATCAGAACACTGAATCGCACAGGTGTAAAATGTAAAGAAACAAAAAATAAAATGCAACAAAAGGACTTTGCCTATGCGATTGCATATTTACTCAAATAATGACCCGGTATTTTACAAATCGCAAGTCGCGCCCAAAATATCGAGTATCCAGAAAAGTAAACCGCTCGCAAAGGAAGAGCTCCTCCAGGTTCCTTGACAAGAAAAAGACCAAAATACGATTGCTTTTAGTTTAGAAAGCTTGTAAAGCTGCCAAATCTGTAATAATAGCATCAAAGAACTTTGATTGCAGTTTGTGAGATTCAAAAAAGGGCTCGTCAGAGGCGGATCCAGGATTTTTTTTAGGAGGGGCTGCACTCGTCTCTTGCTCTACTTCAACACCAATAAACCACATAGTTTTTTTTGCAGAATACCAGTTGTATTAGAAAACCGCAGGTCATCTCAGGAGGGGAGGTGCGCACCCCCTGCACCCTCCCCCTAGATCCGCCCCTGCTCGTAACAATTTAGATGTATTCCAATGAAGATTCAAAATACAACGGTCAACGCAATGTTGCAGTACGTGATTTAAGAAAGGCCTCCAGGGCTGGTCAAATCTTTCCCATTATCATCCTTATCGTCACGATTGGCGATACAGCGACACTTGTAAAGTTAGCACGTACGAAACAAAGCATGGAATTCACCTCCTCCAGCTTAGCCTACGTGTAGGCCACACCCTCCCCCGACAAAGGAAAAACTGGGGGGGAGGGTGCGACTACACGTAGGCTACCTCTAGCTACCTAAGCAAAATTATCGAACTAGCTCGAACTGATCAACTGTTTTACAGATTGACTCCAAGGCACAAGGGCGCAATAAAGGAGGGGGGCTTTACATAGGACTGTTAACTAACTGTAAGAGGAATTGTTGAAACCGCAAGTGTATATAAACAGGAGACAAGCCATATACGATAAAAACAAACCTGCTAACAACAATTACAAAAAAATCCCCAGCGGGTATAGGGTGTGAAAGTAAAGTATCTTTACTATATTTCGGCAGTATTTTTCAAACCCAAAATTGTTTCCTTTTTATTCAATGAACTTTAAAATTACGAGTCATGTAAAATCTCAACTCAACACAAGGTGAGCCAGTTGGGACAAAAGGGTAGAATGTGTCTTCCACTAACGTAGATAGTCTATCGTCATTGTATTGATTTTCTTTTCTTTTGTATCCTTGTTTTTTTTTCTTCAAAAACCGGTTTTTCAAGGTGCGTAGTTTGCCAACCTCACTTACCTTACACGCTCTTAAGGGTTCTCTCCCCAGTCTCACTCTCCGTTTTTATCCTTGTTCCCGCAGGCTTCCGTTTTACATGATCACTTCTTTATGACATCCCACGAAAAAGCGGGCTGTTTTAATTGAATGAGGCGGTTTCTTTCACCTTTTTTTAAAAAAAAAACTCAAAAAACAATTTGAAAATAAATAATAATTATCATTATTATGCCTACGAAAATTGAAAAAAAAAAGGCAACGAGGGCAATGATGTTAATCGCAAGTGGCTCAACAGCTTGCAAAAATGAAATGGTGTCGCTGTGTTGCTGTGGAAAAGTCGATCTCCAACTCATTTTGTTAGAAATTTCATTTTGGAACAAGAGAAAAACAAAAGACGAAAAGAAAAGAGCAAAGGAAAGCTCACCGAAAGAAATATTCATTGAAGCTATCGGAGCCGGTCTATAACTAACTGTCGATTTATTGCCCAGATTACGGACGGATCCATCATCTTAGGCTTTTTTCATTCTATCTCAGATTATATCATGTAAGCCAGCTGCTCTGTCTCGACAAACAAACCTATTTCCTTTTATTATTGTTCTTACTTTTTTTGTTGAAATGGCACCTTTTTAGGTAGATGGAATGTTCATAGCTGCGTGCGCACTTGTCAATGACTTAAGACCTGCCTCGTACCCAAATGTATCTCTCTCGCTGTAAACTTGCGCCCAAGGAAGGCGGTGAGGAGAAAACGGACGAGACGACACTCGCGTTTCACGCTCGCCTGTAAAAGCTAAGCGCCTGGCAGGAGGCAGAACGCACGAAGACACAAGAGTGATCGCTTGTCGCTAGAAAACCTCCGTACTGAAAATGGGAACTAAACTGACATTGGACTTCAGTTTTTCCTCCTTATCACCAACTCTCATTTTACTTACTTACTTCCTGTGTATTTCCCCCCCAACTTTGATCAAAATCAATTCACTTAGCTTTGTAAATAACCGAAGACAGGAAGTAGATAGCTCTTAGGAAGACAAATTAAAATCCGTCTGAAGTGCTGATGAGCTACAGTAGACTCCCGGTAACTCGAACCCTCTATAACTCGAACTTCCCGCTAACTCGAAGCAATTTTCTTTTCCCCTCAGATCATTTTTTATATAATTTTACACTCGATAACTCGAACTTTTTTATTTCCCTTGAAGGTTCGAATTATCGGGAGTCGACTGTATAAACAAATTAAAAAGTTCACCTAGGTTAATAAATGCTATTAACTAGACTCCTCGGTAAGCGATGGTATTTTTTTTAAAAATTCTGACTTGTCGCGTATTTATCGAAGACTGGTTGCGTTGGTTGCAAAAAACTAAACAAGAAGTTTCAAATAGAAAAAGAAAAGTGGCCATTGATAAATTTCTGTGAACGTCAAGTTGTGTTTCCTGTTGAAAGCAAATAACACCTTTTCTGTATGTTAATGTACTTATGACACACTTAGATCAAAGCCAAAACATTTATAAACATGTTTTAGGCATAATAACCGATATCCTTTGACGAAATATGTTGAAATATGTTGCTGACTAAAACTCAAGGCGCACTTTTTGAGTTTTCATAGCTACTATCAGGTAAGCCGCTAATTTCACTCAATTGAGACACCAAACACAATTTTTAGTTCATCGACAAATATATTAACGCAACAAAAACAGCGGGCGGAAAATCGCGAGGCCTCTGGTATCTCTAAACTGGGCGAAGTTTCAAGGAACTCACTTTTTCAACCAGAAGCATTTTTCCCGATGAACCAGGAAGCTAGAAATGAATACTTTGTTAATCTTCCGTTTAATTCATCAGACGCACTTTATAATACCGACAGACAGACGCGTCTGTCCCCAGACAGACTTTCCCTCGTTAAACTCGGCTAAAAAGAGCACCGAAGGGCCAAAAAACAAATATAGTCGTATTTACGAGCCTTTAATAATGATAGTGATAATTACAACGTGTATTTTCGGTTTACACCGAAGAGTGTGGTCGAGAGAGTTGCCTCGAAACTCGCGCGAGACGAGGTAAATGACTGAAAAAAGGGTTGCGCAAGGCAACATGGAAGGAGGAAAAATGGCGGACAATTCTTTCCCCGTCAAGGCGTCCTTTGTTTATTGTAACAGGAGCCCTCGGCTCCTGTTGTAACACATTCTCACTACCTACAATACACACGAATATACAATGAGATATGCAGGGGTCAAAATGGTCGGTCTCCACAGGTGTGGACAGCGATGATATATTCACATGCATTGAAGGCACGGCACGGCGTCATAACGTGGGAATCGGGTCCTGTGGGGGCTGGGAGGGTGGGTCGCTGATCCCCCTGTGAGATGTTATTAGACAAATGCACACAATAGGAAGAATTGGTGGTAATATATACAACGCCAGGAATTGTGGGATATCTATTGTTATGAAAATATTCTTGCTTTACTTCAGGTACTGAGAATAATTCAAATTTAAGTTACAAACAAAGGAAAAAAATGACACGCTCAACAATTTTCAAACACTTTAATAATAATAATAATAATAATAATAAGGCGAATATTTATACAGGATAACCTATCAGTTCTAATAAAAAGAATTGTTATCAAAAGGGTCCTGCAATTATCTGATAAATAGCTAAAAAAATAAAAAATAAAATCGAAAGAGGAAAATAACACTAAGAAATCTAAGATTCAAAAATCAAAACCTGTAAAAATTATTGACTTATAAGACTGAAAAGAGTTTAACAGGCCATTTCCGAGTTCCCTCACACCTCTGTATCAAAACGAGGTTAGGTTCTCAGCCTTTGATATGGGAATGACTTTTCATTCTCATGCAAATAAAACTCATTTTCACAAGAAAGGTTGTGCACTTGACCTTATTTTGAAAGTGAGGGATTTTGGAACTCGGGAGTGGGCTATTGCAGTCTGTTTTAATTTCCCTCTCTGTTGTTTAATTCTCCCATGTCTTGCTGTGTTATTTCAACGTTTCTTCTCTGTTTTAAGCAATATATATTTTTATTTTTCACCCACTGAAAATTTGCGTGGACGATTCTTATTGACTAATTGTTGATTTCTCTTTCGCTCTACAGTATTCAAAGCGTCTTCATCAGCAAACACTACTGATAAATGGAAAATTTCACGTTTAATGACACGACTTCATTCAAGGCATCACGAGTCTCTGGTGAAGTTGCTGTATGGTACTGGGTTTTAAGAGGATTAATTGGCCTGATAATTTTGGTGGGAAACGGTCCGGTAATTTACCTCATAGTCACGTGTCACAGACTCCACACAATTTCTAACTGGTTCGTTCTCTCCCTTTCTTTGGCTGATCTTTTCGTCGGGGTTTTTCTGATCCCAGTTTCCACTTCTTGCGCCCTGTGGACGAATTGCAACATTTCGGTTATGAGGTTGAACTTTGACCTTTTACTTTTCGTTTCCATAGCCAACATGTGCGCCATAACCGCTGACCGGTACCTCTCTGTGGTACGACCGCTGACCTATTTGCAGAACATGACCAACTCGCGTGTTCGCCTTTGGATAATTGCAGCTTGGTTAATACCAATCGTCTTCACACTCATTCCCTTCACGTGGATGTTTTCATCGTCGCAAAATAAAATGGAAAATGCAAACAGAATCTATGGAACTGTCCAAATAATCACCTTCAACGTTCTTCCTTGCCTCACAATACTCCTTGCCTACGGACACATTTTTCACATATCTCATAAGCACGCGAGACAGATTCGTGCGTTTACCGTCAAACTCAACAGAGTGGATTCTGACATGTTGACTAGGCGACAAATAAAACAGGAAAAGTCTGCAACAAGAGTTTTTGGAATGGTTGTAATATTTTTTTTGTTCTGTTGGATGTTATCGGCGTATAGACATTTCTGTGATTACTTAAAACTCCCGTGTCATATTTCTTCTGGAACAGTGTTGGCATCAAGACTCTTGATGTTGTTAAATTCGGCTATTAATCCATTTATTTACGCTTTTCTAAAGGAGGACATAAAAAAGGAAGTAAAAAGGAGGCTCTTTAGACGTAATGCCCTCGTCAATGATGCCTCTTTCTATGGCCGCAGACCTGTCATTGTAGACTCCTATACTTGAAAATTAACCTCGACCGGAAGATTCTGAACACATATAATGCGTATTAGAATTTCAGGGGCACCTAACGAGAACATAGTTCAAAACCACTTAAAAATAGCATTGTTAAACGTATTTTAGCATTTAAACGGTAGATGTAGGCATATTTTTATCTCCTAAAAAGTTTTCATCTGTTCGGATTTCCTAGCTGAAAGTCTAGTGATCCGAAAATTACAGGGATCAAAACTTACCTTTTCGAAATTTTCAGCCGCAAAAAAGGCTCCCGAAAATTCTAGGTGACCTTTTTGGGGTAAAAATCTCGGCGTTAAAAATGGGCAATTATACCATTTTAAGATGTTCGAAAATCTTAGGAGAGGCAGGCAAGCAAGAAATTTTACAACAAATGTTCCGAAAATTCTATATCTCAAATCGTCTTCCGGACAGATATTTTCCGAAAATTGACGTTAGGTCCCCCTGGAATTGCTCCACAAAAACTTAAATAGCGAAAAGCATAGAATTTGTACTTATATTTCCTCGGTGGAAGAACTGCTTTGTTGATTCCCAGCCAACCGATTGAACTTGCATAGGGCATCGGTATCAAAAGGCGGGGTTGCAATCGTATGTCAGATCTGTTCGCTTTGGGATTGCCATGAAAGTACCGCCCAGATTGTGGGGTTCGCCCAGTATGTGCTTCAGGCTGAATTTTTTGGTACAAAAGGACTCTTGGCTAAGGAACTCTAGCAATTTCAAATCGAGAACAAAGAGACAACAAAGCGCTAAGATTAAATAAAGCCTATTACGTGGCCTCTCGGAGATACGAAATTTCTGTTGAGTGTTGAAAAATATTTCACAATTGCAGAGCACAGCACGACCGAGAAGGTAATTTTTGGTGTCAATAAGCAGCCATGTAATGATCTACCGTAAAATTCCGAAAATAAGCCCCGGGGCTTATATTTTTCAAAGGCAGTTTGTCAGGGGCTTATTTTTGGAGGATTACGTTTCAAAATCGGCTAGGCTTATACTTGGAGGGAAATTTGCGTCTTGGAATCGATTGGGCTAGCTTACATAGTTGGAAGGAAATTTATGTCAGTACCTGCAAAAAGTTTTTACTGAAACTTGCCTTGAGGACGTAGCCCTCTAAAGCGCAGCCATGCATACATTGTCTATATGGACAGAGGAAATCCATGACAAGAGTGAAGGGGAACTACGCTAACAGCAATAAACTGTGACACTTTCTAACTGCAATCATTTGGCACGCGTGATAGTTCTTTGGCAAATACAAACATTTATATGTTTTTGCTTTGTTTTATTTAGTATTTGAGGGCAATTTCCAATTACAAGTACAAGCCTCCCCCAGTCGGGTTTTTTTTTTCTCAAAATCGGTTTAGCGTAGCGTAAGAATCTCACGCGCGCCAAGCGCGCGAGCCTACTTTGACTGTTCGCACGTACTTGAATACGTATTCCATATATGAATAAAAATTGTTTCTCGTTTTCGTGTATCAAATATACTGGAAATGAATTTGTTAAATCCAAATTGGAGCGGAAAGCCAACCCAACAAGATCTTTCTATCCTGGATCTTAACATGGGTAGATTTTATCAGTAATGTTTCCGTTGACATTGTAGTTTTCATTTCGCCGCTAAAATAAGACTCACAAGAAATCTTATCACCCTTAATTGTTCGCTGGGGGCTATAAGCAAGGGAAGCCGTAGAAATTGCGTATAAGAGGCTGAACGTCAAATTTTAATTATGTTGTGAGTTTTAACATTTCTAAATGTCAATTTTATAAGGATATACTCAGAGCAGAGGATGTAGGCGACGGAAAATTAATGAAAGGCATGAACATCAACATGCTGCAAGTTTAAAAATTACTAAAATCCAAGCAGCATTGGTTTGGTCTTGATTAAATGTCTATAGAAAGTAATTTCTTATTTGCTATATCATTGTAAAGTCAGCTGTTTTTAACGCTGTCATACACCGACTTCCAACATAAATTGAGGAGAACGCAAACACGGGAAATGAGTTCTCATATTTACAAAAAAAACTACACGAGGATATCAACTAGCGTTCTTTCTGTTCTTAGAAAACAAGCTTTTACGACCTGACTCATCACGTTATCGGTAAGTCCATGCGTTTTGATAAAAACTGGAATGTTGAATATGGTAAGTCTGTGAGTAAACAAAACTCTATGGGAGACGTGTTTGATTGACCCTATTCCAAAATAAAAATAAAATAAATTAACCCTAAAAATCACTCGTTTTGGCGCTCTTTGCTTTGCATTAGCTAGAAATCTGCTTGAAATAAAATAACCCGGTATATGTAGCGTACAAGCGGCCCAATAATCACGGTACAAGAGATTTGCAACAAAATTTTCGCATATTCTTATTCCTGAATACGATCAATGAAGTGCTTGATGAAGCCCAGCCTTATCCTCAATCTGGTATGGAACTGAAACTACCTTACTCGCACTTCATGGTTAAACACGCATAAAAATCCTCGAAATAAAATGCACACCCCAAACAAATACTAGTACTATATGGTAAGAAATTCGAATTAAAAGAAACTTGATAAATATGATGAAAGATAACATATTTATGTAAAGCTTATGCATCGACATCACTGACACACATTTTTCATTTCCCCCTATCGCTGTCGCGAAAACAAAGCCTCGCGTAATACTCTCTTTCCAAAATCAATAAGCCAGTAACTACTACTATACGAATATGGTATTTCTCCTCTGCCCTATTTTTTGATTGGTATGTCCTTTATACCATTTTGGTGGGTACCTTTTAAGTTAACAAGTTGAAAAATGCATAGATCAATGTTTTTCGATACCTGTATAACGGTGATGTACATTTGTTTTCTCAGCCAAATTTTTAGGTTGCTAAAATTTGGTAACGGAAAGTATTCGTTTAAGTTATCGTGTTCTTGTGCTGCTGCCACAAAATGAAGTACAACTGCTGTCGAGTTTCTTTTTCTTGATTGCTTATTTGGTTTTTGACTTAGAAAACCGGGAAAAGCTGGAAAAGAAAAGGATAGATTTTGGTTTTTCAAAACTATAAAGATTGATCTCTTGCTGAAAGAGTTTGTTGCTGATTTTATGCGAAAGTGGTAGTTTTCAGCAGTGCAATGACTATCCAAACTTGTGCCTCTTGGGTGGGGAAAGCACGTTAAACAAGACAAAAATTGCTAATGTTAGCTCAATCTATTAAATCCTCAAGCATATAATAAAAGCAACATTTTTGTTAATTCGCAAGGAAACATCTACACATTCACATTGCCTGCACTGCAAAATTCATCCGAGAAAGGCAGTGCATAATTTCGTTCAAAGACTAAACAGTTATTTTTTCTTATTTCTCTTTGGGGAAGCAAATTAACCTTTTTATTTTTTAACAGCAAAAACACAAAAGCCGCCTTCTCATGACTATCTTTGTAATCTACGCTTTTTGTCTCTTTACTGAAATTGGCAGCTGGTCAAACAGAACGCCGGTTTTCTAATAACTTCGAATTGAATAAAAAACAAATAGTCCTTCAACTACAATAGAAAATATCTCAACGATCGAATTCAGACGTATTTCCTGCTGTCGCTTGAAGGCTTAAAAAGCCGAAGCTCAGGGATTTGATAAGAAGAACATCTAGATGTTTTTAGGTTTGTCTCTTACGTAAAAAAGCGTTAACCCCACAGGATCAAATAAAGATTTTAACGTAAGTTAGTTTGAGTAACTGAAAAAAGGAAAATGATCATTCTTGCTTAATTAAATGAGGAAAGATGTCAATCTGACAAATTAGGAACGTGTCAGTTTTACTTATCCTCTTAAAAGGCAGCAGACAAGAGACGTAGTAGGTGTTATTCGATCACACCTTTTTTTCCATCGCGGAAAATCTACCTATCGCTGCAATCACAACTAATTGATTTTCTTTGCAGATCCTATACCACAGGGAAGACAGAGTGAATTAAGACCTGAACAAAAAGTGATGACACTGTTTAACTCTTTTTTTTTCTATCTAGTAGCATAATGAAGTTCCTATGACAGACGCAAATGGAAAACGCTAATATTTCCAATAAAACGGCGCTAACGCCAAAATTCGACGATGGAGTCGAAATATGGTATTGGTTTCTACGAGGGATAATTGGGTTGGCGATTTTGGCGGGAAATGGTCCTGTGATCTACCTCATTGCCACGCGCCACCGGCTTCAAACGACGTCTAACTGGTTTATTCTGTCCCTTTCTGTCGCTGATCTTTTGGTCGGAGTATTTGTGATTCCCGTTTCTACATCTTGCTCTCTTTTAACGAATTGCAACGACGCGGTTATGATCCTCTTCTTTGACCTTTTGCTGTTCGTTTCCATTGGCAACATGTGTGCAATGACTGCTGACCGTTACCTCTCTGTTATAAAACCGCTGACCTATTTCCAAAACATGACCAGCTCGCGTGTTTTTCAGTGGATAGTCGCGGCTTGGATGATTCCAATTTCCTTTTCAGTCATTCCCTTCGCTTGGATTACCTCAAAATCAGCGGAGCGGAAAAAGAGAGCAGAGATGATCTATGGAACAACCCAAATCGTCAGCTTTAACATCCTTCCGTGTGTCGTAATGCTGCTCATCTATGGACACATTTTCGTAGTTTCTCGAAAACATTCTCGGCAAATCCGCGCCCTGTGTGTGGAACACAACGCAGGGAGATCGAGAGCTTTAAATTCACGACGAATGAAGCAAGAAAGATCGGCAACCAGGGTCTTTGGTCTGGTTTTGCTGATTTTTGTGTTGTGTTGGTTGATATCCGCATATCGACATTTCTGCAGTTATTTTAAACTGTCGTGTCCCATGTCTTCTGGAACAGTTCTATCATCCCGTTTGTTAATGGTAGCGAACTCAGCTATTAATCCGTTTATTTATGCATTATTAAAGGAGGACATCAAGAGAGAAGTGAAAAGAAAGCTTTGTAGAAGACGAGGGGAAGTTGAAGCATTTACTTCATCTTTACAAAGTGGAAGCCGCTAAAAATTTGCTTTCAATGCCAGCAGCTAATGGTACAGCTTCTGGCTAGTAACGGAAGCGGTCACCGTCTGAACGCTCCGGGGTGGTGAGCGGGGCGAGGAGATGGCTGATATGTTAGACTATACACACTGTACACTGGATAGTCCTAGTTATGCTAAAAAAATTAATTTAACCAAACAGGCTCCTTTAGAAATAGGGTCTTAAGGATGAACCAACCAATCAATCAATCAATCAATCAAAAATTATCAATCAACTTTATTTTTAAAAAGAAGGTAAACACATGACAGCAGAAGCTGATAAACCAGTGGCCCTCCAACTAAACTAACCTAAAAATTACAGATATATAGATACAATATTAGTGCTTAAAAATTATTAATATCAATATGAGAATCAGTAAAATAAGTTATCACATAAGGGAAGAAGCTGATAAGACAGTGGCCTTCGACTAAATTAACTAACCTAACAATACAAGATTTGTTTACAATAAGGTCTCAAAATTATCAATGTCAGCAAAAGAATCTCTAAAATAAGTTAACAAAGCATTCTTAAAAGAAGAAAGACTGTTTTTCCTTTTAATACTCGAGGCAGACTATTCCCGCACAACTTTACGCTACTGACGCTAAAAGACCTTCCCGCTTCGGTGATGTGTCAAAACTTTGGGCACACGAAGTTATGTGGGCCTTGTCTCTTCTCTCTACCGTGTAGTGATTTGTTCGTAATTAAAAGATCCTTGATATACATGATCGGGTGATTCGCCTTGCAATGCCTTTTAAAGTAGAACACACTTATTTATCTTAGCGTCATCATAGAACGGTAACCACTTAAGCTTCTTAAAATTTATACTGCCCTCGTCCTTGAATATACACCAAGAATTTATCGCGCAGTCCTTTTCTGTAGTCGTAAAATTCTCTTGAGGTCATTTTCAGAGCAAGAAGTCCACACCCGCCATGCATTACATTATTGTCGGTTTAATTAGGGCATTGTAGAACAATTCTCCTTCTCTAATTGGTTGGTAGGTACGCATCTTGTTTAAAAGGCCAATTTTGGGGCTAATTTTCTCACAAAGTTGATCAAAATGTTCTTTGAAGGTAAGTTCTACGTCAGTTGTAACCCCAAGCAGCTTCTGGTGCATGACTTGTTCAATGGCTACACCACCGGCCTGCAGATCCAGACCAGACCCATTTATTTGTGATTTTTGTCGTTTTCCAGTTGCCAGCATGATTTGGTCTTATTAGTATTAAGAACCATACGATTTCGTGAAGACCAATCACACAAACTGTCAATGTCCTATTGTAAATTAGTCTGAAGTGCCACTGTTCCGAGTGAGCAGTGTGCACTAAACGAAAAGGTCATGAAAAGGTGGTATCATCAGCGAAGATGTCTACTATAAAATTTGGTATCTCTGAGGGTAGGTCATTTATGAAAAACAAGAAATAAAAGAAAGCCAAGAATGCTTCTCTGAGCAACCACATGTGTAATATTAAGCAAGGAACACCTGTAGCCGTTTATACTAACCTTATTGCTTTCATAACTCTCAAATAATCGTAGATTACTATCATCAATATCATATGCTTTCAGTTTAGCTGTGAGAAGTTCGTGATTTATCAAGTCAAGGCTTTACTATAATCAACGCACACAAGACCAGATACGTAATTGTTGTCAAATTAATGCTGTTTCAGTTGAATGGTTTTTTTCAAAAACCAGCTGTAATCCGTACAGCAGGTTATTCCTGGAAAGGTGCGTGTTAAGTGAGTCATAGATATGCTTCTCAAAGATCTTGCGCGAATCTTTCGCCCTACCCCTCGTTATTTGTGGCGCTCTCTCCAGTTTATCTGTCATAGACGGATGCGATTTTGTCCATCAGAAATCTGAGTAGGAGATTAACTGTGATATGAAGAATCAAGGATACAATCCGACGCGCACTGGTCAAGAGTCGTGCGCTTTAGAATCAAGCAGTAAGCAGTCTCTTTTTTTTTTCTTAGTCTGTCGAGCAAAACGCGCGAGACATGCAAATGACAACGCTCGTGACTGAAGGGGCGAGACAGGAGAGTCACGAAAAAAGAGCCCTCTTTTTTCTTCTAGGGCTGCCGCCCTTGTTTCTTGCGTTTCTCGCCCGCGTGCACTCCCCTCATTACATTTGAAGTAACAGAGGGACTGCTTGCAGTCTAGGCAGGGTCGCCTAACTGCATGCTACAAAAACCTTTGAATTCAGAGGTTCACTTAACGGGTAAATACAATCGACTGGTTCATTCTTGCGGAATCTCTAATGTAGAGATGCCAAAGCTAGACGCCGTTGTCTTAATTAAAAACTGAATGTAGCCTTGAGGAAGACTATTTTTGATACTCAAAATATTAGCCACAAATAAATCAACGCTCTGCAGTTGAAGCCCTGTTTTTTAATCAGGCTTCTTTACGCAATTGCATAAATTGTGTTCACTGCAACGATCATTTCTTCATTTTCATTTCATTTCCGCAGTTCATATGTGATTTATTTCATATATTTAACGCTCTGCAGTATTGCCAACTTTGTATTCAGTTTTGTTCTAACTGTTACAATTTCAGAAAGAAAGGTAACCTGAATGCCGGAGTTTTTTCCCCTAATTCCCGATGGTATTTTGAGAACAGACCCTCCTAGCGAGATCTGATAAAACCTTCACTGAAGCACGACCACCACAATATTAATCCAAAGCATTTTATGTGCGACTAGACATAACATACCTGGTTTGAGTGATTTTTGTTCGTTCTTTAATCAACACTACTAGTGCTGCACTGCGCCAATCAGAAAATGCTTTCGTGGGCGAATGCAGTTCAGAATCATGATAGGGTTTGCTGAGTTGCTATCAAACCACTCAATTCAGAGACTTTAGAGAGAAGTCTGGCACTGGTTGCGATATACAAACGTGGGCTACCTGTGCTTCTGTACGTGAGCCAAGATGGCGGCAAGAATCGGCAATCTTCGCTTGCCCGTTGTGGTAATTCTGGGCTCTACGGGAACAGGAAAATCGAAATTGGCGATCGAAATTGGGAAAAGATTCGGTGGTGAAATCCTTAGCGCCGACTCCATGCAAGTTTACAAGGGTCTAGACATTTTAACAAACAAAGTTAGCACTGAAGAACTTTTGGAGTGTCCTCACCACTTGATCGATTTCGTGTCGGCGCCGAAGGAATTTTCAGTTGTAGAATTCAGAAACATGGCCATACCGTTGATTGATGACATCAGGAAGAGAGGGAAAATTCCTATAATGGCAGGAGGCACAAATTATTACATTGAATCTGTTTTGTGGGATATGTTGATTGACGATGCATGCAATCAACCTGATGGTACTTCTGGTAGCTCATCCAGCGATGAGGATGAATCAGAGGGGCCTAGAATAGCAATCAAAAGGCGAAAGGATATTCAACTTTTGGAAGGTGCATCTTCTGTTCGGGTGATTTGTGAGAAAGGAATGTGCGATGAAGGCAAGAAATCCAGCCAGTCTGATCAAATGTCTCGCCATGATGAGCCAATAGGACAGATTTGTAATTGTAAGAGCAAAAGTTATGAACCCAGTCTCTATGAAAGACTCAGGGAGGTTGATCCTGTTATGGCAGATCGTCTCCACCCAAGGGATTCCAGAAAAATTGCTCGCAGTCTTCAGGTTTATGAACAGCATGGCAAACAGCACAGTCAGCTTCTGAGAGAGCAGCAGCAGAAAAACGGTGGCAGTGCTCATGGTGGACCATTGAGATATGATGACATATGTGTGTTCTGGTTACAGTGTGAGAGAGATGTTTTAAATAAACGATTAGATGAAAGAGTCGATGAAATGCTGGAAAGAGGCTTGATTAATGAGCTGTTAAATTTCCACAGGGAATATAACTCTGTTTGTGGGAAAAAAGAAACCACAGTGAAATACACGGAAGGCATTTTTCAGTCAATTGGCCTTAGAGATTTCCATGAGTTTCTTGTCAAGCAGGAGGGAAAGATGTTTGATGAATCTAAAGCCTCTGACAGAGATAAAGCTCTTTTATCTCTATGTGTTGAAAGTATGAAATCTACTACCCGCAGATATGCTAAAAAGCAAATGACATGGGTGAAGAACCGATTTTTGGCACGCCCACAGTCCTCTGCTCCTGATGTGTATGGTCTTGATGTCACTGATCTTGAAACCTGGGAGGGCAATGTTCTTAAAAATGCATTAGATGTTTTGGATAAGTTAACGAAAGGGGAAAAACCTTTATATGAACCTCTTTCGAGGGTGATTGTCACAGATGACAGGCATGCAAGGCACGTATGTGAGATCTGTGATAACCGTGTTATTCTTGGGGAAGAGAACTGGAGCAGACATGTGAGATCAAAGAAACATAAGTGGCATTTGAAAAGAGAGCTGAGAAACAGAAAATCAAATCTTGATGTAGCTTAGATTTAAAATAAGGTGTGTTGAGAGTATAAAGTGACCGCAGTTTGTTTAATGGGCCTTTTGCTGCTAGACAGTCATGGGTACAAAAACACCTTGCTAGGACGCTAACAATGCAATGGGGCAAGAAAAACCAAGGAGTTGCTTATAATTAAAAATGGTAATTCGTTTCTTTTGGAGGTCCCACTGCACCATCAGGGTGTTTGTGTTCCATATGAATTTTAAGCTACAAGGAACCATTGGTCTGGACCTTGCTATGATGCTGCATTTGCCTCGTTGGGCACATAATGCACCTGTTATGCAGGCTACTCTCTTTAAACTTAGCTAGCTCTTTATCAGAACCACTTAGGAAAATTCACAGAACATTCATTGGTGCCTTTTAAGTATTATATACAGTATTTGCACTCAAATGCACCATTTTTGCAAAGAAAACCCAAGGAGCTTTTCTTCCAATTCACGTATTCTTTTCACTCAAATATGCACATAAGACTCATTGCTTATCTTAAACTTTGGTAGCCATGTACTATTATTTTAATAGATGTAACAAGGAGAAAATTTTTAGAACTAAGTGTTTATCTGTGTTATGTTCTGAAATAGTAAAAAATTAACATTCCTTTTGTTAATAAATAAACAAAAAAATGATAATATTGATAATAATAAGAAACAAAACAAACATAAAAAAAGAAATAAGCAACAATTTCTGGACAAGGCTGAGCAAAATATCGTGATTTGTCAGTGGCGAGTAGATGATCTGCGTGACACTGACAAATCATGGCACTGTGCAATAACCCAGCTCAATAATAATTGTTTAATCGCTTGGTCACCGAGTTTGTTTTTTTATCGATATCTTCAGGAAGCAAAGCGACCTGCCATTTTCACGCAAAAAGGAGAAAAGCGTGGTTTCATTTACAAATGAATAGAATATTATTTTTAGCTGTTGCGGTTCAATTTATCCTTGGTTTAATTTTTATTTTTTATTGTTTTATGGTATGTTAATGTATGATAAATATGAAATTAAAACAAAAGAAGATAAAAAATAAACCAAGCATGAAATTGAACCATGACATAGCCAAACACAGTTGGATGACATTGCACATGAGCAGACCATTATTTGGAGGCAGTTATTTGTAGGTCATATGGTGGGCTCTCGGCCAATGAGAGGAAGAAAAATTTGCATTGGATGATAAATATTATTATGTACCACTAGTCATTGTCAGGAATGGCCATATCTATGCCATTTCTCCCGGATTATCCGGGAGTCTTCCAGATATGGCACCCATCTCCCACTTTATTGAACATGTAACCATATCTCCCAGATAAAATTGGCTTTTGGGTTTTTGTGTTCTTTAACTTGGAATATGGCCCATTTTTCTCAGAATTCAATTTTTTTTATTATTCTTGGTAGGTTTCTGGGGCAGTTTTGCAGAAATTTCATCACTCACAAAGATTATTTGTCATTACCAGATTATATAGCCTGTGTTGCAGACATAATCTAATCCTGATTTCTAACATTGATGTCCTTGCTCTGGGCCCCAATGGACTCAATGAATTACCGGAAATACATTTTTAGTTTCCTGTCAACCTGATTGGCAAATTATTGACAACATTTTCAACAGGCCAATCATGACACAGACTCAAATTCTGGTACACAGGTGGTGGCCCAGAACAAGGACTTAACACACATGGATGAAATTAACTAGAAGTTTAGTTCCATCAGTGGAGCAGGCTGCAGATTACAATGATAAAAGCGACTTTCGATAGCATGTGGCTCATGTAAAACTTCATATAATGTCTTAACCCTTTGCGTCGCATGAGTGACCAACATAAATTTTGTGTGCGTGTGTTGGGGGGCTCCCATCAGTATTCTAATAAAGTGGGCATTAAAGCAAAAGAGAGGGTCTCCAGTTTTTAGATCTCCAGAGGTATGTTGGCATATGCATATAAGAATAATGTAATAGAAGATTTAAGTCTTAAGACAGAGCTGAATAGCACCCTTTCTTCTTCTTCAAAGTCCAAATATCCCAACATCCCCTACCATACCATTCCTTGCTTCCCTCTCTGTTTTTAGTCCTACATTTTCATACTTAACATCTATGGTATGAAAGAAACTCTGAAAAAATCTGCAGCGTGGTTACGCTGGGTACCAGATGTTTTCTCTCGCGTGCGACTTGGGGCTTAGCACATGAAAATAGCCTCTGCACAGGGCCAACTCTCGTTTTGCGCCTTCTCGGCTTGGTCAGCGGCATCGTTATTGTGATGAAATTTAAAATGGCGGCGGCAGCAGTGAAATTTGTTTGGTTAGAAACAATTCGTAACGCGAGAAAAACAAGCCTTGTTCAAGACGGTAAGAAGTGAATAGTTCATTTTTATGTTCACATAGTTAAACAGATGCTTTGCTTGGTATAAACCTTTTCTAAGCTGGCAGAACTACAATAGTTTATAAGACGAAGGAAAAAGTTATCCCTCCCTCCCGGTGTTTTGAATATTCAGCTGCTTTATTTGCATCGTAGTTTTCAGGCGTAGCAGTATTCACGAATTCAGTTGAGTGCGATGTTTAGTAGCGTCTTGTTGAATGTATGCAATGGAACAATAATAAAAAAGTAGTGTTGCTGTTTTCTTGATCAAGAATTGAGTTGGCACTGTACATGTAGCTATTTTTATCTCTTTTTATACGTACTAGGCCGTCGGAAAGTACATTACACTTTCCCTGATGAAGCAGAGATGATTGAAGAGTATGATGTATCCTCTGGAGAACTTTTAGGTCAGAAAATTAGAAATAAACTTGTGCTGTTAGCTTTTACAGGTCTTTTGGTATTGAATTACAGTGCAATGACTTTTCTCAACATCTGCACCTACATCAATAAATTGCAAAATCGTTAAGGGGACATGTGGCACGAATGAATAAATTAATAAACAATCAATCAAAACTCACAGTTAAAAGACAGTGGGTTTACATTCAGCCAGATTAAGTCAAAAAGCACTTGTTGCAAGCTTAAAATTGTCAGTTGAATCAATGTCTAAAATAATTATTAGGTGGTAGAGAGTTCCAGTCATTAATTTTTCTTAGCCAGAAACTTAATTTGTAAGCTCACGTGAAGTTTGGACAGGGATGAATTTAAGCGGATGAAAATTTCGAGTTGTCAAGCTGGACTTGTTTTGAACTTGGGTTAGAATGGTGATTGCACTTCTGTTATGCACAGGCAGCCCAAGCTCACTTTAGTATACAACAGGTGATTATAAACAAGTATGAGGTGTTGTGTTACAAAGTTGTTCAACGGAAGGATTGTATGGGCTTGCAAGAATATGTGAGATGTTGTGTTGCGATGGTGGGTTCAAAGAATATTATTGTAAAGGTTTGCATGGGATTGCGACTGATTTAATTTTAAAAGGAACTGAACTTAATTTTTAAAGTAACTGAACTCGAACTCATTCCCAGTGCTAAGCTGCTAGGTCTCGAAATTGACTCTGAACTGTCATTTACTTTCCATGTAGAGAAACTTTGTAAAAAGCTGTCTCTGCGAATTGGCGTGTTAAAAAAGATAAGATCTTGCCTGCCCACGAAACAAAGGCTATTATATTATAATACTATGATAAGATCTGTATTGCATTATGTCAGTTCAATCTGGACTAGTTGTGATAAGGAGAATTTAAGCCGTGTTTTTAAGCTACAAAAGAGAGCAGCAAGGGTAATTTCCGACCAGGCTTATAACCAGGCGTCTAGTGTTAAGCTTTTTAATAGTCTGCAGTCTGTGGCTTCCTTTTTATGAAGAAGTGAAAATAGCTAAATGTTGTGTGGCATATAAACGCAGCTGTCCAGCTTTCTAAACCAAAAGTTGTCATTGATCGTCATTGTAAACCACCGTTGTCATTGATTTGAATCGGTACTCACAATATCACATAATTTGCATAAACAGAAAGGTTACCAAGGTTACAAATCCAATCTCAGATTTCACTTTCCTTTCAGTCGCAAAATTGGGCAAATCTAGAATCAAAAATCCATTTTTTGATTTGGCGAAAGCAATGGCTTGTCTTCAGGGGAGTTGAGTAACAGTTCCAAGTTTTTTTTATTGTTCTGTGCAAAATGAATCTTTTATCCCCTTTTCCCTTACAAAAGCCTTTAGGTAACTGACTGCAGAAAGCAATGCAATCTCCTTTAACATCCATGGATACTTATGTGTAGTGCTGTCTGTCTTATACATCTATATATTTGTATATTATTTGGGAGTAAGCGATGGCACTGGCGAGAACATTCGCCTCCCACTAATGTGACCCTGGTTCAAATCTGGGCATCGACACCATCACCATGTGGGTTGCTCTTGTTGATGGTTCTCTTCTTTTCTCCAAGAGGGTTTTCTCTGGGTTCTGTGGTTTTCCCCTCTCCTCAAAAACCAACATTTCCTTATTTCCAATTCAACCACGAAAACTGCTTTGTGCATGTGCTACTTGTACATGTACCTCTACTTGTTCTTCTTATCATTGATTATTATATAGAGAGGTATTTAAATACATGTACTGAAGGAATATGGTGGCCCACAGGGGACATGCTGCAAAGAAAAACGTCACTGCAAATTAAATAAAGTTGCTGCAACCACAAAAACCACATTGGGAGTCCGTGCAGGTCTGTCTTTGACTTCCGTTTAACTATACTGAGTCCTCCTCGTCCCATCAGTGCGTTCGCATACTTTCCTGTCACTTAATTCGCAGCAACTGCTTTTATTGCAGGAACTATTTTTTTTATTTACTGCAATAATGTTATGTTTGCAGCAGCGATTTTTATTTAAATTACAACAATTATTTTTTTATTTGCAGCATGTCCCCTGTGGGCCACCGCAAAAGGAGTACCTCTTCAGTACAATTTATGAATGATGTACATGTACATTATTGAATAACAATGTGTGTCATCTATTTTTGTTTTTCTTTGTTTCAGTAAGAAAATGGAAAAGTAAATCTGGACTTGGAAAGGAGGGGAAATGGGAATTTGAGATAGGTGAAGACATGAGACCAGTCAACCTTGATTTGGAGAATATTACAGAGAGCAGAGGAAATGTGAGTGGGAGCTTGACCCAACCTGAAGGCTGTCGGTCATGGATGCATTTTTGTGTCAGATATATACCCAATTTTTTTACTGTCGGAGGATTGAAACTTGTTCATTTGTATAGTAGTCTATCCACCCAAGAAATTTCGGTAGCCACCTGACCATACATTGGCACCACAGGGAAACCAATGTAAAATGTCACTTTTTCTCGCTAGTCTGAGAGCCTGGACCTGATATTGCATATCCATGTTGTGGTCAATTGAGCTGTCAAAAAAGGTTATCTGCTGACCAGTATCACATGATAATGTCATTCTCCCATGACAAGTTACCAGTTTCTAACTGATCGCACGCTCATCTCCAAGTGGATTTCTTTGCAATGGTTACAATTTTATTGTTTGAAGTCAATTATAAATTAATTAATGGGAGATTTGCCCCAAGCCTTTGCTAAATCTATAAAGTTATATTAGATAAATGCCATCATTTAAAGATGGTGGCATGGCAGCTCAGTTGTCTTGGCTGCGCATGATGAGAAAAGATTAAAATATACTGGCAAACAGTGTACACTAGCAGTGTGCAAAGAAAGTGGTGTCCGATAGCCCGGGGCTAGTGGATTTTGCTATCGGGCTAGTGAATTCTGTTTTTAACTTGCCCGACGGGCAAGTGATTTTTCTTGAGGAATTTGAGTAAAAGAAGAACTCTAAGATCAATTCTGCTCTTCAAAAAGCTTTTGGGGCTAGTTGAAATGACGTCTGGGCTAGTAAATGTTAGCTTCAGCTTGCCCGAATGGCAAGCTGTAAAAATGATTTTCTTTGCACCCTGACTAGTCATGATGATGTGGAAAGGTGATAATTTGCTGAGGTGATAATTAATTGCTCTCTTTTGTAACTTCTCAGCCAATCTTTACAAGAAAGGACAGCACTAAAGCATTCCAATGGAGAATAAGAAATCTTCCATATCCACTGAATGTGTACAGTGTGACAGTAAATGAAGATGAGAACTCCATCACTGTCAGAACAAGCAATAAAAAGTAGGTAAAGTAGTCATGCAGAGCTAAATGATATTAAAATGTTTGTAATGTGCTGGTACAATGTAACTAATTGAAAATTATATTTTAAATCCCGTTACATAACCACTTAACCCTTTAAGCCCTAAGAGTGATCAGTATCAAATTTCTCCTTGTAATGTCAATGCTTTGTAAAACAGAGTGGTCATGAGAATTACAGACATGACACACAAGATGAATTTTCTTGATATTTTATCAACTTCTCCCCACTACTTCTGTAGGAAATGAATAGAGGCAACAAATGAGAATTCAAACTTTGATCTTAGGGTTTAAAGGGTTAAAAGAAGGTAGGCTGCAAGAGCCAAACAAAAGCTGAAAAAGTTGTCTTCCGTCTAATATACATTAAAGAAGCTGAAGCCCGTTTCAAACATAGAACTTGTGCTGAATGATGCTAATGAGTAAGAAAAATACTAGCCTGCCACGCAGGCTAGAGGAATACATGTACATTCTGCAACTCTTCCTTATTAGCGTTAAATTTGGCTAATGTACACTGTACATGTAATGTTCAACATTTGAATTGTGCATTAGGTCAATGTTGAACTTCAAACTTCACATAAGACGAACCAGATACTAAAAAGTAAAATATTGGATTTTTTTGTCATTAGCTGGAGAAGTGAGCTATAAAGAGCACCCTCTTTGTTGTATATGTTGCAGTTAATTTTTTATTTCAGGTAATTTTTGTTTTAATTTCCTTTGTTTCAAATTCATTAGCATATATTACCATACCTAAAAACTATGGAAAAACAAAAATACACTGAAATAAAAAATTACCTGCAATGTAATACATGTGCTATTTTCTGGCTCTATAGAAAGCAACAATGGTACAGCTTTATGTCCCAAAAATACATTTTGTATTTCTCTCAATCTTTTCTATTTAATTCAAGTAATCCTGAGCCTTCTAGGAATGAAATAAATTCCTTTTTCTAAAAGGAAAACTGTTTGTCTTTTATTTGCAGATATTTTAAAAGATTTAGCATTCCAGATATGGATAGAGCAAAGCTGAAGTTAGAGCAGAGTGCAATTTCTGCAGCTCATGCAAATAACACTCTTATCATAACGGTAAGTCTGCTTAAAGCATTTTGATAAATGAATAATCCTCAACGTACAGTTTCTTTCGACCATAAAGCTTTTACTTGTACACAGAATTATGCTCATGTCCACAAACCAAACTGTACAATTTATATCACCAGGCAAATTATAATACCTCATTATAAAATAGAATTAAACCCGTGTCAGCAATAAATAGGCATGGGGAATGGTGCCTGACAAAGATGGAGCCAATAAACAAACCCAGCCCCATGAGTAAGGTATATTTATATTAAAAACTTGAGCTCTCTAGATGAGCCCTTTAGGTTCTTAGAGCAAATGTTGTAATAAATATTGTTTATAAAAAAATTAAAAAATAATTTGAATAATCTTCTGAATACACTTGTTATACAACAAAGTCATTTCAACCTTCCTAAATAAGGTTGTGCAGTTGATGTGTAATGAGTTAAAATAAATCAAAGTACAGTAGACCCTCTCTTAATGGACACCTCTATAAGACGAACACCTCCCTAAAACGGACACCTAGAGTTGGTCCCTGCCTTTCTTTACTCCCTTTATTTGACTCTCTATAAGACGGACATCTCTCTAAGACAGACACTTACTGCCAGTCCCAAAGGTGTCTGTCTTAGAGGGAGTTGATTTTATGCGCTTATTAAGTCCTTCAAGCTTTTCACTGTTGTGTCTGCCACAAAAATGCCATACTGAAGTATAATAATCTTTACTAAACAACTAGATTGGTTGAGGATTTAAAACGGATTTGATCTCCAGAACAGAACTGCACAACATGGCCGAAACTCACACATTAATAGCTATGCACGCATGCCTAGGGAAATACGGCTGATCATTACAACTTTTCCCTAAAAAGAAAAATAAACAAAGATACAAACAACACAAAGAAAAAGAGTTTCTAAAGAGAACAATCAAGCATCCCACAAATGCTATGTGAGAAAACTGAAACAGTTAATGTTCACAAATTCTTGTCCTCGAATCATAATGGTCGTCCGTGAGAGGTGAGAACGGTTGATATTTAATGTTCACAAAATCAAATGTTAAACATAGTCCTTAAATCGTAATGGCCTCCGTATGACCCTTCCACTCCTATTTTTGTATTGTTCTGACATCTCCATAGAGCCATCGCCTGAATGATTTCTCTCTTGCTCTTGGGATGCTGAGACAGGTTCCACTACTGGGTTTGCTTAACTGACTTGTTCCTTGCAAGGTGAACTTCCATTTACACTCCCTGATGGAGGTTCATCAAAATATTAGTCGTCTTGTTGATGTAGGACCACAGAAGGGCAGTTTCATCAAAATCTTAATTCCTATTTCTGTGGCATTCTCCACCATCATCTGTTTGCACTTGTAAGACCTAGGTGTTTCTGCATGTTTCACTACCACCCCTGGTTCCCAGCGCTTTCCCATGCCTACCCTGATCTGCTCGCCTTTTTTCTAAAACTTGTAGCTGTTTGGTGTGCTGATCAAAATAGTATTTTTGCTTCTCCTGGTTCAGCCTTAACTTCTGCTTTACTTTGTTTGGATCCAGGACTGTGGGTTGCAGTTGAGCTTCAGTCGTGGCAATAATTGATCTGAGTCGTCTACTCATGAGAACTTGGGCTGGTGAACCGAACTCATCAATAGGTGTGTTCCTGTATTCTAATAATCCCAGATATGGATCACGGTTGTCTTTCTTTTCTTTGGTTAGGAGATTTTTTACCCTTTGAACTGTTTTTTCAACGAGCTCATTTGGTTGTGGGTAGAGTGTACTGGTGGTAGTGTGTTTGAATTCCCAATGTTTTGTGAATGACTCAAATTCCTTGGATGAGTACTGAGGACCATTGTCGCTGATTACCTCACATGGTATTCCGTGATACGCAAAAGCAGATTTGCTGTGGGCGGAGACCGTGTTACTTTTGGTGTCTGGCACTTTGGCTACTTCAGAAAATCACAAGTGCTAATCTACAGTAATGAGGTATTCTGATTTATCCCAGGTGAACAGGTCTGTTGGCTACCTTTTCCCAAGGCTTGCTTGGTAATTGGGAGGGAGTCATTGGCTCCTTTGCATTTTGCTTCTGGTGTTGTTGGCATATACTGTGCACCTTGTAATCTTTTCCTGAATTTCAGAACCCATCTTAAGCCAGTATAACACTTCTCATGCTCGTTGCTTGGATTTCTCTATGACCATGTGGCCTTGATGAATTCTTTCAAACATTTCCTTTCGCATTGAGGTGGGGATAAAAAATCTTCCACCTCTTAGAATGACACTGTTCAGTTCGGTCAGTTCATCTCTTACGTCCCAAAACGTGCAGGTACTCTTCCAGAGACAGGCCTTTGTTTCTGGCCATCCATGTTTGATAATTTCAGTGAGGTCTTTCAGTGACTCGTCTTTGGTTATTTCCTTACGTATTTCTTCAAGTTTGGGTTTGCACAGGCGGCCCAGACGTAGTATGTGTTACTGAATGAATATATTAATATCCACATGGACAAATTAATGCGATGAGTCGTCGAAACTCCCATGGACTAAAATAGTCTAAAAGTCAAAACATAACAAAACAAAGCTAAGATACCTTCAACTGAACGTATCCTTGTCTTTCCTGGCCGGTTTAAGTGGCATTTTGTTGAGTTTTGAAATTGTAGGTACTATCCACTAAAGAAGAATTAAAGGCTGGCTACAAAACAAACAGACCATCTCCACGCGCCTTCACACGAAGCGCTATAAATTCGAGAATAATCGACGAATCCGCTCCAAATAACCATCGGCTAATCTGCAGTTAACGTGTGCTCCTGCTTCTGGCACGCTTGCTCCACAAAATCCATCGCAACTGCACAATAATTGCTCGCTCATCAACAACCACTGTTGACCTTTACGCTTCGATATGACCGCAAACGACCAGGTTTAATACGCGACGTGAATATTCAAGCTTAGCGACCGCGTTCGCGCAACAATGCAGCACTTGCTATGGGAGGGATGGTACTACTGCTTCTAGGTCAATCGACTGACCGAAGGTTAGCTGCGTTAGTTTTGACCAGAAAACAGAAGGCGATTGATGGACCGTCCGTAAGTTTTCAACAGGGCAGCCCTGGTTTTCAAGTTCGAATTCTTCTAACGTTCGCTGTCACATTGTTCGTCCAGCCGCTTGCATAGGTTCTTGACTCTACCAGACTTATTTGCTTAGATTAACAACGTCTCACTCCATAATATGTTGTCCAAACTGGTGAAGGAGGACGAGAATTTTCCGCCCAGGAAAAAGGCAAAATCTGGCCCCGGCTATGCAGCTGAATAGAAGATACAGCTGAAGATATCGTAAAGTAAAATTTATGTGCGCGATATCTTTTTTTATTATTATTATTATTATTCTCAAAACTCAGGGGCACCCAACGATGATTTCCCCCTAAAGGCATTGAAAACACATTTAAGGCTGTCCAGAGTACTTTTGATCGAAAAATGCATTCTAAACAGCGCTTACATAAATTTAGTCAGGAGGGCTAAAAGCGAAGCTAATGATTTATAGTTTGCTCATACTAAATATAAAATATATCGTGTAATGCTAAGCGGAGAAGGCAACGAGACAGGGCCACCCAACGACTGTTTCCTCAAATACTTTCAATTGAAAACACTTCTGTAGCTATTCATAAAGTACTTTTAGCTCTATAGAAATGCATTCTAAGTGGCGCTATAAAATTTGCATCTCAGTGTTCGGCCATTCTAGAGGAACTTGAGTCTTTTCGAAATTACGAGGAATTCAGAATTATTTTTCCGAAAATTTTAGATGCAATTTAACGTATTACGAAGGAGATAATTTTTCAGATACCTTCTTTCATCACATTTTTGAATCCGAAAATTTTAGGATTCCATTTTACTCTCTACGAAAAATAGCCTAACCCGTTGAGTGAAATGTGAAAAATTAAAAGTTGGATGCCCTTGACCAGAACTGTGAAAAACAACAATAGGTCTAATTACAGCACACTTTCTTGTACATTTCCTTGCCGTTGATTTGCATGACTGCGACGTGAAACGTTCAGAAAACTTCCTGGTTTTCACTTTTTATGGAGAAAATGTGGTATATGTTCTTGTTCACTTTTTCCACTGCCGCTCATTTTTTTTAGCTCCGCTATAAGATTCGTATCTGTTCGGTGCTCCTTGGGCAAATTGGATCTTTTTAAAAATTACATGGGCTTCAATATTATTTTCCCGATTGATTGACCTGGAAGCAATAGTACCATCCCTCCCATAGCAAGTGCTGCATTTTTGCGCGAAGGCGGTCGCTAAGCTTGAATATTCACGTCGCGTCACGTCGCGTATTAAACCTGGTCGTTTGCGGTCATATCGAAGCGTAAAGGTCAACAGTGGTTGTTGATGAGCGAGCAATTATTGTGCAGTTGCGATGGGTTTTGTGGAGCAAGCGAGCCAGAAGCAGGAGCACACGTTAACTGCAGATTAGCCGATGGTTATTTGGAGCGGATTCGTCGATTATTCTCGAATTTATAGCGCTTCGTGTGAAGGCGCGTGGAGATGGTCTGTTTGTTTTGTAGCCAGCCTTTAATTCTTCTTTAGTGGATAGTACCTACAATTTCAAAACTCAACAAAATGCCACTTAAACCGGCCAGGAAAGACAAGGATACGTTCAGTTGAAGGTATCTTAGCTTTGTTTTGTTATGTTTTGACTTTTAGACTATTTTAGTCCATGGGAGTTTCGACGACTCATCGCATTAATTTGTCCATGTGGATATTAATATATTCATTCAGTGACACATACTACGTCTGGGCCGCCTGTGGGGTTTGGAGACTGGCAGGCTTGACTGTATCAGATGAACGTGCAGTGCAATTTCCTGTTCCATGTTTTTAATATCTGTTGTCTCAGGACAGCATGGTGCGCAGGACAGCATCTCTGGGAGTACTAACTCTCTTCCAGGCTTATATTCTAGTCTGTAGTCGTACTTTTGCATTCTCCTCAGAATTTTTTGTAGTCTGGGCTGTGCTGTCGCTACGGGTATCTTCACAATTATTTCTAGGGGTTTGTGATCTGATTCCACGTGCACTTTCTTTCCGTACGTTTATTCGTTGAATCGCTCAAGGCTGAACTGAGCTGCCAAGACTTCCTTTTCTACTTGAGCGTATCTTGATTTGACCTCGGTTAACGATCTTGATGCGTAAGCCGTGGGACAATTGTCTTGCAGTATGACTCCGCCAAGACCTGTAGGTGGGGCATCGTAGCTGACGGTTACTGGTTTTTGTACATTGAAAAACCTCAGAACGGGACCTCTATTCTCAGTTAAGACAGTCTTAATTTCTTGAAAGGCTTTGTCTTGCTCATGTGACCACTGAAATTCAATATCCTTTCGCAGAAGCACCCTAATGGGTTCATTGAGAGATGCCAGATTGGGAATGAATTTTCCGAGGTAGTTGACTGTACCGAGTAATCTTTCAACTCCTTTCTTGTCAGTTGGTGCTGGCATGTCCTTAATGGCACGAACTTTTCATCATCGGGCTTGGTCGCCTCTTGTGTAAGTTTGTGACCAGTATAGGTCACCTCCTTGACTTTGAAGACACACTTTTTCTCGTTTAGTTTCAAGTTAATCTTCTTGCATCGATTCAGGACTTTCTTTTAACGGCAATCATGTTTCATTTCCGTGCCAGAGTGTACAACAATGTCAGTTTCAACACCTTCCAGGTCACCAAAGTGTTGACTCATTCGCTTCTGAAAAACTTCTTGAAAAGATTGAATGCCAAATGTGGTAACTTGTTAGCAAAACCTTCCAAATGGCGTACTGGACGTGGAAAGAAGTTGACTCCTTTCATCTAGTGGTATCTGCCAATTACCTCGATTTGCATCAAACTTGGTAAATCATTTTGCGTTTGCCATGCAGGTTGTGATATCTTCAGTGGAGGGTAGCTGAAAATGTTCCCTTTTTATGGCCTTGTACAGGTGTCTTGAATCCAAACAAATGCGCAAACTACCATCAGGCTTTTCAACAAAGGCAGTTGAATTAACCCAGTCAGTGGGTTCTTCGACTTTGCGTATTACTCCTCGCTTCTTCATGTCATCCAACTCTGCTTTCACTCTCTCTTGAAGTGCGGCTGGTATTTTTCTAGGAGGATTGATAACTGTTGAAACGGTTGGATGTATTTCAATGTGGTAAGGTTTCTCTAAACGTCCCAGTCCATGTGCATATTTCTGCTAGAACTCTTTCAATTCTTGAGATGTCCTTGTAGTTCGGCTGCTATCATCGGTGGTGGTTTCTTCGCTCTCTGTATTTGCTGTCATGACAACTTTAATTAGGCCCAAGTTTTGTGAGGAGCGAAGTCCCAGTAATCCCGGCTGAGTTGTTTCCACTACATGGAATGTTGGCTCTTGTTCAACATCTGACTTGGATTTCACGGGTAATTTTATGATTCCTAGAACCTTGAGATTATTTTCTGAATAACTAACCAGTTTTTAGTTGCACAGATTCTTTTGGGGGTTATCCCGTTTAATTCTTCTTGAGTTTCTTAAATGGCATTATGTTCACTTACGATCCAGTGTCCACTTTAAGTCGCATGAGATGTCCCTGTAATGGTAAAGTCACGTAGCACTCGTCATTCTGAATCTGAACTTCTGTAATGACTGCTCCTACAAACAGTGTAGACTCACAGTCATTCTCCTCTTCTTCTTCTACCATTAGCCCTTGGACGTTCTTTTGCGACCAGCACGTGCTCTGGAAATGATGCTGTTTCTTGAAATTATGACATGTCTTGCCATATGCTGGGCATTCTCTTACACCATGTCTTGTGCCACAATTTCTCCAATCAAATATCTTGCTTGAGCTGGATCTATCTTCATTGGCTGAGGATGTCCTTCTGAATGGTGGTTTTTTCTTCGCCACTCCAATTCCATGTACGGCTGAGTCGTTTTCCCTGTGGCTTAGTTGTATCTCTGTTGCCTCTGCAGATCGAACCATATCTTTAGCCTTTTCCAGGGTTAGGTCTGAAATCCTGAACAATCCTATCCCTCTCTTGTCTTAGTGTCACTGATGCCAAGTACAATTCTATCTTTGATAAGAGAGTTCTTCAATGTACTGAATTCACATGATTCGCTCAGCTTCCTTAACACAGTAACATATTGATCAATGGTTTCGCCACTTTTCTAGGCTCTTGAAAAGAACTTGTATCTCTAGTAACTGACGTTTTTCCTCGGTTCACAGATTTCCTCAAGTTTCTTTATTATTTTATCAATCTTTTTGTCATCACCTTCTGCATCCCACGGCAGAGTGTTAAAAACATCAACAGCATCGTTGGCAATGACTGTTAGCAGCGTAGCTACTCTGGTTGCACTTTCCTTGGTGGTTGTGCCAGTTGCAATTTTGTGATTTGTGTACTTTTGTTTGAACTTCTTCCAGTTTTCTGAGACATTTCCACCTCGCAGATCGAGTGGTTTCGGGGAAGGGAGGCCTAAATGGAACGCCATTTCTTGTGTAGTCGCGAGATCGTCTTGATCTGTATTTCCGACATTTCCATTAGTTGTATTTCTGTTATTTAATTGAGGTCAGGTGTACCTCCGGAGTGTTTCCTCTTTCTTCAGATATGTTTGCTTCTTCTATCTGGCCGAGATTTCCTGCACCAGTTACAGTTTCCTGGGACATGTACTTTTCCAAATCGCCGATGCCAATAGCCGGATTTTGCGTTCTGTCTTCGTTCCACAACTTCACTCTACCGTCGCAGAATTTACTTCTCGTGCGTCACTCCTGACACCATGTAATAATCTTTACTAAACAACTAGGATGGTTGAGGATTCAAAACAGAATTAATCTCCAGAACAGAACTACACAACATGGCCGAAACTCACTCATTAATAACTTTGTGCGCATGCCTAGGAAAATACCGCTGATCATTACTTGAAGAACAATAATAAACTAAAGTGCGGCAGAATTTATGCCTTGTATAGCTTTAAGCAATGTATCCTTAGAGATGATGTTGCGTAACCGTTAACATAAACAGTACATTAAATTGATTAGTAATTTTTCTTGCCAACAGTATTCTATCAAAGTTAGTCTAACACTGTTCTATATTCATTCCGAACATACAGTGTGTACTCTCATTTCATTGGAAAAGAAAACTGGTGGTCAGTATGACCAGTAACTAACGTCTAGTGTTTCTTTGCGTCCACGATCATGCCATTTTGGCTGTACCTTGGGTTTGCCTTTTCCACGTCATTACTAATGTACCTGTCTAGAACAAGTGGGTCCACATCAGAGTGGTAGTAGATCTGGTGATCATGTCGGCGTAAGCGTTCAAAATAGTTTGCTTAACGTGGAAAAATAAATCGTTTATATGAGTAAAAAGGTCTCAAGTGACTTTAAGCGTCTTCTTTTGCCGGTCCTGGGTTACTACTGATGTCCCTTGAAAGCTTGAGAAGTTCAAAGAATTGAGTTATAGCTGTGGAATTGCGACAGTAAACAATTCTCCGCCCGAAGAACGCTTTTGCTCTTGGTGTTTTATTTGAATGCAATTCCATTTTCGATGGATACACACAATGACATAGTATATACCATTTCAGTTCGGAAATAGTTAAAACAGATTCCCAGTGATTTGTGTTAGCTAAAATTGGCTCCTAGAGCCTAAACTGCCGAGAAAATATGCGAGTATGTAGTAGAGCGCCAAGAACGCGCGTCCGTCCATGTCGACGCGCTTTGCCTCGAAACTAGGCACGGTCATACGTCACAGTCTAAACTAAAAACCTTACCACATACTTTCCATGCCAAGAGGGATGGGTGGCCCGGGGTAAAAACAGCGAGAACTGCCCAGAAGCGCGTAAAAGAACGCAGAATGACTTTACATTTGAACCCGAGCTGTAAAATTCAACGCTCCTGCACAAACCCCCGGCCATCTCCTTTCTTTTTACCACGTTAAATGCCATGGGCGGTTTCTTTCTTCTTTTTGCCGTATTTGTCGTAGTCCAATTTTATTCATGATTGGTTCAAATTTTATATTCCTTTGTTTTGGGGTATGGTAATTTATGATAATGGTTTCAATCTAAGGAAAATAAATTCTGAACCAACGATAAAGTTGAACCACAACATATTCATGGATATTCCCCATGGTAAGTTTATCTCGCGAAAGGGCGGTCACACGCACCAAACCGATTTCGCACGGTAAAAAAGTCATTTTCCACGTTGAAAGTGTCTCGTGTAACCGCACCTGTTGTATCGTGTTTAACTTAGCCTAAATTACTTTTAGCCCCATGAAAAATACTACCCAGCCAAGAAAGAAGTCACGAACTTTGTACACACTGATTTATGCAATGGTCGTATTTTTTTCTTAGTAATGTTACTTGTGCTGTGATATAGCGGTTTACAGGCATACAGGGGATAGGCATCTTTGTCGTTCCTCCCCCTCGGTTCCGAGATCATTTCGTAGTCATAAACAAAGGTGCTCTACAATTCTGAGTACAGAGTGGCTTATAATCCCAATTACGTTTTTGTTGAATTTGATGCAGCACACTGTGGTAAAAAAACGATGCATAGTCATTGCAATACATTGAAATGTATGTAACAGGAGTTTAAGTCACAACTGCGGAAGGATATTTCAAATAAGTCCCTCGATTTCAGAGCAAGGTTTGGAGGAAGAATGGCACGATTGCCTATCGGCTTGGTTTTCCTGATTATAGAAGGCACTAATTTGTCCCGAAAATTTGAATTGACGGCTTGTTCTGGCTAAGAGCAATTCGTTTTTGAAATTAAAGAAAAAATTCACAACTGAATTGTGATTGAATTCCTATTCAACGATTTGTCATACTTATTTTGTCAATAAAAGCTGATACGAGAAATTTCACTCTCAACAATCAGCAAAATTTTTAACTTGGCGCGAGTTTCTTTGAAAAGTAGGGCCCACTTAATCGCTAACTTCGTCCAAAATTATTTACCACTAGTACTATCGGATTGTTTCACGTTATTATTGCTAAATAATAGATGAAGATCTTCTCAAAGTTTCGTAGCCGTCGCATTAAAAACGAGCCAACTGTGCAGCCACCTTAAAGGGCTCGGGACTGCGAAAAAATGTTAGAGCGTCATAATAGAGTGTTGGTTAACCGTCAACGTCAAACGGTGAAAAACGTAGCCGCCGGGAGAACCGTCAAGGAAAGAAGTGTTTTAGTGTACAAACGCACCAAGAATTTGGGTTCCATTACCCAACGGTGGAGCCACCTTAAAGGGTTCTGGACTGCGAAAAAACATTTGAGAACGTCTTAATGGGATGTCGGTTAACCGTCAACGTCAAACGGCGAAAAACAACCTCCAGGAGAACCGTCAAGGAAAGAAGTTTTTTAGTATTTTGCAGCTCTAATGTGTTAAAAACACGCCAACTATAACTGAAATACACACTTGAGTCATGTTTTTGTCCCTTTTTACAACGTTTTAATTCTTAGCACAGACTTGCATACAATTCTCTCGTGGTATCTATTTGACGGTAATAAGTTAATCATTAAAAACACTTTTACTGGTAGTTTTTGCCGCTGACAATACATATACTAGCCGAACCCTAGCATGTTACACATTAACAACTGTGACTAAGAACTTGCCATGTTTGTCACAGCATCGAAACATTCCTTTGTCACATCCACCAGCACAGTTATCTATTGACCACTTGTTGTTTCTCCATGCGATGGCAATTGTATGTTGGTGACCAGCTCCAGTTGTGGTGATAACGTTGTCAATACGCTGTCCTTTTTTAGCAAGCTCCACCTCCTCTGGTGTCAAAGTGACTTCGTGGGTGTGTGGTCCTGGTGGTGTTGCTGCTGCATCCTCCATCTTCAGCGTCAGGGATCTCTTTGCAGGTTCCGTAGGTGGAACATTACCGTTTCCCATCAGTGGTTCCCTATACATGTAGCTGTAAGTATTGGATTTCATCAGGATATCTTTAGTCGCCTCAAGTTCCTTCCAAACAGCACTTCCTTCTCCATGAACAGGCATAATTGGATATCGCTGTCGACAGATCCCTACGCCGCTAATGAGTGGAAGAAAGATGCGTGTTCCGCTGGCGCGGGTGATCCTAACATCAATTCCATTCCGATCCAAAACTCCAACGCTATTCTTGGTGGTGTCTGCAGTGTCGCTGCTAACCTCCTTTCCTGAAAAGAAGGCCGATGGAGTTAGATAGTACTTCTTGCTATTGGTACCATTGTAGGCCCTTTCTGGAGTTCTTCCTCCATAGCGACCACCAAGATACACGGTCTTTCCGTAGGGCGTCTTCTCATCTCCTTTGTACTCGAGGTCAAACGGGTTCCATTTGTTTAGGGGTGTCATATATATTATTTCGAGTGGAATGGCATACGAAAACTTCTGAGAAACTGTCTTGCACCGAGGCCAGCGTTTTGAACCCTTGCAGGTCTTGAGTGTCATACCAGCCACTTTAGGCTGGGTGGTCATGGCCATGAACAGGTTTTCATCGACATAGCCGCGACGCCTTAAGGATTCGCCCATAGCGTCTTTTTCCAAAACCTTGAACCAGCGATGGTAGTAACCGGCATTTATTTTTCCGCTCTTTTTTGGGTCAATGGTGTGAGCTGGCAGGTCAAATGCTTCATCCGTTAGATTAGCTTGATAGTTGTCTTTTCCAGGAATCTCGCTCATCAGCTCATCTAGCAGTGTGAACCTGGGATTGTTGTATTTTTCGGTCCACGTGTCTGAGTCTTGAGGGTTGAGTTGGAATCTTGCTGCACGGAAATTTTTCTGTTCCTCGTATTTTCTTCGTGCAGGAAGCCTTGCGTGGAACTCGTCAACCACACGAAATCTATTCAAGGGAATGTCACGGCTCACTGGGTGGCACAAAATGCGGTAATTCCACTGTGCAAAGACAGGAATCGTTTCGTTTATAATGTCAATGATGGTGGTCGGAAGGAAGGAGAAGTTTTCGAGATTGTCCTTCCTGCCAGTGTAAGATGTAAAGCGAATTTTTTCTTGTAGGTCGAACCATGTTTGGGCATCAATAAAATGTCTGTCACTTTCAAACGGCTCGTCGATGGCTTTTGTTGCTGTGGTCCAGGCGCCCTCTAGAAAGCACAGTACAGGCTTGAAATACTTCCTGTAATCTCTAACTGTGTGATTTTGTGATTTCCATGCCCTGAACCATTCGCGCATCTCCACGATTTGTTCATCCACGGTAGACTTGTTTTTCACCTCTGGTGGTACTTCTGGAAAAGGAATTGGTTCCGTTGCGTGGTATTCTTTGCTGGTTTGGCTTGACATGTAGAGTCGGTAGTCGTTGTGTCTTGTCCTAAATTCTACCCCATTAAGGACGCCAATGAACTCCCCCAGGCCCACCGTGCGGATGTTGTTTGCGTGTTCATGAATAGCCAAGAGTCTTCTAGAGTTGCCGTGGGTATCTGAAAAGTAGTTACGTGTTCCAGTGTTACTGAGGCGCACTTGCTTCACACCCGAATCACCATCAGATCTGATGCGTTCTTCAACAAACATCTGCTGCAGCATGACTTGTCGGGACAGGGCCCCGATAATTTGGCGCAGTGACTGCATTTCTGCTGAAAGCTTTTGGTCAGCATTTTCAAAAGCATCTGTTATTCCTCCTAGGAACTCGCCTCTGATTGCACCAGCTGTAAGCACAATCCAAAGAGACAGAACTTGGATGACTGTAGCCATTTCTTTAAAGGAAGAGATAGAGAAAAAATGTTAGCTCTGAATTGAAGAAGGCTTAATTAATGAAATGGAGGGACCGCAGCCCTCTCTGAGAATAGTTGTGAGTAATTTTTCCCTTTGTCGTGAACCCTAGCATTGACTATCAAATAGTCGGCAAACTGCCAGTCCGCTATCATTAAACGGGCTCCGACAGGAGCCAAGAGCGTTACTTATTGTATGGCTTATTTCGCGAGCAGGCAAGATGAAGCCAATCTTGCTCTCTGATCGGCTAGCCGAGCGGGTAAGATAAGACATTCTTAATAGCCTCTTAGCATTTCCTGCTTTGTACCCGCAAAGAAAAAATATTTTATCAGGCATGTAATAAATTCTTTATTGACCAAACTTGTTTTGTCAAGATTGCTGGACATTGTCCTCGTTCTCTTCTCACGTTTTTGCTGACCTTGGCCTTAGACGGGTTAAGCATCACGTTTACGTCAAACGGCAAACGCGAATTTGTACCACGTGACCAAGTTTCCCTTTAACTTGTCGTTTACTGTTTACTATTTCCACAGATAAATTAGTAGTTGCACCTAATTTTTTTATCCATAAGAATTGTTTTGAGCTGTTTTTATTTGCTCATTTTCTATTTTGAGAAATTCGCAACTTGAATATGACGTTTGCCATTTACGTGAAGTTTAACTCTCTCTTGTCTCGTAACAAAAATGCCATAAAATAACATGGCGAGTATCCAGCCATCTCGGCCTCACGCTTGGTCAATAACGCGCATAAACAAATATGCTTATAAATGCCTCTTTTCCATCTGCCTTTAAAAAGCCAAATGGTCAAGTGAAATAAAGAAGAGGAAACCGTCCTCGGTTCAAACGGATAAATACTCGTAAAAGATCTATTATCATGGACATACAATGTTACCTACAGTTATTTACATTTGAAACCTTTTTCAGCTTTCTATTGAAGAGAAGATAAGGGGAAATTAACACACTTGAAAAATAAGCATATTAACAGCGCAAAAAAGTTACACGAAAAGATATTTTTTTCTCTCGCAGGAGATTAGTAAAGCTTATGATTTAATGAACCTTATAATCCTTCTTGTAGAAAAGGTAACTGTAATAGTCGATCAAATTATTCGCGAAAGTTATTGCGAAACAATCATCCTTTGTTCAAAAATATCAAACGTGGTATATGGCACGTGAGATTTGTCTCGTCCGTTCAAAGCCGCTTTTTACAGCTAATTTTATGTCGTGCGAAAACTGCAAATGTTTGCTAAATGAACCGGTTTGGGCGCATAATGATGTTAAGTCCGTGGACATTATTTTGACAATATCCTCCTTTTTCATCAATTAGCTTCAGTTGTAAGAAGGCCTTACTACTGTCAGAGTTTCAGAAACGAATAATCGTTTAGCCAAACTTTCCTTGCCATTTCTTTTTATAATATATTGGTTTTGCGCTTTTGATCACCTAGCATGTTAAAAAGCGCACTATAAATGAATAAATTATTATTATTATTGGTGTTTAGAGAAGTTACAGGTAGTAGAACAGATCGATCGCGTCGGGACCTCGAGTGTGTCCCTTCACCTGTAATACAGATTATGATTGTTTAGTAAAACACTTGATTACCGAAACAAATGCTGTTCAATTTTAGAATGGTTTAGTCAGTGTGATCAGCATGGTTTTCAAGCCCAAAAATACTAATCGTAATTTTTAGGAGGCCGTACATTGCATCTTGGTGTCTCGTTAAAGATGTATCTTTTATACATCTTTTTGTAAAATATGCTTGCCTAAGAACTGCATCTGTTGAAAAAATTAGCTGCTTTTTTGATCTATGCCTGCAACCAAAACCAAAAATCGAACCATTGTTCTCTCTTCCTATAAGAACAGATCACATTTTGCCCGTTTTAAAGCACATTGTTTCGCTTCCAGATAAAGGAAAAACAGAACTTTTCAAAATGTGTATTCTCACTGTCCCAGGCTATCTCAGTTCAAGATTCGGGAGAAGTAGCGGGGGGGGGGAGGGGATCTTTGCGGTATTCTTTTTTAACTCTTACCCTGTTTTTTACTCAAGTATGTGATTGCCCCCTCCCCGCCTGCTTCAAACCAACTGCCATTACCAGATTCCAGACCTTACCCTTTAGTGCTGCTCCTACCTAGCTGTCAAGCTTTTAAGTACTCTCCCCCAAGAGTGTGTGTGCGTTGTGGGGGAAGACAACCTGCCTGTCTCTGAAGAAAAGGAACTGAACCTTGACTCAATCTCTGTCTCTGTTATCTTTAGTGTTGAATACATTGAGAATGTTTCCAAAAATCGTTCCAAGCATCCTATCAGTACTGATAATAGTGAGTGAAAATTTGTCGGTATTTTACATTTTTTTTTCGTTTAATGCTTATTTTACTGAAGTTCATGTTCTGTGTAATTGTACTAGTCTATGTCAATATCCCCAAATATTGAGTTTAAAAAGAAAACCGCATTGCTAAGAAGTCTAACAAAAATCTAAGTGATTTATTAAGTAGCAGAGTAAAGGTACGCTATCGAAAAACTATTATGAATGGGCTGGTATATGGTCGTAAAAACAACTTCTCATAGGCTGTTTTTAAGCAAATACCTTGCCAAACGGCGTTGTCTCTTGCCGATAATACGAAAAATATAATACAGTCAACTATTGTGTTCGTTAGTTTCCTTTTTTGGTTTCTTTTTCTCCGTTTCTTTGCGTTATGTAAATCTTTTCAAAACAATTGTTGATTTTTGTCATATGAAAAACATTTTACAGGACTGCGCTCATACAAGGATTAACAATCCTTTCCTTTCAAGTCCTTCTCAGACTTGACATCAATCCTTTGCTAAGGTCTGAATCTTTCACAGGGCAAATTGGTAATTGAAATTCTTACAGGAAGGCATACTTTGAAAGTATTAAGTGAGTAGGTTTCTTTTGATGTTAAATCAGTTATAACAATCCGTGATGTACTGCACGCTAGCCTCTTCTTTTGGCTCGTTGCTTGTAGCACGCCTCGATGATTTAATTTACCCCGATGGATATCTTTCTCTCAACTTAACATAGCAACAGTTTGTATGGCAATAAACTGTATGTCGATAATGTTGCTGTGTTATTCTAATGTAAAAAGTCGGTTCATTTAACCAGGAATCAAAGACGCAAAAGTAATAATCGTTTGCCTTTCATTGGTCTTTGTTCGCTAAGGGAAAGAGTTGAATGTACGCATGAACTAGTTAGGAGTATATTCAGTATCCTGGAGTGTTTTTGTGTCCAATTGGCTTTCACGTCTTTCCATCACCTTGAAATCTTTTAAGGTGTTTTACTTTGTTTCCTATTTTAAACATACAGGGTCGTTTATTTAAGTGAAGTCCAACTTAGACCGCGGCTTAGGAAACCTTTGGACTTCGATATCTCGTCCATAGTGGATTATTTTGATGAGACAAATGCTTTTCTAATCTACGCCATATGTTTTCATGAAACTATTCACGATAAATGGTGTTTATATAAAAGCGTTCAGCAAGACTGAAAACGGCTAAGAACGCGGTTTTGTTAAACACTGGCTAAACTCCGTTTAAATAACTGGCTCAAAGAATTTTTGTTATTGTTAAAAATCATGATAAAAGTATTATCGGTCCTAAGATTCTCAAACATTTAAAAAAGCAGCTATAGGGAGTTCCAACAGTCCAACCCAATTAAGGCATTTTAAGGTGGAATGATATCTCGGCTGCATTTAAAAAGAAAACTTAAGGCCAGTTGTTGAAACGAAGTTTAGCCCTTTTTTAAAAAACCGCGTTCTGGGCCATTTTCAGTTTGCCCAACGCTTTTATGTAACATCATTTATCGTGAAAAATTTCAATAGAACATGTAGTGTAGAGTGGAAAAGCACTTATTTTCTTAAATTAACCCACTAAGAAAGAGATCTGGAGGTCCAATAATTCCTTAACCTGCGACTTCGTTTAAATAACCGACCCTAAAATATCTCAAAGCAACCAAGTCATTTGACCGTAGGGGTGTCTATTTTAAATTATTCTTTGTTTGCTTTTTATTTTAAATCGCCCAAGGACCGACGGAATTGGTCCAGATGATGCATGGTTTTTGGGGTGTTTGCCATGTGCCTAGTTAGTTAATCGGATCATGCCAATACCAGTCTAAAACCTACAAAAAACTGGAGAGGAACCTTGCCTTAAATTTCTGTTATAAGCGATGTAATGTAATGGCATCATTGAACTGTCTGCTGAAAGTTAACTTGTTAAAAAAACTAGTCGCTGTAAATTTCCTCAACTCAGTGCATAAGTTATGATTTTTTACCTGCCGTAGAGTTAAAATGTGATCCCTGCGATATACTGTCCTGTCAACTAAGCCGCTCTTGGGAGATACTTGCTATCTCTCAATAAGAGACAAAGTGTTTCAGTTATTCTGTTGAAGAACCTTATATCATGATAAAAGTCTGACGTCACAACCAAAACAAAGGGCTGACGAGTGCCTATATGCACGACAGTAGGACTCAATGCTAGACAGATTGCTGCCGAAATACTCATCTGATATTCGATCATTTTGATTTTTTCACATGATAGTCAACTCCTCTCGCAGACTGCTAGTTTTTACATATTTTAGTACAACGAATTATTTAGCCTTACAATGAAGTGTTAGTCTACATGCTTTTTCGGCCAAATGTAGTGAATCGAAGCGTGTCTCAGAAAAAAAGCGTGACTCCGTTCTTATTAATATAATCTCTTCACTCCTTCACCCCTGAGTCGCCCGAATCCATCCGTGCGGATCCTTGTGCCGGCTACCGCTTATGAAGTCATAGACAACTTTGACACCTAACTTGTGCAAGGGAAAGAGTTCCTTTAAAATGGACTATTTGCAAATGAGCACGATTTAAAAAAGGCCAGGGAAAAATCGCAGGGAAACATGAATTTGTACAACGCGACCAAGTTCTCCCTTTATTGCAGTTTACTGTTTATTTTTTGTACAAAGAAGATAAGTGGTTTCACGTTAGTTTTACCCTTAAGAATTATTTTTGATTTTTTTTTATCTGCTTGTTTTCTATTTTGAGAATTTCTCAACTTCCGTTTGCCGTAAGCCGGACTCTAAATCGCCCTAATTTTCTATTGTGTGTCACTTGTACACTTCACCCAGACCTGAAAAGTGTTTGTTTTTAACATTTTTTTGGCGGTGGACAGGAGGAGCATTAGAGACGTCTGAACTATTGAAAAAGTGGCTCTTGGGGATATAATTTGCTTATTTGATGTGTTTTCAATGTAAGAGGAAAGTTTTCAATAACTGTCCCAAGCATTTTTGGCCTCCGCTGTAGATTAAAGAAAGTGCATTCCTAGGGAAACGCAGTAGAGCAGCAGGGTTTTGAGGCTGATTAAATTTGGGAGAGTGGAGCGAGTGTTTTTAGTTTTGTAATACGAAATGAAAAGAGATCACAAAATTATTTTACAGGTGTCGAGGAAAAAAAGAAACCCTTCCTGAATTATTTAGTTGGGAATTACATTATGTGTGCAGTAAGTTTATTTTTAAAGCTTCAGTCACACAGAATATGGAGTCAGTGTCAAATAACTAAAAAAAAACATCGTTTTTATTTGTTTCATAGTACCAAAAGCCTGCCCTCATTCTACAACAGGAAAAGCTAATTCGACAGGAACTGGCCAAGATGAAATCAAGCAGGGATGGAGATGTTGAATGCAAACCCAGTTGACAAGAGTTAACCGTCCGATTATCTGTAAGTTTTCTTATGTACATTTGTTGAAGAATCCATGGAGTTGCTACTTGTCTTATGTGCAGTGAGTGGTGGTATTTCAGAGCACAGGTTCTATCAGTCTGATCGCGTTATTAAATCGTCCATAGTTAAACGTTGCTTGTGCAATAGACGATTTTATGAAAAGGAATGTCGTCAAAGTAATGCCGAGTAGAATGCATTACTTATACAAAAACGGAAAGGAAGACTAACTCAGACTGCTGAAAGCTGACAGCTTGAAAATCTTGAGTGGAGTTTATACTACTGCGCAATATGGAATATTCTTCGTAGCTACTATACATGGCTGAAAAGCCACCTTCCAGTTGAGGAAATTTTGATTGACAACTGGAGGGAGATCATTTAAACTTCTACGTATTCTTTGTGCGCTTCGTGCAACATGTGGGTATCTCAGATCTGTCTCTAATGTTGGAGACTAACTTAGCTGGCTTCCTGTTTTGTCGTAGTGACTCTTATTCGTCGATGGTTATCTGAGATAGAGACCTTTGGTGTAATTCACACAGACTTGTGCTTGTCAATAGGCTATTTCAAACTCGTAGAAAGTATCGGACGAACGGAGATGTAACATGCTGCCACTTGCGGAAAAGTGGTTTTCTGGGGAGAGCGTTTCTGAATCATAAGACAATAAAGAGAACTTTACTAAGGCACTGCAATCTTACTCTCTCTACTTTTGATTATGCATTGGTGTAGCTCGGCCAGTGTGCCGAAGATGATAGCCCATGAATAGTCCCCTTTAACCACTAACTATAGTCGATTTTACCGTCTCAAAACGCGGCACCACCCCTTTTTATCTCCATACGTAGTGGCTAACTGGCTTGCCTGACGTTTTTCTGTCCTGGAGTCTGGAATGAATCCTCCCTTCCCCCCTCCTCCCCAAGTAATCTGCCCATCTCCCTAATTGTTTTCCCTTTTAAAACAGCTTACCGTTGCGTAGTCTCCCTCGCAACAGTTTTAGTGTCCTCCCACAAACGGCGTTTGTCGGGAGAAGCGTTGCGTGACGACACTAAAAACGGCTGCAAGGGAGACAAACCATTGCGATGCTTGTCCTCTACATGAATTTCACTGCCTCAACTAAAACAAGCATCAAGTAAAGTTGAGCGACGTTACCATTGGAAGTGCGCCCATATCCTTTGCCTTTGTTGTCTGTGGACCGTTTCAAATTACCTTGTATCCGACAAATCATAAAATGGAACACCCAAAATTGCAGAACGGGATTGCCTATTTATGTTAAGCAAAACAGAAATATGCGTGTTATCTTTAATAGAAAAGAGGATTGTTTAAGCGGAATTACTAATGTTTGATGGTACGGTGGAAACTGAGAACAGATTTCAGTCTTAAAAATTTATTCTAAATCCTAATGAGAATGTTCTTTCAATTGTAACTAACAGATTATAAGATCCTGTGCAGACGACAAATCTTAGTAAGTCTTAGTTTGCCCCACCCCCCCCCATTGTCTTACAAATAAATCAAGTCAAAAAAAATTGTAGGCTAGAGGAGCGACGTATTCCTGAAGTTGTCTGCCCACTCTCGTTGGTGAATATCCAGTTTAGAGCTACTGCAAACTTTAGTTAAATGATCGTTAGACGGCCCATAGTTCTGAGTTAAGACTTTTCTGGTTTTTCCCTGTCTCTCTCTCCTCCGTCGCTACCCGAAACCACTTGTTTCTAGGGCACTTGCCTTTCGAACTTTGGCTTACTGAGGAGAAACCTTGTTTCGTTTTCTTCGAATCGATCGATGCGACTTCCCCTTTGCGACTTTTTTGGCGCTGTCCAATTTTCTGAGGATTATATCACCGTTGACTCGTGCATTATCTGGTGATTCGATATTTCCATTGTAGTAAAAGTCGGCACTCGAAAAAGATTCTTCAGCACCGTCTTCCGACGTTATGAATGTACCGCGTGAAGCTGTTGGAGAGGACCTTGTACTGGCTGGGTTCAAACTACCAGATGTCAGTTCATCGCCAAGGAATCCAGCATTGTCCGGTTCGCTTTCTGTTACCCGCTCTTCGGGAGCATTACAGCGCTGCCTATTAATCGTCTTTGCGAGCTGTTTTCTTGAACCGCTAATTTGTTTCGTGTTCACTACCCTTTCTTTAATTTGGTTCACTTGCTCGTTCTTCCTCAGGCTTTCTTCAGCAATTTGCTCGTTAGCTTTGATCATTGTTAAATACACTTCCTTCCAGGGAGAAGGGCGTGGTGGGGGCCCAGAGTACCCGAAACTGGAAACATTTGCAGACGGAACAGACCTGACTCCCGTGGAAGCCAAATTTATTTCACTCTTTTTCTTCATCTGCAACTGGCGATCTTTCTTCGAACGTACAAAGAATTTTTTTGTTCGAGACTTTAGTCCCTCTACTTTACGGACACAAACCTCCCCGGCCTCTTGCGTTGGCTGCCATGCCTTTCCGCAAATTACCAAAGCCTCCAGCTCTTCTTGTGGCAAGCAAACGTCACTCCCGGTTTCTGAAAAAGTTGAAGTTGACGTCGAACTTGACACCGAACCATCCGAAGACTCGATGTCCATTATTTCCACGCTTGTGGAGACTTTTGGCGTGTTAGCCGTTTGCTTCAGTCTCATTTCGTTTCTTTTCTTATGTGTTTCAACTAAATTGTTTTCATCTAGCTCCTTGCGCTTTGTGTCCGAAGTAAAAACCGAGTTACAGATTCCCATGGCTGCGACTTGTTGAAACTTTGCTGTAAAAAAACTTTTCCGTTTGTTAGTGTTAATTGTGACGTTGCATTTTTTTAGTGTCTGGTCGCGCGCGTGCAAACCATTCCATTAACTTTCCTTCCTTGTGATTGGGCTAGGAGGCCATTTAAAAATTAAATGACTTGGTTCCGTTATCATCAGTGCTTAGTTAATGCACTCACTCGTGTCTGTCATCCTGCAAACGCAAACCGGCTCCTTTCGCCTTAACTCCCCCCTTATTCTGTATTTTTCTCTTAGGCTATCTGCGCGCGCACATGTTCACACCATACTCACGGACACATTTTTATCTACATTTCCGCTGATGAAGAGTTAGAAGTATTAAGACGTGTAGCTAAAGTCTTTGAAGAGATGTTAAATAAGCGTCGTAAGGTGGAGAGAAATAGTGGAAACAAGGGCGCGTTGATGAACTCAGGCAATTAATCAAGGTGGCTCCGTTATTACTAGTAACACAGGCGCATTGAGCTTTGACAAACGTTTCGTCATACTTTTTTTTAGTTTTATGAGAACTTTAAGAACTACATGCAGATATCTTTCGGCAATAATATGAAAGAATCCGATTTTTACTTGCGGAAGCTATTTTTTTGTTACGAAATTAGCACTTAAGTGGACCCACTCTTCAAAGAAAATCGCATCTAGTATAAAAGTTTGCTGATATTTTCTACCACCAGTAAAATCGAAAAATCTTATATTACTGCCGAATGACTAATATGTGCAAGCGGACGTGTGTCGTTTGGTTGGTGTTGCAAACGAAGGAGTAGGTGCTTCACTATTGACTGAGTTTTTCAACAAATTAGTTCGAAAATTGTTTGTATGATTTAAGAAGCGTAAGAATTTGTAGCTTCGATTTTGTTGCTGTTGTCTTGAATTCACAGCGTCTACTTCACGGTATTTCCTATACTTGCCAGCTTGAAAGGAGCTGTGTCACGAAATTGTTCCCAAATTTAGACAGGGGAATGGCAACAAAAGTGAGTGGAACACTAAATTAACTGCTCAAAACATTCAAGGAGGGTATAAAGAGCAGCAAATGCAAAAAAGGCGTAAATTTGAAGGGAGACATTTTTGTCTCGAAGATAAAGCTTTGATGTGGTCATGTGCAATAAAATTCCTCGCTAACGTAAAGTTCCATTGCAAATGAGGACAGAATTCTCTTTAAATAGAGGGGTTGAGCATCACTGACGTTAAAGGCACCGATAGAGACACTCAAATGAATGCTAACCTATCCGAGAACGATAATAAAGAACAATTCTCTCTTTTCTTCCAAGAACGTGAAAGCCCTCATCTTCACGTCGTTAACGGCCAGCAAAAAAGAAAAAAAAAGGCTTCTTGGTCACCTTTGCTGTTTGCAGGAAACGTTCTTATAATGGCCAAAAAGTTATCAATAATGTTTAAATTTCTCTATATAACCTACCTAAAACAATGAAAAGGCGGTACGGTCATGTCTAATCGACTTTACCGACAGTATAAATTGTAGATGTAGATGAATGGTACCATGAAAAAGCTATGTGAAAGAGGTTTCATTTGAATGGTATTCTAGCAATATAGGATTTTAAAGGTAGAGTAACAAATAATCTTGGCCTAGGAGTAAAAATCACAGCCACGTGAAGGCGAAATGTAATTACCCACACTTTCAACGAAGAAGAGATAAACTTGGAACAGGCGGGCGATTGTTTTTTTTTTTTTGTGGTTGTTTCCCACATGGCAATCCGTTATATCCTCTCCAATATTTGTCCATCCGTGTCCACTTTTGGCTTTTCTGAATTTTCGTTTGATCTTCCACAATTTCAAGGCGTCATTTGATATTTCGTTCATGTTCATGGCCATTTTTTGAACCCTTGAAACTTTGATATTGCCTAAAATGCGTTATCGACCCCTCTTTTAAAATACATGTACGTTCTATTGTCTCTAAAATCTGGCAACCGCGATAGATATTACGAAATCTAAAAATTTCTCATGAGACTTTGGAAAGGAAGTTCCCGCATCCAAAACTGCCATCTGTGTTTAAACAAGCGCATTTAATTTTCAGCCCTGTGCTATTCGTGTTCCCACGAAAACCAGTTGACAGCTGAAGTTACTGAACAGTTCAAGGTCATTGATCCGACAGGTGACGTATTGTGTTTTAAAAATAGGGACAAGATTCTCATAATAAGAGCTCCTGTGATTTGTTAAGTGCTCTTTCTTAATCCGTCTACATGATAAAATGGGCTTGTAATCGCGTGCAGGTTGTAATATTTGGATTTACCATATCTTTAATTTTCTTGTAGTTTTTTAAATAATGTTTATGGTAAGCTTTTGGTCGTAATAAAGGGAACTTGAAGTCTTTTTCTCTACAAATGAATGCTTAGATCACGATTAATCACCTTTCAGATTCTGCGGTTCATAAATAAAAAGAGACTATAAAAGCTGACACCTGGTTTATGACTCATTATTAAAATCATGCCTACGGGTCAAAGCCCTCTTCTATGAGAATTTGTTAAGGAATAGTTTATTTGAAATGGCTCCTTAATTTTTACGTAAAATTTTTGCGCAGTAAATTACTTGAATTTTGCGGTTTAATTCGAGCAAAAAGAAAAAAAAACATAAAAACTTAAAGGAGCTGTGTCACGAAATTCCGCAAATTAGGAAATTACAAAATGCCCGTTAAATTAAGAGAAACATAAAAATAACAGCTTAAAACTTTAAAGGACAGTTAAAATAACATAACAGAAACAACAGATGCCACGGATGGGCAAAACTGAAGAAGATTGAAACGGATTGAAATTAGGGTTTTTGAAAACTGTTCAGCCTAACAGTTTTTCAAAGTTGATCCCTGCTGCTTGCAACTTCAAAAATAATGTTCAGGAGGCACATTTGTTTGTCTCGGATCTCTGATTTTGTCATATTCCTTTCATTTCTTTGCTTACTTTAATTTACATAGTAATTGAGGGTGAGTAATTGGCCAAATTAAACAAAATGAACTGGATTGCCGTGACACAGCCCCTTTAACCTGGCTTATGCCCTGTTAGAGTGTTTTAAGGTGTAGTTTATTTCAAACGTTCAATTGATTTTTTTACCTTGAATTTTCTCAGAGTTATTTGTTTGATTTAATGGTCCATTTGGTCCATTATTAAGATAAAGGCTATATGGGTCATTAGGCCCTTTTAGATGCGAATTTTGTAAGGAATACTGATTTTTGCTTTTATTATTTATGTTATTATTTTACTGCTTGATTTACCTTGTAGGCGACGCAAAGCACACAAATAGCTAAACTGAACTGATATTGAACTAGTGATATTGCAGAATGTCGTTCCGCTTTCAGTGTTTCAACGACTTATCTTACTCTTTGGTCACGGTAAAGTTCATTGGAAGTTGTAGATATGCTAGTTCGTTTATAAAACACCAAGTATTCAAGAATTTCCTTTCTGTAAAATCTTTGAAATCTATTAGAAAGATCAGTGATCGAAAAACGTCATCCAAAAAAACATCTCGCTCTTAACCGTTGTGCCCCAAATCGCCTGCAATATCCAACTAAGCTCTTTTAATATCTGTGTCAAAAAAAGTGTATCGTAACGGAAAAGAAATAAAAAAAAGGCCAAGAACAGGCATTGATTGAACGGAAGTTGGATCTTATCTCAACTTGCAGAGAAATACGATTTATTATACTCGGGAATTAACTTTCTTAGTAAGCAATTTTTGGTACTGAAAGACTTTTACTTTACTCCTTACTGTTCGGTGTTTTCCAAGGCGACCTTTACGGTCGTGCACTCTGTGACATATCGGCGAGACGAACGGTCACACATTTGCTCAGATCACGTGAACCGAAATGGGTAAATGAATAAGCCGCGTGGAATAATAAGGCCTAGGTACTAGGCGTGCAGGCCTACAGGGGGAGGGGGTAAGCAGAGGGGCTTGATTGCAGTCTTGCACTTAATTAAAAGGTACCTTGTAAACACCATTGTAATTCACGTCACTTTTCCTATAATTTAGCACAGTGTAAATAGTCGTAAAGGTCGCCGTAATAATTGTATATCGCAGTTGGCAAACTATTTGTTGCCAAATATGTGGACTTAGAAACGTCGCGGGCCTTATGTGTTAAAAGTTTGTATGTGGATGACTTTTTCTTCATATATACTCCAGGACGCAAATTTTCCTGGTCGAACACCTCCTATAAAACATGTCGTGTTCATTCCTGGTCGCAACTTAAACCGGCATTCAAATAGACAGTAAAGAAAAAAAAGGGAGGGAACTATATCCGGCTGGGAACGGTTGACTGTCGCGTAAAACTATTCATTTTTATATGAACAGTTTGACGGTTGGAGATTCGAAAGTTTCTTATTTTGCATACACAAGCTCATGAGCTAGCATTCGCTCAAAGAAACTGGGGAAAACAGTGACATTGTTTTGAATATTGAATAAAAGTGCGGGCTTTCTTAACGAAATGAATGTGTCATTGCTTAAACGAAGACGGGTGTGCACCGTAACTGGGCATTTTGCCCTGAAAACTCCTGTATTCTGGAACCGTCAATACTATCAGTACAAGCTTGTTAGTGCTGAGATCGATTAGGGATAATTTCTGCATTTGTCAAGGGGCGACGATTTTTTAAATGTTAGTTTTGTAAATTTGGATGTATATCAAGAAAACCCTGTTAATTAGTGAAAATAATAATGATTTCACCCTTTCTTGTCACCTTGTTTGCAGCATTGTTCAAGAGTTCACGTAAGGGATAATTTAAAAACGAACCTTTTCTTATAAAAAAAGGATGCTTATTTTATATTTGTACTGCCGATAAAAACTCTCAACTTTACGGTGGTTATACTTTTTTCTCCCCAGCCAATGGCTTAGGACTGAGAGAAAATTCATTTAGTGAGATTGTTTATTTTACCTTCGTCATAATTTCAATCATTCGCAGCAAAACATACAGAAATAAGCAAATATCAGTTGTGCATTTAAAGAAGTAGTTGCCAAAAACAGTTTTATTGTTAGT